GTTCTGCAAGTGATTTCCATGGTTTTATAATATTGGGAGAGAGCTCTCCTAATCATATTTTCTTCTGTAATTTAGGTGTTCTACTCTCCTCACAGCTCAGCAAAAAGCCTTCCTTGTTTATGTCCCTCGGTTTTCAAGGCTTCATTTTAAAGTTCTTTTTTCACATTCCCTTTCATCTGATGGAGGAGCCAAAACCAGCTGTTGTGTCCCAGTGAAGTGATGGGCAACTCACAACTCTCCTTGTCCTACAGCTTGCAAATATTCCAGTGCAGGACTGATGGGTCTGAGCCTGTTCCTCAGCTCAGCTGTGGCCCTGGCTGTGACTCTGAGCTCTCCTCCAGCGTGTTCCTCACCTTCAGCAGTGCTTTCCAAGAGAGTGGTGGACAAGTGCCTTTCCCTGCATCCCCTGGCTGGCAGCAGTTCTTCCTTGCTGGAACTGCCTGTAGAGTCAGTAGGTTTCTGAATCTTCCTCCTAGCACTTGTTAATGAAAACCACTTTCTTGACAGCCATTAAGCTGGGTAAGGAATACTCAAATTCTTCTGTCCAAGTAAGGTTTCTGAGGAATGCACCTGACCTTTGGTCTTGCCCTGGGTTTTGCTGAAGGTAGTTTGATGCCTTATCTTTGCTTCCTTTCAAGCTGCTTCTTTACTCCTGGTGTAACAAAGTTTCCTTGGCTCCACTTGATTGGTGTTTTCACTTCTTAAATGTGCTCCTGAATGTTTTTTTTTTCCTCACAGCCCCCTCTCAGGCAGAGGTTGTGCAGGGTGGTGTCTAATTCATAACAAAGAACTGGGAATTCTGAGTTCGCAAAGAAGCTCTGAAGGCTGGCTCAGTTATCTTTAGATTTACTCCAGTGCAGCTTAAGTTGCTCCCACTGCTATTTTGAAATAAAAATTCAACATCCAGGATACATAACTTGGGGTTTAGGGTTTTGATGTGTATATTTTGTCCTAACTGTTCCCTAGAGTAAGCTTTGGAAATAGGTGTTAAATCTGATGACACTGTGTTGTGATCCTTGTTCAGCTGTGAGTTTTGAGTCCCATTTTAGCTGACTTACCAATCAGCAACAGTAACATATGTGTGGACATTTACTCCCCCAAAATAGCCACTTCCTCAACAGGAACTGTGGTTCTAAAAGATATGACAGATGAGTTGCGATGCACATTCTCACAGTTTACTTTTTTTTTTGGTTGGTTGGTTGGTTTTTTATTTCTGTGGAGCAGGAGGAGAAAGGAAGTGATAAGGGAAGGAGAACTGGCCTTTTTTGGTTCATGTTTTGTCGGCATGAATAGATTTTTCTCCACCTGCTGCTGGGCAGATATATTTTTATATGAAGTACGAACGATTTCTTTAATAACTGCAGATTAAAAATGTTATTATCTGGAAATTATGCAGTAGGTGATGTTCAAGGCATCATCTTGGTTACATTGTAGCTTTTTTTGTTCCAGTGAGAGCTGTTCACTTGGAAGATTGGGAGGTTTACTACATGTGAAAATGACAGTAGAATAAGTTATTATTTATGGAATAAATTATTTTCTCTAACTGGAGCCCAAAATATGAAAATGTAAACACATAACAAAATGCGATAGGGCTGTTTTTTAAGAAGGAATGGTTGTTGCAATTTCAAAAAGATCTTTTTGTTGCCTTTTATTTTTTTTAAATAGAAATCCCACAAACTCTGCCTGCACACTGTGCTTGCCATTGTTACCTGGCTTCTGCTTCACTTCAGTGATGTGCAGTTGCTACTCTTGTGCTCCAGGCAGAGCCAGAGAGAATCCACATTTGTACGCAGAGTTCTCAGGGTTCCCAGCAGTGTCTGATACCTGTCACATGGAGCTGGGTGGTATTTTCAGGATGGACCAACAGATTTCTTCTTAAAGTTGCAGTAGGAGAGCAGGTGACCTCTAAGAGCTCAGATCAAGCTTCAGGCTCTATTTTTAGAGGTGCATACGAGGGGAAAAGGAGAAAATCTCTCAGCTTTCAGGAAAAGGAGCAGTATTTGCATCTCTGAGGTACATGAGCACGGTTTGAAGTTCCTGAGTGAAGAGTAGCTGGTGTAAGCAAAGCATAAAGCCCATGAATGAGTCTTTATTCAGGGAACTTCTCAGTGTAGCTTCATCCCCGTGTTTTACCTCTTGAGAAGGGGTGAACTTGGTCACACAAGACCCCCAGGGAGTTTGAAATTAGATCAAATAGGGCTCAAACTAGCAAGGAACACAAACCTCTCCTTCAGGGAGTTATATTATTTTTGATGAAGTTGTGATACATTAGAACTTAAAGGGTCAAAGAACAGCAAGTGGTCATTCAGAACCCATGTAACCCATGGTTAATGATTATAAAGCAGGAGTTAAACAAATCTGGTTTGTACAATAGGAGGTAAAGCATTTGTGGGTTACTTTAAATAACACTTCTTTTTTAAAGGAGCAGTTTGAAAACACTCTTTCACTCTGGAAAAGCCTCCCTGCATTTTAAGCTATAAACTGCCTTGCCCAAATTTACAGGTGACATCAAGAATCCTGTTGAAGAAACTGGAGTTCTAAATGCTGCCAGCATTAAAATTAATAACTCAAGTGTCTCTTTGGGAGCGCAGTGTTCTTTGGATGTATTAATTTTTAAAAATTTTCTCAGACATAGACTTAGAAAAACCCTGGACTCAACTAGTGATCAGTCTGTGTTCTTGTACGTGAGATATTTTTCAAACTCGGTGGATATTTCTGGAATTATGATCCTTTATCTGTGTAAAATACCAGAAGGTGAGGGCAGGATCACCCAGTGTATAATTCAGTGCAGACATAAATCATAATTCTGAGATGTGCTTATCAACCCTGCACCTCTGTAGTTCTTGAGATCTAAATCTTGAATTGCCTTGTCTGTTAAATGTGTTCATGTGTACTTTTCAAATAATAACCAGGTAACCTATAGCTGTGGTTTAAAAGATTAAAAAGCAATTAATTACTTTGTGACTCTCAACTACTGAAAAATAGGGAAAAAAAATCACTTGGTGTTCTTGATGCAGATTACTTTTTTGTTTATTTTTGTGATATGAGTCTTTTCAGAGAAGATTTTTTTCTTAACCTGACATACATGTTTTCCTGGTAGAATGACAGCTTAAGACTAGAGAATTCCTCTGTGTTGTGTGTCAGAATTTATTGTATTCCATTTCAAAAGGGCTTGCTATTTCCATTAGAAACTTAGTACAGAGGTGCCTCTATACTTTTTGCTGTCACTGTTTTACCAGCTTATTCATCAAAATATTACATTGTTGTTTTCAAGATAGAGAAGATCTCTCAGAACTTAAATAAAAGCTAACTTGACTTTTCCCCCATTTTACTTCCAAATTTTATCTTCACAGCATATGGTTCTTCAGTAAACTGAATTTTTAGAAGTAGTTAATTACAATATCATTTGCCTAAAAAAGGCTGAAGTCTTTTGAATATACAAGATGCCCTTCTGATATTTTTTTATGAACAACTCACACTTTCATTTTGATTAGAATGGTTTAGAGGTTTGTGGTGACTGAGCCCTGTGGAACTACCAGGCCATGTGCACATTTCCGTACTGTCCATGCCACGTGTCCATGGGGCTTTTCCAACACTATATTCTCCCTTCTGAAGTGATCAAAGAGGACTTACTGCCTTGTTCAGCTTGAAAGTTGATGCACTCAGATTAACTTTCAAAAAGGTTTGATATTCTGTAATTAAAGTGTGACTTTTCCATCTCTTGATTTATTTTAGGTTTTGAATTTTAAACCAGTGAACAAAAAGTGCAATCCTGGCTAATCAGTTGTAAACCTTGAAAATACTTGTCACCTAAAAGTTAAATTACAGGTGATTTAATAGCAAAGCATTCAAGTTTCATAGATGGAGTTTGTAAGTGAGGTTTGAGACCTCCTGTGTGGAGCTCAGACCCTTCGACCTCTCTCCAGGGAATAACAAGGGAAAAAGGGATCTATCCATTCAGCTAAAGTTGACTTGAGTTCAGACAGTGCAAAAGTCAGTAGGGTTGTGTTCCAGGAGCTGGTGCTAGCCAAAAAAACCTGTGTGGTATGTGATGAGGAATTCCCATTTTCACCCTAGGATTCCCAGGAATTTTGTATAATTTCATTGTAATGTTTCATTGATTTTGATTGAATCCACATAAAACTGTCATGATTTATAAAGTGTTTAGTTTTTTTTCCTGAAATTTTTGACAGGAAAGAAAAAATATATCAAATTCCTTGATGCCTTTGATTTGAAGGAATGTCATAAGCTGTCAGGTTGGTTTAGCCACCAGTTTGACCCTTCCTGGTAAACCAGTGTTGCTTCATTATTACGTTCTCTCCTACATCACACATTACATTCATGTAATGTAATACATAATTTTTGATGCTGTAAATTTACTTGTCAATAGTTGTATTGTGCATTTGGCTCTGGGGAGCCTGTTCTCTGAGTGAGTAGCACTGACAGACTGTGCCACTCGAGCAGTCCAGCCATCTGTCCTGGTTGCCATTAATGCTCTGATGTGGGTTTTAAGGAGATGTTTTCAGAAAGGGGAAAGAGTGGCTTGTGACAGAAGCACTTAAAATGTGTTTGACAGGTCGAGCCCTTAGCTATGGCCTGAATTAGTAATGTTGTTTATTGTAACGTGAAGGTTTACTCTGGTACTCTATTCACTTGTGTATCATGTTGTGGGGTTTTTTGAAGTCTTTGTCCTCCATTTTGCTGTCTCTGTAGAGAAGATTGTTTTTTTCAATTGTATTTCCATTGAAGCGTAGCAAAATTAAGCTTTGTGTGAATGTTTGCCTATATGTGTTTAGAAAAAGCAGACTTCCACTAAAATTCTTACATCACGTTAAGGAAGTTGCACAAACATGTGGGTAAAATGGGGAAACCTTGGTCATTCTTGGTGACTGATTTTTAGGTGCTTACTTTCTGCAGGGATTATTAGGATTTGTCCTGCTGTGAGCAGTAAGATCTGTAGATGATGTTGCCCACCTGTTGACAGTTGTTTCCATCCTCAGGACTAATGGCAAAGGAGTGACCCAGCATGGCAGCTATGGTCCCACCAGTGAAGCTGAAATGGCTTGAGCATCTCAACAGCTCTTGGATCACCGAAGACAGTGAATCTATTGCCACAAGGGAGGGAGTGTCTGTCTTGTATGCTAAGTTAGTGAGCAATAAAGAAGTAGTGCCATTGCCCCAGCAGGTTCTGTGCCTCAAAGGACCTCAGTTACCAGATTTTGAGCGGGAATCTCTCTCTAGTGATGAACAGGACCACTACCTGGATGCCCTTCTTAGCAGCCAGCTGGCTCTGGCAAAGATGGTGTGCTCGGACTCTCCGTTTGCCGGAGCGCTGCGGAAGCGTCTCCTGGTGCTGCAGCGCGTCTTCTATGCACTTTCTAACAAATACCACGACAAGGGGAAGGTGAAGCAGCAGCAGCACTCCCCGGAGAGCAGCTCTGGCTCCACAGATGTGCACTCGGTCAGCGAGCGGCCCCGGTCGAGCACGGACGCGCTCATCGAGATGGGGGTCCGGACTGGGCTGAGCCTGCTCTTCGCCCTGCTCAGGCAGAGCTGGATGATGCCGGCGGCGGGGCCCGGCCTCAGCCTCTGCAACGACGTCATCCACACTGCCATAGAGGTGGTCAGCTCCCTGCCACCCTTGTCTCTAGCCAATGAAAGCAAGATTCCACCCATGGGTTTGGACTGTTTGTCACAAGTCACAACGTTTCTCAAAGGAGTCACGATCCCGAACTCTGGGGCGGATACGTTAGGTCGTAGATTAGCTTCGGAGCTGCTGCTTGGTCTGGCTGCCCAACGAGGTGCCTTGAGATACCTTCTGGAGTGGATAGAGATGGCTTTGGGTGCCTCAGCTGTGGTGAACACCATGGAGAAAAGCAAGCTGCTGCAAAGTCCAGAGGGGATGATCAGCTTTGATTGCTTCATGAGTATATTGACGCAGATGCGACGGTCTCTGGTAGGCACAGACCAGCTTGGGCTTGTCTGCATTGCAATGTGCTTGCATTCTTAACTAAATAGTTTCTCAAGACTGAAAGCCAGTTTGCTCAATGTGTTTAAAAAAAGGGGTATTTTGTTAATTTTTCTCCTCAGTATTTCCTTTGTTGCCTACCAACTCTTTTCCCCCCTTCTTGCCCACCTGCTTCCTCATAGGTAAAGATGGAACAGCAAAGCAGCCCCTGTGTTGTGACTTCAGTCATTGTGCTTTAACTTCAGGGAAAGAATCAAGGACATACTTGATCCACTTGCACTTGTACATTGAAATGCGTAGCAAAAAAGTTACAAAGTATGGAACTGTTTTTCTGGCTTGAAATTCAGAGTTACACTTTGTTTCCTGCTCCCCACTTCACTTGGACCTTTGCTTATACATCTTGGGGATGTTCAGCGTTTTTGCTACTGCTCAGAAATTAATTTGATAAGAAAATGAGCTAAATTGGAAGTGTGGCACATTTTTTAATGTGTTGAGTACTTCTGGTCCTAGATGAATATTCTTTTCAAAGCTATGAAATTATGGCACAGTGTGCAATCAGAAGCTGTGGCAAACTTCTGCCTCATGTGCTCAGACTGAAACAGAGAATGACTTTCCCTCAAGTTGGTCATCCTTTTCTTCTCAGGCTTATATTACTTGTTAATAAACATAATTTTTAAAATCTAAAAAATGTTAACGAATGGGGACCATGAGAAGAGCATGATAGTGGCAGTATTTGAATTGGATTGTATGTCCCGATGGGCAGCTTTGTTTGTGGTTGGTTTTAGGCCAGATATGAAATTAGAGTCCAAAAAATGGAAGATACATAAAGATAAAATTAATTATGATTAGTAATTTTAAAATAATTATCACTTTGAACACAAATAACATGCATTTCAGAACAAAACAGTATTAGGAGAAGTTAACTCTGAACGCGGATATTTTCACAAAAACGAATCAGTAAGAATGTTTAAGTAGCACTTGTGACATCTTTGTTTTCCTGAAGTGTGTGCAGATGTCACAGCTCAGGAAAAGGTAGTGTACTTATGCTTATAAAAACAAGCCCAAATCCCTGATGTATTTTGCACAGGTGCCCTGTTGCTGTCTGGGAGTATGTTTGTCACAATAACAACATTTGAATGTTGTAGGGCTCGTCTGCTGACCGAAGTCAATGGAGGGAGCCAACCAGAACATCCGATGGCTTGTGCTCCCTGTATGAGGCAGCTCTGTGTTTATTTGAAGAGGTATGTCTTGGGAAAAAGCATGTAAGGTGATTGTATTTTCCTTCCCCCTCACTCATGGGGTCGATGTGAACGTGGGGTGCAGCCCAGTCTTGACTGAGTTACTCTGGAGTAGAAGAGGGGACAAAAACCTGTGAAAAACTAAGATGTAACAAAACAAAGTCACTTGGGCAAACTCATGATGTGGTGATGGTGATTTGTATTTTAGGCAGAGGATCATATTGGGGGGGGGCAGTTAAAGGTGCATTAAGCCTTGTGATTGTGGGGAAAGAAACATCAAGTGCTGCTTGTTTTCCCAGGTGTGTCGAATGGCTTCAGACTATTCCAGGACATGTGCCAGCCCTGACAGCATCCAAACTGGGGATGCTCCCATTGTGTCTGAGACCTGTGAGGTGTATGTTTGGGGCAGTAACAGCAGTCATCAGCTGGTGGAAGGCACTCAGGAGAAAATACTTCAACCCAAGCTCGCTCCAAGTTTTTCTGATGCACAGACAGTGAGTGACATTTCTGGTGGTACATTATGTGACATTCAGCAGCCTCACAGCTACAGTGTGAAATTGAGAAATGGGGTGTCAGCTTGTAATGAAGGTCTGATGCTCAGAACTGATCACACAAGTTATTGGACTGAAAGTATCTCATTACTTTTGTTGATGCCTGGAAGAAACATTTTTTTTGTTTTTAATGACACACACAGATAAATATCCATGTAACAAGAACGACTGAATTACCTGACTTGCTCTACAGAGACAAGTTTGTTTGCCTGGAGTTTTTTTTTGGTGGTGTTTCTTTGGTTTTGGTTTGGATTTTTTTACTGTTGCTTAAAAGGCGTCTTAACTATTCAATCTTCTTTTCCTTTGGTGAATTTTCATACCAAGGTTGCCTAGTTTAAAAGTCCAGACTGGGCTAACTGCTGACACAGCAACCTTAATTAGCTCTCTGAAAATGAGTGTACATGCTCTTCTGCTCCCAGTCACAGATTCTGCCATTGCCATTGAGCACTTTTGTTGATGCATGGCACAGGATATAATAGTTTGCTTTTCTCTTACTACATTGGCTTTGCAGTGTTGACTCAAGTAAAAGCACTTTTTGGTCACTAGACAATTCAGGTGCGTTTTCTGCAGTTGTTTCTATTGACGTCACTGATATATTTGATGTGCCAGTGGACTGCAGGGCTGGGCATCAGAAGGAAGTTTATACATTCAGAAAACTTCCAAAACAGTCATACACAAGAGTGGAATGTGAATGAGTGGGTTACTCTTTTATTAATACAGTGTACACCTCTCTAACATATTTATGTGATTTTTTTTTTCCACTGGGATAAAGATTTTTTTCTTTAGCTTTCTAGCTAAAACAACCGATAATTGTTAATTAATCAAACAATTGATAATTGGTTTAGGGTTCTCTGGATGTTAATTCCCAGTAAATAGGGCTGTGGCTGTGCAGTCTGACACCTGTGTGGGGCTGTTTTATATGTGCCTTTATGCTTCAGATTTGAACCTGCTTTGCACTTAAAGATTCCTGTAGCAAATTATTGCTGGGTTAGTTGATTTGCTGTTGGGTCATTTGTCAGCTGAGCTCTGACTTTCCAATAGAGGCAAGTTCTTATTCTCTTGAAAACTTTTAGTCTTATTTCTTTGATGTTTATGTCATTAAAATGTATAGTGTCAAATGAGAATGGAGTTTTAGCATTTGGCTTATTTCTGTAATGTTATCACTTGGCACTGGTTAAAATTAAGCCAGACCCACAGTGCTGTATCAAGCTGTTAGTTTTTGGGTTTGCTCTTAACAAATTACAATTTCCCTCTGTGACTTTTGGAGATCTGAATGCAGCCCAATGTTTTTACATTATGTTGTATGGAAAGGTCATATAAAGAAACCTGACATACTGTTAAAAAAATACCAGCTTCTAGACCCGTATGTGAATTTTGCATTTATCTAATTTCTGTGTTTCACTATTTTAACCTTTCCTTTGTAGATTGAAGCTGGACAATACTGTACCTTTGTCATTTCTACGGATGGTTCTGTCAGAGCCTGTGGGAAAGGCAGTTATGGGAGACTCGGACTGGGTGACTCCAATAATCAGTCCACACTGAAAAAACTGACTTTTGAGCCTCATAGGTCTATTAAAAAGGTGTCATCTTCAAAAGGATCTGATGGCCACACTTTAGCATTCACAACAGAGGGGGAAGTCTTCAGCTGGGGTGACGGTGACTATGGAAAACTGGGACATGGAAATAGTTCAACTCAGAAATATCCCAAACTTATTCAGGGTCCCCTGCAAGGAAAGGTATGTTTGGTACAGTAGAACACCTATTTTTGTTCTGTTCAGTTGTGATGTTGTGTAAAATATGAAATATATAAAATCTTAAGGAAAAAGTTGTGTGTTTTTCTAGACTTCTCTTTGAAGCTGGGTCTGCTTTCAGCAAAACACTAGAACTTGTGGTTACCTCTAGCTTGTGATCTGGACAATGGCATTGTCAGGAAACCTTCTCACAGTCTTAAGAGTAAAACATTCCAGGAAGGAGAGGGTTGCTTTTGGTACTGCAGCATCAGGACTTTGACTTATAACTCCTTAGTGGCTTCATTTGGAAAGTGGTTCTGTGTTGTCTTATAAGACCTTCTTCTCCCTGTCTTTGTGTGTTTTGACCAGTGTTCTGAACATCCACTGATGCTTCTTTTTTCTCCTGTAAGACCAGGATATCATCATGTTAAAACTGCCTGATAAATAAATCATTAGCAGTTGTATATAACTTGCTTTTTACATATTTATTTCTACTAACCAAATAAGAAATAGGAAAGATTGCAAAGATTCACTTGTGTGTGTATTTGATCCACATGAATGAACAAGTTAATTTGCATAGACTGCTTCTGGAGCTTGGCTCTCAGAAGCTTTCAGACTTCCTGTTTGGTTTGTGTAAAAACTGAATCTTTATTTTTGCCTGTGGTTCAGGTGGTTGTCTGTGTGTCAGCGGGATACAGGCACAGTGCTGCTGTCACAGAGGATGGAGAGCTCTATACGTGGGGAGAGGGAGACTTTGGGAGACTGGGTAAGTTTAACACTTCAGGGAAAACATTTCTTTTGGGAGAATGTCTGTGTCTGGTAATGATTCTGTACATTTATTTGCCTTGTTCTCTAACTGTCCACTCTGAATACACATACGCACATAATGCAGGTGTGTGCATATAGGTGGCTAGTGCAGAGATTCTTAAAAGCTTTTAATACAGTTAATTTTACAAAGAATTTGTTAAAAATATTTTTAATTTCAGGAGAGGTTGCTTTTATTCATAAGTCTACATATGATTGCTAATGCTACTGAAATGTAAAGAGTAGACATTTTAAATAAACTGGAATTCTAGTGTGGTGGGAGGATGGTTCTTTGAACAGTCAGGAATACCTGGCTAATAGTATCAAGGGTCTAATTTTAATAGTCAGCATACTTTACATTGTTTGCCAGATTGCCTTAATGTCCTTTTACCTTAATGCTTCTAAAAAATGCAATTTAACTGAAACAAAAAGCCAGTGTTACTGTTTGCTGCAAGTTGCTGTATCTGTCTGGTCACCTTTGGTGTACAGCTGCTGTGCCTGGTAGGAAACACCTTCTCCAGCAGGTTCAGTTGAACCAGCAGGTTTTGCATAGAAAATTGCTTCAAGTTGGGCAAGTTGCTTCAAGTTTAGTTCCTTTCTGTTGTCTTTGCTCTGAATGTGACCATCACCAAGTATAGAGGGGTGAGAGCAAGTAAGTGACGGGGCAGAAGATGAGGACAGTGTTTTACAGCTTAAATTGTCACAGTTTTCCAAGGTAATCAGTGGAGGTGCTGAGCCTCTCCCTGCTGTCAAGAAAAGAACACTGGGTTAGAGGTTTAACTTACAACTTTGGTGGGAAATGTGGGAATATTCTCCTTGAGGATATTTCTCCTTGACATGGAGTTTTGATGTACTTTGGGAGTCTCAGAGCGTGCAATGGTGAGTTCCAGTGCGCAGCTAAGAGGTGACATTTAGTTAGGTCTTAGTACATTGTTCATATTTAATCAGTTTTGGATGGGCTGTTCTTTTCCCCCTCTTCTCCATTTTTCTTCCACATCTGCAGAATTTCTGTAATTTCTTAGAGATGAAAGATTTTCTGGAGTAGGAGATACTGTAATGTCTGGTTTCTGCAGAAAGGCCCAGTCAGGACTGTGACTTTCCCCAGCCAGCTGTGGTGCTGCTGTGACTTGGCTGTGCAATAGGGACAGTAGTGACAGTGTGCCCTTATTGCAGCTTCCCCTTGCTGCTCAGGAGACCTGCTGCCCACTGTTAGGATGTATAGCTGCCTAATCAACTGCTATTAAAGGCACTTGTATTAGTAATTCCTTATATTTTTTTTCAGCGAGCTAGAAAATAGCCTTAGGATTCAGTGGCACCTTTACCACAGGTGGCTTCCAAACCTGTCTGTGAATCTTTCCACAAAGTGGGCAGAAATTGTCGTTTGTGATGAGCACAGAACACATGGGATTTGCAGAATCTTTATGATTGCAAAAGATAAATAGAACTTAAAGCTTCACAAAAAGAAAACACGTGTTACTTTTTTCCCATAGGTCACGGTGACAGCAACAGCCGCAACATTCCAACTCTAGTAAAAGATATCAGCAATGTGGGAGAGGTCTCCTGTGGCAGTTCACACACCATAGCTCTGTCCAAAGATGGGAGAACAGTGTGGTCATTTGGAGGAGGAGACAATGGTAGGTAAAAGTACCATTTTGGTAGTAATTTTGTGTTATTCCATCTACCTCAGAGTTTCAGTGCTCCTTGCACTTTGGTTCTGGTTTTTGTTTGGTACCTGTACAAGAAAAGGATTCTTATAACATCTAAATACAATATTTGAAGTTTGACTGCAAGACTATAGAGTTTAAAAAGGATTATGGGAGGAGAAAGCTCAGTGAATACATGAACAATTCAAATGAAAATGCTGTGCTGATAACTTCAAAATAAATTCCCTCATGATATGACGGTAGCTATTCACATCCTAGAAACTGTTGCATTTTAACTGCCTGGGATTAATATTTCAATTTTAAAGTACACTGTAACGAATATATATTTCCTTGAGACTGTAATTGAAAGAGAATAGGTTTTGTAAAAATTGTAACAGGTTTTAATTTTAAAAATCCACTCTGACGTTTTTGGTTATCCAAAAAGAATTCTTTGTGGGGGACTTCTGATTGTTGTTTATCCATGGAAAATACCTTGCAGTTGTATTTCCTCCTTTTGTAGGCAAACTTGGTCATGGTGATACAAACAGGGTATATAAACCTAAAGTTATAGAAGCCTTGCAAGGAATGTTTATTCGAAAAGTTTGTGCTGGGAGCCAGTCTTCACTTGCCTTGACATCAACGGGGCAGGTAGGCAAAAACCAGTTTTCACTCCAAATATGAGAGCTGATGAAGGTGCTGTGGGTTCGCGTTACTTCAGCTTTTATTGTTTTGACTGTTGAGAAAATGTTCAACTAGTACTTAAATAACAGTGAAGTTCTTGATTAGAGATTGCGGTTTCTACTGTGCTGGAGTGATTCAAAATGTGCTGAAGAGTCATGTGAAAATATACTTTTCAAGATCCTTGCTTAGCCACAGAAAATGTGTTATTTTTAGGTTAATAAAAGTAACCAGTGTAAAAATCAAATTGGATCCAGGAAACAAAAAGCAGCTAAATGCTTGTAATTCTTAATGCATGAACCAACTCAGGTGATTAGGTGATTTAATAGGTTGGGTTTTTTTTTAAAGCGTATGTGTATTTTAGAATATAGGTGTTAACCGGAAGTTTTATTTCTAATCTGAAAAACCTCAGGAAAGCTCGGAGGTAAATGTTGGGGTGGTTGTGTTGCTTTGCTCCAGGTGTATGCGTGGGGCTGCGGGGCCTGCCTGGGCTGCGGCTCCTCAGAGGCCACTGCTCTCAGACCCAAACTCGTCGAGGAGCTGGCTGCTACCAGGATAGTGGACATTTCCATTGGGGACAGTCACTGCTTGGCACTTTCTCATGGTAAGAACAATAAGGTGTAAAAATACATCATCCATCATGGCCGGGCTTCGCGAACAAAGATTTAGGAGGGGCTCTACCCACGTTTGTTACAAGCGCGCTGGTGGCTAAAAAGGCCAATATGAGATAGACACGTCCGGTTGCAAAAGGCACAGCAGAAAGACTCCTTAGGTGGTAAATTCTGCAAGGCTCGATTCTTTCTGCGTTGCCTTTTCTCCTCAAGAGTGATCCTGCGTGCTTTTTCAAAAGCATCAGCAGCGTTATAGATGGTGTGTCTCCAGGCCTCTCAGTCAAAAGCAGTTGTATCTCAGGTTTTGTTTTCTGCTCTGTTTGTGTTTATAGATAATGAAGTTTATGCTTGGGGTAACAATTCAATGGGACAGTGTGGTCAGGGAAACTCCACTGGTCCCATCACTAAACCGAAGAAAGTAAGTGGTTTAGATGGAGTTGCAATCCAACAAATCTCAGCAGGAACATCCCATAGCCTTGCCTGGACAGCTCTTCCAAGGGACAGGTAATGATGACACTGGGGACACGTATCATTTGCTTTTTATACAAGTCCTCTTTGGGATATATTTAACTACTCCCTGAAGGTGTTCACCACACCATGTGTTTCAAGTATTCTGCTTGTAATGTTTTGGGCTGGAGAGTCTTCCCTCCCTCCTCACCTCTTCCCTCTCCTCCAATTGTTGCATATTGCAAGTGAAACTATATCAGCACAAAGGATTTGGATATTAGTTCTTCGTGTATGAAGATTTTTTACCTGCTGTTAGACCTCTGTTTATTAAAATTTTGAGAAGTTAGGCAGTGGGAGGTGAAACAACTCAGTATTTATTTTTGCTTCTGAAAGGAATTCTTATGGCTTTAGGAAGTTTCCTGTAGTGTAACAAGGAGTGCACTAAGCAGGAGACTTTGGGAAAGGGGAAGTTCAAACAAATTGCTGACGTGGATTTAAACATCTTAAAAAATTTCTGTATGGTTACCTGTTAACTGAACCAGGTTACCTAAACTGAAACCAGGTGCCTAAATAAATAGTTTGGTTATTAATGTACAATAAGTGAAATAATACTTTGTTACACCAAAGACATGAGCAAGTGATTGAAGTGAACCAGTATAGTTTTACATATAAACTAACACAAAGGAATAGAAAAGCTTAATATTTGGAAGATAATTCAAGAAGAATTTCAAATGCCCTGTTTTCACAGGAGCTATCAATTCAGAAAATAGTGAGACTCAAATAGTACTAAGTGGCACTACTGCTTCTGAACTCTCCCTGCATTGTGTCAAGGTCTCTATAATCTGACATTTGTACTAAAACCAGCTTTGTGAGTACTGGGCAGCCTTTGCACGAGTCAGATTAAATACATGTGGCTTCATATTTATAGCATTGTAGGTGTTCCTGTTCTTTAGAATGTTTGTTTGTAAAGAGTTTTACAGCAGAGAGAGCAGAAAATACCCCCGAGGTCAGGAAGTTAGTCTGTCACAGTCATATTGGTTTGTTCTAAGAAAAAAACTGGTTAAGTGTGTGTTGAACCTGCTTGAACTGTTAATTTATTAAAGCAGTTGGAGTATTTCCAGAGGGTGATCTCCTTTGGTTGTGATTGCAGGCAGGTCGTGGCGTGGCACAGACCCTACTGCGTAGACCTGGAAGAAAGTACCTTCTCTCATCTTCGCTCTTTCCTCGAGCACTACTGTGACAAAATCAACAGTGAAATCCCCCCTCTTCCTTTCCCTTCTTCAAGGTACACACAGCATGTGCTTGTTACAGATCTTTATAATTATTTTGTTTTTCTTTACAGCAGCAGTGCTTGGCTTAGTCTTGGTTAGTGTGTTCTTTAACAAACATAAGTCTGGTTTCCTTGCTCCTTCAGGAGCTCTGCAGTGGCCCAAATGTAGCAGGATCTTTTGTCTGGAGTTTATTTTCATTATGCACTGAATTAAAGGCTTTATTTCAGAGTTTTCCTTTGAAACACATTTTTCTATGTAATTGAAATGCATTTATTGTTTCTGCTTTGTTAGTTCTTACTCCTTTAACAGTTTTTCGGAAGGTTTTTACAAAGACTAGAAACTAATACCCTGACCTTTTGTTTTTAACCCAATTTTTGTGCTCCTAAATCTTCTGAGAGAAGATTACATTTATTACTTCTTAAAAGTTTTTTTTTTTTTCTCTATGAATAATACATTTACCTCTTTGTGTATTTTTGGATGATTTTGCCTCCTGATTCATGGGACTGCATTTCTAAAGTGGATACCTCTTGGAACCATTGTCCACAAAGACACTTCTCCCTTCTAGTTTTGGGTTTTGTTCTTTTAAGCACATTGGCAAAAGGTTCTCAGAAGAGGTTCTTCAAACTCCCAGCTGTAATTTGCTTATCTTTTCTGGTACGAAATATCTAAGGCGAGTTAAAAGCTTAGTGCACAAATAAGTGAAAAGGGAGTAGGAGAGATTAACAGGGATGTATTTCTTTTTGCAGGGAACATCACAATTTTCTTAAATTGTGTCTGAAGCTGCTTTCTAATCACCTTGCACTTGCACTGGCTGGGGGTGTAGCCACCAGCATTCTGGGCCGCCAGGCTGGGCCTCTCCGAAATCTCTTGTTTAGACTGATGGACTCTTCTGTCCCTGATGAAATTCAGGAAGTAAGTCACGCTCTGTTGTTTGCGTGTGAAAATTGTGCTACTCTCTCTTCTTTCTTTCTTTGTGCAATTAGAGATATATCTGACTTTCAGCAGTTGGCACTGTGATAAACATGAGTCTGACTTAGCGGTTCTACTCGTGAAAGGTAAAAACTGCAGTCACCATCACTGTTCTATGATGTGAAAGCAGAGGAGAATGTTTGCAGAAGAATGTCAAAAAGCTGCTTTATTTTGTAACTTTGCAATAATGAGCCTAAAATGTTAGTGTTGTGGATTGAGTAATTAACTCAGTTGAGTAATTCTCCTAAATGTACTCTTACAGGAAACAGCAGCTTTTGTTGCTCTCATTTATTTCACTTCTTCAATGTACTGCATGACTTTGCATCACAACATGAAAAATTAGTGTGCTATTGTGAGATAGAACTCTGATGTTAAATGAAATTAGGCAAGATATTTTGGATATGTCATGGGTGATGTGCTGTGTTTTTTAAAGATACAGGTGAGTCGATTATCTCCCCCTTCCCTACTGAAGAAGTATTTTCTGCTGCTCTAATTTTAGGTTGTAATCGAGACTCTGTCAGTAGGCGCAACTATGCTGCTTCCTCCACTGCGAGAGAGAATGGAATTGCTCCATTCCCTGCTCCCCCAAGGTCCTGATAGATGGGAGAGCTTATCAAAAGGACAGGTAAGGTCAGGTAAAAATATGCCATGCTTTGAAAGCAGCTGTGGTTTGCTTTGGCTTTTTCTGTTTGGAACATTGTGAACTGAGGTGAGCCTTGTTTTCAGAGTGCCAGCACATTCCTGGTGAGGTGCAGTGCAAAGCCCAGCATGACAAAACCTGGAGGTAGCCTGGCTTAAACCAGAGACCAGTGAGACAGGGAACACTGCATGTTGGCTGCTTAGGAATTGCTGTGTCAGCATATCCAGACAAGTATAAAGAGTAGATATTTTTGAATTTGGGTTTAACTATTTGTATTTAACGTGTCTTGGAAACAGAAAATTATTTCCTGGGAAGAATACTTGTATAATGCTTTCCCTACATGGATTTCACCCTCCTTTGCGAAGATGACTGCAGTGTTCCTTTTGTCTTTTTCTTTCTTGATTGCAAAAAACAGGAATTAATTCAGGTTAGGATGGTTGCCTAGTATCCTACATTGGAGGGAAAAAAATTCAAGGAACATCTGTTCCTGTCCTTGAGGGCATAGGAACTGAAACTTCAGCAGTAGTCTCAGACTGAAAAAATGAGCAAAAGTACTGTTGAGTTCTGTGCACATAGGATCCTGGTCAAATCCTGTATTTTATACACTAAGGAAGAGACTGGCTTACACTTGATACTGAAACTATGAAGTAGAATCTTCTGATTCTGATTTTCTAAAGATTTGTGAAGATGAGTATTGGTACAAACTAAACCCCCTGACAATTACTAGGGCAGAACAAGTTTAGGTTTTCCAGCATTCAGAACCAGCAGCATTAGGGATCAGCACTAAAGGTGAAGGTCATTACTCTGCATCTGCCACCTCTCTTGGTCTCATGTGTGCTTGTTCTGCTTTTTACCCTTTTTCCTACATACAGCCTAGAAAAATGGTGTGTCCCCCACCAACCCCCCAAATAATCAGATAACTCCAACAAACTGGAGAAAGCATTTAGTCCAGTGTCTAATATCTTCCTCTTAATCTCAGATTTTACTAGGTATGATCATCTAATTGATATATTTATCTGTTCTCTAATGCTACAAATCTACAGGAAAACCTGGAGGTTTTTGGTAAAGTCCTCCAGCTTATTTCTCTGTCCCATTACAATATTTTCATTGTAACTACGTCTAATCCTTTTTCCTTCATAGCTCCTTATTTATTCTATCCTCATTAACAAAGAATGTTTTATGTGCCTCTAAACATTTTTCTTTAGAGAATGCAGTTGGACATCATCCTGACAAGCTTGCAGGATCACACGCACGTGGCTTCCCTGCTTGGCTACAGCTCACCCTCAGATACCACCGAAACCTCCTTGCTGTGTATCAGCTATGGAAACCTCTCTGATCAAACGTATGCTGTGCAGAGCAGCCACCCAGACACTCACCTGGCTGAAATCTTAATGAAGACTCTGCTGAGAAATTTGGGATTTTATACAGTATGTATAGGCCTTGTAATTAATTGCTTTATTTTTAAAATTGTAATGAATTTTGGATACGTAGAAGGGTTAATTTTTTTTTTCTCCATCTCAAGAAAATGGTGCTCTTTTTCTTTTATCTAAAGTAGCAGTGCAATATGTATTTGTCCTGAAGTGGACTAAAATCAGTTAAATCATCTCTAACAATATGGTTTTTGTGTTATTATAGTGGTATTTATTGTTTAAGATGACTTATGTAACTGCAGCTGCATTCATATCAGACTATTTTATTGCTCTTGCTTTGGCTTCGAAGTTTTTGGCAGATAGAATGTAACACAAGAAGTGCATGGAATGTTTTTAGTTGGTATAATCTCAGCCACCAGGGAACAATAGGCAGACACCAGGAGCATGAATCTGTCTAATTAACTTCACTAGGGTTATTACCTCATGCTTATTACCTGACTGAACATCTTATGCATCAGCCCCCAACAGATCCTAAAGATTATTACTTATTTTAACATACTGTGATTTGGGGGCCAGGTTAGGGAGTGGGTTTTGTCACCCAGTTAGCCTTGCGGAGTTGAATAAAAACATTGCTGCCTCTGAAAGAAACCTTTTCAGAAGAGAAGTGTTCACTTGACAGCCATCGCGATCACTACTGTGACTTTCTAAACAAGTGTAATTTTAGCTGTGGTTATCCCATGATCCACTGGCATATAGTAAAGATAAATAAAAGTTTCTTTTTAAGATGATTGTCAGGTTTCATGGCATTTGAAGCACAGTTAATTGTTCTTTTTCTCCCCCTCCTTTTTGTCTTAATAGGACCAAGCCTTTGGAGAACTGGAAAAAAACAGTGATAAATTTTTACTAGGTACATCATCATCAGAAAACAGCCAACCTGCTCATCTTCATGAGCTTTTATGTTCACTGCAGAAACAGCTGCTGGCTTATTGCCACATCAACAGTGTCAGTGAGGTGTGTGTTTTTATTTTTATCATTTAGGAGAGAAAAAACTAATTCGGTATTCATCAGCACCACAATGTTGTAAGGTTCCTGTTTGTAAATCTGAGTATTTGAAAGCTAAACTAATTTAAATAACCCTTTAAATATATTTACAGAATTATTCTTGTGTTGGTTTGTTTCCTTCTAGAATTCCAGCAGTGTGGCTCTACTCCACAAACACCTTCAGCTTTTGTTGCCTCATGCCACAGATATCTATTCCCGTTCTGCAACACTGCTGAAGGAAAGCTCTTGGAATGGTAGTGTTGGGGAAAAACTGAGAGGTAAATGTTCATGGAAAAATCAGTATTGATGGCTCTGTAAGCTTAGATTTGAATAACAAAATACCTTGTTTTTCCTGTATCTGCATAAAGTGGACATCCCAAGCATCCCCCAAAAGAGGAGATTAGGTGTCTACCCAGGGATAGCATCTGGTTCGTGTTTTTGATACAACATTTGACATACAGGGAAAATACAGAATGGAGAAGACATTGAAACAATAATGCACAGAGGCAGTTTTGTTAATTCTAGATTTCTCTTTTTTAAAAGTGCTGTTTTTGTGATCACTGAAAAGTGTGTTAGTAAAATACAAAATAGATTGATAATTGTTAAACCCATCAATTCAACACGTGCCATGGAGACATTTTGAGAAAGCTGAGGAATTTTATGCAATTCTTTGACTTGCTACATGGCCTTGTTATGCTTGGAATATAACTGTAATTCAGCTTTGCTCTCCCCCCTGCAGATGTGATTTACGTCTCAGCTGCTGGCAGTATGCTCTCCCAGATTGTCAATTCCTTGCTGCTGCTGCCAGTGTCAGTAGCCCGGCCCTTGCTGAGTTACCTGCTGGATCTGCTGCCACCTTTAGATCGTCTCAACAGGCTGCTGCCTGCTGCAGCCCTTCTGGAAGATCAAGAATTACAGTGGCCTCTTCATGGTAAGTGTAATAACATGCTTTTCATCTGAAAAGTAAAGAATGGCACCTTTTTGTAGTGGAAGTTTAACTTTCCCTTTTAAGATGGCTTTTTTTTTTTAAGCTGTGTATCTTGCTACGTCTCCTTCTCCATTTCCTAAATGTATTAATGGCCCTTGCTGTGAAATACTTTTTCTGCTTTAATTGAGTGCAGTTTCCAGTTGTTTCCTGTATCTGTACATGTTTATCAGAACACAAAGAAGTGTGTGTTGGACAAAATACTCTTGGGCAGAGTTTGAAGGAGCCTTTCCTTCGTGAGCAGCTGTGCCAGGAATGGTGATGGCCTGTGCTGCTGCTGTAGTCACCATGTTAAGTGGCCTCTTTGTCGTACCTGCTGTTCCTTCAGTCGATTGAGGGGCAAATCTGCCACTAACGGGGAAATATGAACAAGATCTGTTAATTTTGCTGATTTTGGAATTGTTTGTAACATCTGGGCAAGAGTGACTGATTTGAGGGCGAATCCTTTCAGGTGGCCCCGAGTTGATCGACCCTGCCGGAGTGCCCCTGCCACAGCCTGCCCAGTCCTGGGTGTGGCTCGTTGACCTCGAGAGGACAGTGGCCTTGCTCATTGGGAGGTGCCTTGGGGGGATGCTCCAGGGCCCTCCCGTATCCCCTGAGGAACAGGACACGGCCTACTGGCTCAAAACTCCACTTTTCAGTGATGGGGTGGAAATGGATATTCCTCATTTAGGTAACTGTGAAATGCCAGTGTCTCCTGGTCGTTGTAAATATTCGTGATCCGTTTTGAAATTTCTCATGATGTTTTGAATGGGTCTGTGCACTCAGGGGTTGTCTTCCAGCGTTGGTGTGTGTTTGTGGAGTAATGCAAAAAGTTGCAAAATGGATGTTTAAGTGTATGATGTAGTTTACGAAGGGTCTTGGAAATGCATAGGGAAGTAAAATCTGCAATTTCTCAGTGAAAGGACACAGACTTTATTGAGTTAATTTTAAGAGTTTAACTCTTAGATGCTCAGCAGCGTTTAACAGGCACACCAGAGGCTCAGTTTTTCATATTAATTATTGGAAAATATTATCTTACATTCTACTTGCAAAGTGAATTTTTTTATTAATTAGAAACAATACTATTAATAACAAACTTAAGTCGTTATGATCTACCAGAATTGGTAACAACTCAGCATTAATATTCTAGTCATCCCTTCCTATCTGAACAGTGCCCTTGCTTTTGCTTCTTTGTGACCTCTTCTTCAGTTCACATCTCTGTTCCCATCCCCTCTGGTTCTTGAGTAGACTTCAAGACTTATTTATAAGACACAGTGTTTTGAAATGGGTCCAGGCAGTAACTGCAAGCTGTGCAGTTCAAGTGGAATTACCGATACAGATTTTTGCTATTGAAGAGGAGTTGGAGAATGTTTCTAAATCTCCATAGGTTTTATGTAAATTGTAACTCTTAAGTCACTTCCCTGTCTAATGTAAATTTTTTGTAGGACAATGAGATGTCTTGATTTTTTAATTTTTTTTTTAACTAATTGTAGAGTGCTTTTACGTAGATGTGTATGATCTTCAAAATGTGCAGAGTTTAATTTCTTGGGTATTTCCCTTCTGTCAGACAAATGCATGAGCTCCTTGTTAGAAGTGGCCCTGTCTGGAAATGAGGAGCAGAAGCCCTTTGATTATAAGCTGAGACCTGAGATTACAGTCTATGTTGATTTGGCCTTGGGTTGTACAAAAGAGCCAGCCAGGAGCCTCTGGATCAGTATGCAAGATTATGCTGTTAGTAAAGGTAAGGTGTTGAAAATGTGTGTGTGTTAAAAGCATATTGCATATATTACATACCTGAACTACACTCCTAGGACAATCCTGGATTTTTGTTGGCAACAATTTTTAATTCTGCAAAAGGAAAAATAATTTATTGTTATGTTCTACAGTCTCTCTTCTGCTGTTTCTCTTTCTTTTGACCTTGATTTCAGTGTTTGGCAAACATGTAGTTTAGTGTTGTTTTTTCCCCTGACCTGGTAAGAAGAAACTCTTGTTTGCTTACTCAGTTGTTGGTTTTTCTGTTTTCCGAGTAGAGCAGGGTAAAACTGACAATTAAAAGGGAAAATTAATGGGGAGGAGATGGGGAAAGGCAAAGTAACTTGCAAAATATGTTAGGAATGGAATGAAGTCACCCTTTGTTTGTCAAGTCTCTGGGAGGCTGGCCTTACAGTGTTAATAGTTCCTCATGCTTATAGCATAAAATCTGGGTTTTCCTGCTCAAGCTTCCCAGGTTCCTTTTAATGACCTCCACCAAATATTGTTGTTGTACTGTAACTCTGCAGTATCCAGAGATAATTTTCTGTGGCTCTGGCCAAGCTGAGCAGGATGAAGAAAACAACAAGTGGTCTTATGAGCCTGTTGAGAGCAACACAGAGGGTTCTTTTAGAGAGTTCCACAGGAGCAGGAATTCCAGTAAAAAAACCTGCTGGTTATCTATTTACAAAATCTGAGATGAGTGGGCTGATATGTGTAATTTTGGCTATGGAGCTGGGCTCTTTAGAAGTTGGTGTGGTTCTGCTCTGTTCACAATGCAAACTGACTGAGGAGCAGGTGTGTTAGATAAACTGTGTGTGGCCAGGTGAGTTTTTGTCATTTCTACAGCAGTTTGCAAGGATTCATAGATAACATTTGATAGAAAAAGATGTTCTGAGGATACTTATAAGGAAGTGGGACAGTATTTTTTTTTCCCCTGTGGAAAATGATGGTGCTTTGTGGAGGTTTGCTTGGAAGTTTGGCTATTTTGTAATCGAGTAAAAAGAACCATTATGAAAATAATATTGAAATGGGGAAAAGTTCTTTTGAAATTAGGAGGTCAGTTCCTGAAAATACCAGTTGAACCTTCATTTCAAAACCTGAAAAGGTCTCTTGGTAATATTAGCAGTGAAGCTTGTGCTTTTAAGCTTGAGCAGTTGGCCTTCCTGCTGGAGATAAGGCTTTTCCATCATGAGCAAAACTGTGAAATGATGCTGGAACGTGGTTTCAAACATGTTTTAAAGAGCAGAAAGTCTCAACTATGATGTGTTTCTAAGCAAGATCCGTGTGAATTTGTGCCCCAGAAGAGAACAGCTCCAGTTTGCTATTGTTACTTGAAAGACAGGTTGCACCCTAGTTTCTGCTCCCTGGCTCTCTGGTGGCACTTTGTGTGCACACTCTTGGCCATCAGACTGAAGGACCTTGAGCAGCCAAACCCACACTGGTCTGAAGTAACCTGTGTGTATGAGTGAGTGATGCTGAACATTTCTTAAGCGTTGAAGCTACTGCTAAATTGAAGGATTTAAAGGGGTGAAGATTTTTTTATGATGTCACTGAAAATACTTTTGTTTGTTGGGAACAGCCAGTTCTGATGAATCCTTTCTCTTTTCAGATTGGGATACTGCAACTTTAAGTAATGAATCACTCCTAGACACTGTGTCCAGATTTGTTCTTGCAGCTCTTCTGAAGCACACGAGTTTGCTCAGTCAAGCTTGTGGTGAGAGCAGGCAAGTCATTTAAAGCTGCTTTTAAAAGTTCAATTGAATTCTTGGAAGGCAGTTTGTGTGATCTTTTTTTTTTCTGGCTTGGGTCTCTTTTTTGGCAGGTACCAGCCTGGCAAGGCCCTGGCAGAAGTTTACCGCTGTGTGTACAAGGTTCGGAGCCGTTTGCTTGCCTGCAAGAACATGGAACTCATTCAGACCAGATCATCCTCAAGAGACAGATGGGTAAGGCTGGAAATCTCCTTTCAGTTCTTGAGGCTCTACTGGGTATTCAGAAAATATTACATAATGTTGGTTTCATATTCGTTGCTGGTATTTTCATTGTGTCTTGTTGAAAACTTCCAGGAGTTTTCAAATGAAAATGGGCAGAGTGTAATGAGGATTCTGTTTGTAGTACATGTGATGCTGAATCAGTTGGAGCCAAGGATTGATTGGCAGCATTTGGCTGGAGCACAGCCTTAGGCCTGGCTTTCCCTGTGACCGTGGCTCTGATGTGCTGGGCCATAGAAGCCTGGAGCTTTGATGGAGGTGGCTTAGCTGTGTTGGACAGGCCACAGCTTAGTCTGGCTGCCATTCCTGAATCCAGCTGAGTTTTCTGGGCCTCTGATCTCTGTACCTCTCTCTTCCCCTTCCCTGCCTTACTCACCTCTTCTTCCTTCCTCCCTGCTTGGATTATCTCCTTAGTCCTAACATTGCTTTACTGTGACCTGTCCTTGTCAGCCCTGCCTGAATGTCTGCCATTGCATTCTGCCCTGCAGGAATGCAACCAGCACGATGGCAACCTCTGAATCGTTTCATTAAGCCAGGTCACATTTGATGATGGAAACGGTCATGGAATTACTCCAGGTTGGGGCCTGTTGGGCATTACAAAGTACTCCTTAAAGCAGGATTCAGGTTTCTCTGATAGGATTTTTAAGCAAGATATTTTTAACCGACAAAATTCTAATGTGACATGAGGATTAAGAGGCTTTTTGGCTGTATTATAAAGCACTAGTGATGCTCTTTATAAAACCATGTGCATACGTTGCCTACTTAATTAATGTTGGGGATATGTGTCTTGGCCACTTGGTTTCTCAGTTTAGGGGTCTGACATGTCTGCAAGACATTCAGCACCTCTGAAAGCATTGGGTATGTTCAGTAAGTTCTCCCAGAAATCCTCACAGTTACTGTGCAGATGCAGCACAGCAAATCTGATACATGTAGTAGATTTGTTGTTTCAGATCTAATACTATTGGGAAAAAGTGTCTGCTTTGCATTTGCATAGCAAACACAGGCTTGATGACAGAATGAGGAGGGCAAATAAGCCAGAGAAATGGTGACCATGACGTGCTGCTGTCAAGACCACCTGTTTTTTTCTGCAGATAAATTATGTGGGTGGAATGCTTTTCCTCCAAGTTTTGTAGGATTAATTATCTTCTAAAGTATTCCGAAACCTCTGTTGTAACTGCATGTTTTAAAGCTTTACCTTCTTGAGACTGTTTAAAGCTGCTTCCTGCATTGGAAAATTATCTGTTGGGTAATATGTATTTTGCTGGTCAGCACTTCTATCCTCAGACTGAGGGAAAGCATCAACTCAACTATATCCACTCAATCAGAAAAAAATTTAAATTCAAGTTCTAAGACCATTAAACTTCCTGCGCACCTCATATGCTAATCTTTGGGATGTAAATCTGGTAATTTTATGGAAATGAAAGGGAGGAAAAGAACTGCAAATGCAGAACTGTTAAGAAGAAAAATGGGAACATATTTACTATCACTTTAAGGAACAATCTTATCCATCAAATAAGTTTTATTGTATTCATGTTCTTTTTAAGGGAATAATTTTTATGATTCAACAGGATGACTTTCCAAAGGCTTTGATGCTGAAGTGTCAAAGTTTGACAGTAGACTCTTAAGTAAGCATTACAAGGAGGCATTTTTATGTAAATAATCTGAGTAATGGTTACTAAAGGAAAATTAAATTTCCCAGCTGACGTAGAGTCTTGAATGTAAACGGCTGATATTTTTCATTTCACAGAGTATCAAAATTATCTTTTTGATAGGAAAAACCCCTTACTCAATACCTGTGTCCTTTTACATTCATCTTTCATTTGGGTGAGAATTTTTCACTTTGTGATTTGTGGGTTTTTTTCATCAAGATGCTGGATAACCAAGAATCTGCTGATGTTGATACTCAAGAACATTCTTTTACTCGTACAATTGATGAAGAAGCAGAAATGGAGGAGCAAGCAGAACGTGACAGAGAGGAAGGACACCCAGAACAAGAAGATGAAGAGGAGGAAAGAGAGCATGAAGTTATGACAGCTGGTAGTAAGTACTAGTTCTGTGTGTCAATGATGTCCTTTGGAAGGACAGTGTCCTTTTCTCTTTGAGGTAAAATCGAGCAATTAGTTAAAAAATTGTGAAAGATTTGTCTGCATAAGCATCGTGAGAAGTTTATTTTTATAAAATGGTGCAGTGTTTTTATTGATTTAGGGAAGTCTTCAGATGCAAGGGGATGTGAATACTGGGCAAGTGCACTGCCTTTGTGGGCAATTCCCAGGGCATCTGCTGTATCTTAACACTTCTTATATGCACTGTCTGCAAGACTAATGGCTTTCATATTATTTCCTCTGAAGTTCTTGCCAACAGATCTCCAAGTTTTCATCAGTATTTATATATATAGAATTTTTGCTGTGTTTGTATGTGTTGTTATTTTTTGTAGTGAGCTTTGAAGGGTAATGTTATTCTGAAGTTTGGAAACAAAACTGCTGTTGATAACGGGGCTGACTGAGTGGGAATTCACTTCTGTCTTTGAGTATCTCAGTCAGAGTTTGGTATTTGTAACACTATTTGCAATACTTTCTCATGGGTTTTCTAAAAATCTTGTTTAATTCTTTAGAAGATAGCTTGGAAAAGGTAAACCTTGCAGACTGTTATTGTACCGATTTGGGTTTGTAATCTGGCTCAGTGGGATAGTTAATCCTTAATTTTTCCAGTTTCAGTGAAGCACATTCAGTCACACTGGGCTGGTTTTCTCTGTTATTAACTCAGCATTCCCAAGGACAGCAGTTGTGTTGGCCTGGGAAGTTTTCTGTAGAGTGTATGTAGCTTAAAAAGCAAAATTGGCTGACCTGAGATATTTGCCATAGATGCATAATTTTTTTTTCCTTTTCCAAATACTGTTCCTCTGGATACTGTTAGAATGCTTGTCTTTTTCCAGCCTCTGCTGTCATCCCCTGTTTTGCTGACAGTTCCCCATTAGGACTCCTGTATTTCTCTTTGGGAGCTCACAGACCAAAATGTATTTTACACCTTTAGTTTTCTGTGGTGTGTCATTGCATGGGCAATGCAGTGGCCTTCCCTGAAGGCGTGCTGTGGAGCTGAAGGCACATTCAGGAGATGCTTTATGGTTCCAGAAGGTGTACGTGTGTTACCAGTTCAGTAGATGCAATATGTTTTTGCTGCTTAATATGCAGTTAACCTGGGCAAATGCTCAGGGTTCTCAAATTCCACCTGCACAGGGTTTCTGGGCACAATAAAGGAAATGTGTCCAGAAATATCCAGACAGACAGTAGTGTTACATGCACAGATAAGTAGGAAGATGATGATTATTTCACTGGACTTCCCAAGGAAGCTGATCCTGACATGCAGAGTTCAGTTGGTGTCCTTGATGCCTTGCTGCTTCTAACTGTTGATACCAATGAAGGAAGTATTTAGGTTTACCTCTGCCTTTCCAAAAGGGAATTGAATCTTTAAAAATAAAATTATTAAATCAAGAGAACTTAAGGTCTTTAGACAGAGATGAGGAGATCTCTCACACAGCTGCTTTAGAGGAATCTGGCAGCTCAGACAACAGCAGAATTCAGTAAAGTGAAGGCTAAGAATTTTAATAAGATCTTCATTGTACTGCCCAAAGCTAATAAAAGCCTGGAACTGTTTCCGTATTGACTTGGAGATACGCTAGAGTCTGAAATACAGATTTACAGAAGCATTACTTTTATAGGTCTGCTAAAAGGCAAACATGAAATAATCTCTCTCTCTTTGATGCCATCCAAGCAGGAGTTGGGTTGCAGTAAGACACTGAAAGAGTGTTTGGTGTTCTGTCAAAGTGCATTGTCCTCTTCATTTTAAAATTAACATTGTGTAAATGCTTCATTTAACCTGTTTGCATGACTTCTTTGATGGCATTGTATTATCAATGTATTCTTTTACTGTTGGAAAAATATTAGTTGTTCTTTGTAGTGGGGCAGTTTTTGACCCGAGATGTAGATGAATATTTTATTCTCTGTAGCTTTGTCTAGAAGTTAAGACCTTCTTTTTGTGTTGCATGTTACAGAAATATTTCAATGTTTCCTATCAGCCCGTGAAGTAGCTCGCAGTCGGGATCGGGATAGGATGAGCACTGGGACAGGGACTAGACTTGATGATCCACCCCCTCAGTCTCAGCAGGAAAGGAGGATCAGCACAGATCTGACAGAAGGCCAGGATGTGTACACTGCTGCCTGCAACTCGGTGATCCACAGGTGTGCCCTGTTGATCCTGGGGGTGAGCCCCGTTCTGGAGGAGCTGCAGAAGCGCCGGGAGGACGGGCACTCCCAGCAGCCACCCTCGGCCACCCCCGAGGGCATCGGGCTCATGACGAGGTGGGCTCTGCTCCTTGTGTATCTCTGCTCCCTTCAGCATTGATTGAACAACCTCAGCTTTCCCCTGAGGATTCTCACAATTGTTTTAGAAGAAACGTTTTGCTTAGAGCGGTGTTATGCTCAATTTTTACTCAATTTTCTTTGTCCATGTTAACTAAAACTGAAGTTTTATTCTGTGTGCACCCTATTTAAGTTTCAAAGCTGGGCTTAGTGGTGAATAGTTCAGACCATCAGGTGTACAGATATCATGAAGTACTTGGAAAACCTATTTCTTTTTCCTATAATTTGTGTTTGGATTTTTTTATTGCCGTATTTGTGTTTTCTTGACCCTTACCAGTGTCCTATGTAGTAGTGTCAAAAAAATTGTAGTGTATGTTTAAAACAAAAGTTTCAAAGCCTGTTATGATAAAAGTGTTGTTCATGTTTGATTTTTATAAGTATTCCTAACATTGACATGGGTAAGACACTTTTATTAGGTATAGGAGAAAAAAAATTAAGCCAGGCAGCTCACTGAATGGGAAGAAGTGTTTAATTTAAATAGTATAAGTACTACCTCATCTGTTTTAAATTTTGTAACCAAATATATTCTTGGTAACACAATTTTATTCTAAACTTGACTCACTTAAACTTTTATTCTGGCAGTCTTTATGCTTAAAGTAGAATATAGCACAGGAATTGTGTAGGTGATGCTACTAGTCTGAATCTACTTATGCTTCTAGTGTACAGAAACTCTGTTTGGTATTTTAAATTAAGGTATTGATGGGAAGTATAGAGGAGGATTATATATATTCAGTACCCTTTTATTCTTTTTGCCTCTTTTTGGAGATCTAGTCCCTAAAGCATGGGTAGCTGCCTCTGTCATTGTCAAAGTGCCTTTCATCTCCAGCATATCAACTTTAGGATGCATTTTAGGGGTGGGTTTTGAATAAGTTCAGTGCTTTGTCACCCACTTACTCTGTGTTTGTTTTCCTGTGCTCTCAGCTCAGTGTTTGTTACTCTGTGTAATACTCACCAAGGCACTAGAGATCCCTCACTGAGGTCCCCCTCTATTCAGTTGACCAGTCAGGCTGTGAAGAAATAACAGAAGTTTACTAATACCCTTTATAAGCATAACTGAAGCCATCAGACCACTTTTTGCCTCTTTAACGTGGTCTTGTGATGTTCTGTGATAGTTTGCTCCCAAAGAAAACTGTGGCACCTGCTAAACTTGACTATCAACTCTTACTTTTGTCTGATATCAGTGTTTTCTTTCTGTGTGCACATAAATGTGTGTGCCCCTGGAGCAGGAGTGAAAGTCTGACAGCAGAGAGTCGCTCAATCCACACCAACTCCAACTACAGACTGATCAAGTCAAGGAGTGAGTCCGATTTGTCTCAGCCAGAATCTGATGAGGAAGGTTATTCACTGGTGAGTAAACCAGTATTTCCTTGCAAGTGGAAAGCACATCTGAAACATTTGTTCAGTACTGTGTTTCCGTAGGTCAGTTCAGCATTTTGAAGAGAAAGTACTAGCGGTAAAAAACCAATTGAAATTATTATAGCTCTGCTAACTTCCTCGCTTTTATGGGGGAGGGATGGAAGTTAAATACTCAAATATTATGCACCACGTATGTTCACGTAAAGAAATGAGGCTTTTGTTCATCTTTTAATGTAGAGTGGAAGACGAAATGTTGATTTGGATTTGGCAGCATCACGCAGAAAGAGGGGTAAGTTTTCTTGTTTACCTCATGAATATTGACCAGATAAATGTTTGTGTTAAAGTGTGTTTGCAGTTACATACAGCTGACAGTTACATAACAGATCCTAAAACTGAGTATTTAAAAATAATATGTAAAAGAATTGTTACCTACTGTTTGTTACTTTGTGACTTGGTTTTAGTATTTCCTAGTTTATAACTATTTTAGTTTCAAGAATCGTGACCTTTTGAAGCAAGTGAGGATTTCTGTGAAGTTAAGTGAATTAGGAGCATTCATTTTGTTTTCACTCATGTGACTTCAGGAATAAAAAACTGGCAGAGAAGTTCATGTGGAACTTGTGCTACCAATGAACTTTTACCATAAAATGTGCTTGAACGAGGAGAACTTGTATTCAGAAAATACCGCCTTAATTTGCATCCTTTCAACACCAGCACATCTACAGAACCAAGCAACCACTGGTTTTATTGCTCCAGTATAAATCAGATTTTTAACTTTTGTACTACTTTGTGTTGCTGCTTCTCACTGGGGAATTTCAATGAGCTTCTTGATAGAAGGTATGGAGGGAGCAAAGGGTGTTTGTTTACAAGGAGACGAAAAGTCTCACTTCAGTCTGGGTGATGCACAGTCTCTGTGAGAATCACAACTTAGGTCTGTTGTACCTGTAAAAATCATGGGAAGATGTAAACAGGAATTAGATTGAGTTATGTTATACTTTAATAACAGAAGCCTTTAACCCTTAGGTCGTGTAAGAATTCTAGCAGAGCACTCAGAGGCTGCTTGCTTTTTGAAGTCTTCTGGAACTGTAAAACAGGCTATCAGTGGCAGCACCCATTGGATTTCAGTATTTAAGTAATGTGAAAAGGAAATCCTTGTGCTTGCATAATCAACTGAAACAGTTGAACAAGTAAAGAAATGTTGTAGAGCTGTTTGTACTCTGACAGCAGGATGTGTCGTGGCATTCTCAGTGTCAGGAGATCTGTCAGAAGGCCTCTGTCAAGTCTCTGAAACCAACATTTTTAGCTTTGCCATTAATCTGACATAGAACTCTGCACTTGATTTCCTGTGTCCTGAAACTAATTCAGGAAATGATCTTGGGTTAGATCTCAGATACAGTATATTTTATGGATTATAGTTCCTGAGCTGTTGGTTAGGCTGATGTTGCTTTGGTCACAAGCCTCAGGAAATGGGCAATAATGCAAGAGGAGACTTTATTAAAACTTATTACAGCAGAAGATTCTGCACTGGGTCTGTACCACTGAGGAGAAACGGGGGAATGCAGTTGATCTGTCCAGAACCTAAAGAAGCTCAAGTAGCTCACGTGCAAACTGAACACTCTGACAACATGTAACTCTTTCTGGTACTGGGAGACTTATTTGCTGTCCCATGGTACTTAGATTTTTTTTTTGTCTGTTTTTGGCAACTGGGGTTGGTCAGCATACAGTAATGAAAACTGGTCTGCTTGTGCTGGATGATATATAGGACAGTTTTGATTGATACCCAGTGAATCCAGGGTGCATTTACGTTCCTCATGGGTCTGTTAAAGGTCAGGAAAAGATCTACAAACGCCTGTGTGAGAAGTGGATGAGCTGTTCTCAGGGCTGTTTAAGGTCTTTCATCTCTTCTGCCGTGTTTGGTTTTGTGAATCCCCTGGAGCTGAAGCATGTCCCAGTGTTTGGTGAGGGTGCAACTTCCAGCCAGTTTGGATTGTCCCCTCGCCCCTTGTCACATCTCCAGCACACTGAGGTGCCAGGGATGGTGCAGTGCCAGTCACGGATGTTGGAGTGGTGAAACCCCTTCAGTTATATCTCTGTTCTTGGGATGTGCTGTGACTGATAAGGGGGATGTTTGTGCTCACTGTTGGCCTCAGTTTGAGGAGCAGGAGAAATCTGAATTCTCACAGCACATTCACATTCAGCTGTGCTCCATCCCCCAGAAGGAATTAAAGACTTCATCTGCATTTGAATTTGCTACATTTGTTCAAAATTGAAGTGATGAAAAAGCCCAGTTTCCTGTTTATGGCAAGTAAACCACTGTGGCAGAAATGACCCACAGAAGACTCCAACATTGTTTGTCAAGATGTTCTCCAAGTGGATTTTAAAGTGCCACCAAAGTCAGACTCCCCTGAAGCAACCAATAGATATTTTCGTGAGGAACAGGCAGCATATTTTTATTTTTAGGTTGTTTTTTTTTTGACATGTTCTTTCCATATTTATGATTGTACCTTGTACTCCTACATCTGATCTGCTTTTGAGTGGAAGATGTGGAAGATTTTGTGTCCCTTTAAATGACAAGGAGAGGAAGGAAACTTGTCATATAGATGCTGAAGTATGTGTCTATTTTGAGTGCAGAGAATAGTCATGCATTACAACAGAAGTGTATGTGGGAAACACTTCTCAAATTGCAATTAACTTAAATCCTACAAAACAGCAGCAGTAACCAGTGTTGCTTTAAGGGACTTAGTAGCTGAACTCTTCACATTTTTGTTGGATCGAATGTGGAGTTGGCAGTGTTTGGGGGGAAAGAACGAGTGGAGTCTTACAGAAAAACCAAAGGAACCACTTCTCATTTCTTTCTGCTGAAGTTTATAATTTAAAATATTTGATCACGTTTCCTTTTATGTGTGGTTTTTAAAATAATTCTTTACTCAAGTTTGCAGCAGCCCTTGAAAATGTTTGTTCTCTTCAGTGTGTCTGCATAAGCTGAAGGAAGCTGGCAAGCAAAGCCAACTGGAAAGCAAGGTTTTTTTCCTTCTATCACCACTGCTTTTTTCCTGCAGGCTGTGCTATTTTGAAGACTTCAAAGAGAATTTTGACTAAAAAGATTTCTTTCATATATGGGTGTGAGGTTCCTCCCATCTCTTCTCAACAAATGTACTGAAATGTAACCACACTAAATGTTACAGAACTGTGACCACACAGGTTTCCAGCTGAGGTTTTGTATAGCTGGTTTATCCTCAACCATATTCCATGCAGAGTGTTTGATCCTTGCAAATTTGTCAAAATTACAGGGTATTGGTGAGTGGTTGGTTTGTTACAGGCAAGAGAGTAATTCCCCCTGGAGTAGGTTGGCTTATTTTAGAACTTCTGCTTGTTGAAGGCAGCAGTTCATTGTTCACAATTCAGGTCACATTTCCTTGCTAATTGAATCTCACTGTTGGTTATAACCTGATTTTTATGGTGTGAAAGCTGTTCCCTTTCATAAATTACAGTATTGAAAACTAGCAGTACAAAGACTGCTAATCCTGTGAGTTCCTATGGTCTTGTGGACGAGTATGGAAGGAAAAGCATTCTCTTTTTATTCAATTAACATCTCAGCCACTCAGTCCAATCTTTATTTAAATTGCCTTCTTCATTCTTTCTATCTATTCAGAAATACGACTGGGGTATTCCTACTTCAACCTGAGGATCCTTTGAGTTTCTTGTTGCTTGGTACTTAGTTATTTCTGAATTAGTAAACTTTTCCTTCCATAACTACAGAAAAAGTCTTTTTCAGTGATTTTGTGGCAAGGGGTGAAGACATTGTTTTCCCTTTGTATATAAGCCTTTTTACTTTTTGTTGCTTAGATTAATCTCTTTCAATTTGGCAGACCCAGGGGTGTTTTTGTCACCCAGAAGTGGTGTGTACAGTACCTGTGGGAGGCTGTGCACAGCTTTAGGGAGTTAACAGCAAGGGCTGCATGGTCAGCAGTGAAATCATGGTTCCAGGCAGATCAGTGGGACTCCTCCACTCGGGGGTTTTCATCACATACATCTAAATTCAGTGAACTCCAGTGTGCTTGTGTTGCTGTTCTGTGTCACTGACACAGTATTACTCCAAAAAAAGCAGCAACTTCAATGAAATCCAACTTCAATTGAAATGTTCCTGCAGTAATGAGTTCTGAGTTGGGAAAAGGGCAACTGGAGTTTGAGGAAGGGATTTAGACACGTCTTGGTGGGTGATACAAGGGATGTTCAAGGGATTAGTTTTGTTTCCTTGACCAGAAGGTGCAGAATGTAGAAAGTGTTATTTAGGCAATACTAATTCAAAACAAGAGTAAGTATTTTTTTCCACATACTTTGCTGCTTGGCATTGTTGTAGTGATTGAAACTGATCATTAAGTCTAAGAATAATATGAGGACGAGGTTTTATGAGTGTGTTACCTTCTGTTTCAAATGTCTGCTTTTGTCTTCTGATTCTTGTGTGGTGTAGTGTATTTACTCCTTTTTGGCCAGTTGAGCCCCAGAAAAAAGAAGAGCTTCAAGCAAGTAACTGATGGCATGTTTATTTTTTGTCTCTATAGCTTCCCTACATATTTTTTGTTTTCTGGAGTGTGCATTGCAGCTGTGCCACATTCATGTAGAAAACTCATTATTACAAGCTGGCTTATAAGGACAAGTAAACTTTTTTATTTTCACTGTAAGCTTAAAGTTTCTGCCTCTGCACAGCTCTGGTCATGTGATTGTAGAGGCTTTGGAAGTGCTGCACTGCAATCAATTCTGTGTGATGGATATTGCACAGAATCAAGCTAAGCTCCAATATACAGCCATACATTTGATTTTTCTATTGATATTTGACATATTCAAGAGAAAAAAATTACTTTGTTTTAGATCTGCGTGCTGCTGAAGTATGCCCTTTGATTTCTGATATCTCTGTGTTTAAACTCTACACTTTCAATTGTAACTTCTGTTGTCTTACATTTAATCTGTATCTCATAATTGTTGGACTTTGTCCAAATTTGAAACAATTTTAAATTGGTCTTACGTTTAAACATTCTTGCATTTCATACTAAAATGGCTAGCTAAGATCTAATCTTATTTCAAATATGAAATAATTTAGGTTTTTATTAATACGTGGGGGGGGTTCTTTCTTATAAGATTTGTTGACTATCAAAACTAAATTTTCTTCTGGTGGGGGGGCTTTTTTTGTTGCTGTGTGGGCAACATTTTGTGGACTTGGCAGTGATTTAGCTGTGCTTCCTGTGGGTAACCTGAGGCTTCGTTTCTCCTCTCCCTTGGGCTCTGCTCACCATTCATATGCCAGGAAACTGCTTCCTACATGAAACTAAGTATTTTAGCCCGCATTTGTTCTACTCTGTGTCATTTATCTTATGTTTCTCACCTGTCACTTCCCCATATAACTTAGATTTTAAAGGAGAGCCTTAAAACAACTACTCTAACAATTAATGTTAAAATTAGGGTAAGGTGGTATCTGTCTTTGCTGTTGTTTTAAATACTGTCACCAGGTGTAAATAGTAAAATTCAGTAACAGAATTTCTGTAAATTTTTTTTCACAGTAAACTTGACAAAATAGGTTGTTCTCTGTAAACCAGGTGGTGTTGCCGTGTTACATAAAGCAGCAGAGATTAGGAAATTAGATTGCACTTTGAAAAGTAGTGTTTAAGCTTAGTCTTTGCATTATCCCAAATCCATTTGAGGCTGTATATTTTTGTCAAATATGTTGTATGACCTAAGTACTGTGATGGTTCTTTCTGAAGCCATTGTAACTGTTTAGTAGCAAGTGTAAGGGATACCTTGCAAATGCACATAAACACTGTTTACAGAAAAGGAAATGGAATGTGAACAGCTTTTCCTAATTCATAGCCCTGACAATTAAATTTTTGGCAACTAAGTGGGGATTTACTACCTAATTTACAAAAGAGAAGCAAAATTTCACAATATTTTGAATTTGTAAGTTGTGTGGAGATGCAAATTATGACCTGCAGGTGCAGCCTTGTTGGCAGAATAACAGCATATTGCCTTTACTTCAGGAAAGAAATTATGTCAATGGTTGCCAGGGGAATTATCCTGAGTTCCAACCTGTGTGTCTGTCTTTCCTTGTCCCTCTGAGCAACTGCTGCAGGTAGACAGGAGATCCAGAAACGAGGATCCAGCTGTTGCCATTGGAACTCAGCCTTACTGAGGAAAGAAAGCTTTGAACAGATGGATTGCTGTGAATTTGTGTGACTTTTTCCTGAAAATGGCTATTTTAATAATGTTTGAGGCTGATACCCTGCAGAAAGATTTTTCAAAACCAAAGTAATACAGATTTGTACGAGCCCTTTGAATGGGTTGTGATTCTCCAAATTTTATCTGCAACTCATTGTGCATAAGATAGATTAATAGATTAGTATTTAAAAATTATTTGTAGATTATTTAAGATACTCCAAACTAAAATTTCAAAGTGACTTTAAACATACATTAGGTTTCCACAAAGGTCTCCTTACACTACCTATCTTTACAGATGGACAGTTCTTCTGAGCAGGGTCTGCCCTCTTGGAACACCTTGCACAGGTCCAAGTTGGCCAACATCATTTACAAAAATAAAATACTGCCTGCTGTCCATGGGTTGACTGCTAATGAACTTATGGCCTGAGTGACATGGCCCTCATTGGTGCCAGGGTTTGGGTTCCAGCAAAACTCTTTTGGAAATGAGGTGCAACCAGTGCTGCAGACTGATGGCTCGTGCTCATTTGGAGGCCATTTGTTAGTGGTGATGGTAAAGTTACAGTGTAAGGAGAGAGGAAACACTTGAAAAGAGACTTGTGAAATGACCAGCTGACAAATATACAGATCTAATGCTTGCTGGAGATAGTATTTAATATACATGTATCTCTCTTGAGTCAAAGTAAATGTTCTCTGTTAGTCTAAGATACTTTGTTCCATCTGCAATCATGATTTCTGTAAATATTTCATCCAAAATAACTACTTTTTCCAAACTATGAAATACAGTGGCTTGATTAAAACCAAAACTACTCTTGCTCTATGGCTAGACCTTAAAATAAATATCCAAGTGCATAATTTCTGTTGTAGCAAATGTTTTCTTTACTATTTTGTCATTTAGCTGCAGAGCATTTTATTCAGTGTTCTAGCTTTAAGCTGAGCAGTTTGAGTGGCTTCTGCCTTTTTGTTTTCTCACTTAGCACCATGTAGCAATACTGCTTAACATAGAAAAGAAATACAGCCTTTTCTTTAGGGAAATTGCTGTAAATTTAAATCAACTGTTTTGCTCTAAGTTGCTTTAATGCATGGTATAATTAACATGAATATTCATTTTCCACCTGTATGAATAGCAGCAGTTCAGTCTTTACCTACTGCCAGAATGTGTTACCTGGTGAGTGGGAATTGAGAGACTTCCCTGTGTGTGTCTTTAGGAGCAATTCACAGTCAGGTGGAATCTCTGAGTGACTCCTGGGTCCGACTGAAGCACGGCAGGGACTGGTTGTACACGTCCTCCTACTCATTCGTGGAGTCCGACTTTGATCTCTCAAGATCCCTCGGAGTTCATACTTTGATTGAAAATGTTGTCAGCTTTGTGAGTGGAGACGTGGGGAACTCCCCAGGATTTAAGGAGCCAGAGGAGAGTATGTCCACCAGCCCACAGGCATCAATCATTGCAATGGAGCAGCAGCAGCTGAGGGCTGAGGTAGATCTCAGTTTAACAACTCTTCTTATTCTTTAGACATCATGCTCATTTTAGAGATTTTTTTTTCCTTGAAACATTGTCCAAATTCCAACTATTAATTACATTTTTCTTTCTCCTCTGTTAAATATCTTAACTGGAACTGGGAACTTTTTGTAAATAAACTCTAAAACAAAACTGAAAGTATTGCCCTTTTTAAAAAAATTGTGTCGAGGAGAAAACAACTACTTCATTCATCCTTGCTTAGAGTTGGAGATGATCCAATTCCAATTTCTAGGGATACTGGCTACTTAATAAATATTGTCTTTTGCCTGCCTTTATTTTTTAGCTTCGTCTGGAAGCCCTTCATCAGATTTTGGTGCTTCTGTCAGGGATGGAGGAAAAAGGCAGTGTGCCACTGATGGGAAGCCGTCAAGTGCCAGGATTTCAGTCTTCTTCATTGCTTACTTCTGTTAGACTCCAGTTCCTTGCTGGCTGCTTTGGTTTGGGCACTGTGGGACATGCAGGTGCCAAAGGAGAGAGTGTAAGGTTACATCACTACCAGGTATGTACTTCAGGAGTTTCTGCTGTTTCAATAACTGAGTGATAAAAATGCATCAGTCCTTATAATATTTATTTGTTTGGCCCAGGATGGTATCAGAGCAGCCAAGAGAAGTATTCAAATTGAAATCCAGGTGGCTGTGCACAAAATCTACCAGCAGTTATCTGCTACTTTAGAAAGAGCCCTGCAAGCTAATAAGCATCACATAGGTAAGTGAAACCAGATTTGCAAAATACAGTACAACAGCTTGTACATTTACCAAAGCAGCCTTTAGTGACCAGGATTCACTGAATTATCTGACTTCTTTTTACCCTTTTTCTGTCTTCATTTTCCTCAAGTGTTAGTTAGGCCTTCTTATTTTAAGTCTTCTCAGCCTTTCTGTTCCACATATCACAATCTCCTATGGTCACCTGTGACTTTGGGGCTTCAAAGTGATTTTTAGGTTTCTCAGGGATAAGAAAGCAATTTTTTGGAAGAGGTGAGAAATCTCCAGTCTCTTCCTTTGTTGAAGTGAACTTTCTTTAAACCCAAACCTGAGGAACAGGGCACCTTGTCTCTTTGGAAAGCCCTTTGTGCTGTCCTATATCCAGATATTGCCACGTGCTTCAGGGATAGCTGAACTCTGCACCTCTTTGTGCCTTTGTCCATGCACTGACCAATTGCTTCAGCACTGCAGAGAGCTCTGGAATTTGAATTTGTTGGTGAAACCCAATGGGCATTCTTACCTGAATTGTTTTACTGTTTCACTTACAATTAAAATGGAACTGAAAGAAATTTCTTGAGAATCCATGTGAAGTACACGTAGAAAATGAAGTATTTCACCCACTTATACTTCTCTAGAGAGAAGTATCTGGTTTGAGATTTAGCCTCAGAACATTTACATCACAAACTAGATCTGCATGATATTCTTCCTGGGACAGCCTTGACACAGGGTTACACTGAGTTAAAGGGGACTACAGTGGTACATCAGAAAGACTCCCTTAGAGTATCTGACAAAGACTCGCTCTTTCCTTGATAATTTAATTCATTGAATTGTATTTAAAAAATAATTTGCTGTTCTTCTGTCTTAGGGTTCTTACTCTAAGCAGCTAATAATTTGAAACAACTCTTTTAACCCCAGAAGCACAGCAGCGCCTTCTCTTGGTGACAGTCTTTGCTCTCAGCGTGCACTACCAGCCTGTTGACGTGTCCCTGGCCATTTCCACTGGGCTGCTGAACGTGCTGTCCCAGCTGTGTGGCACAGACACCATGCTGGGACAACCTCTGCAGCTGCTGCCCAAAACTGGCATCTCTCAGCTCAGCACAGCTCTGAAAGTAGCCAGCACGAGGCTCCTGCAGATCCTCGCCATCACCACAGGGTGAGTGTCAGATGCTCCCTTGCTTTTGGAAAACTTAGTTGTTAAGCTCTCCAGCACCCTTTAAAAATAACCTTTATTTAGGTCAATAAATGCTGCTCAGGAGTATGTAAGTGAAGGGCAGAACAAAAAGAGTAGTCACATTATTCATAGGAAAGATGCACATAAGGCTTATAAGTATATTTAAATTGTGAATTGGACCAGAATAGTTACAACTCTGTGGTCTGTGAACACTGTATTCCAGTAGTCCCCATTTTGCTAGTTCAGCTTTGTGTGTAGGTCTGCTCAGTTGATGTGATAAGATTTTCTGTTGATGTGTAAAAGCAATACCAATAACATGATAGGAGTTCTTCAGAGCAGTGCATTGTGCTGCTTTTCAGAATATGAAATAATTTGCTGAGGAACAGTGGCCTCTGCTAGACCATGGAACAGAATGCAAAGTCCTATCAATACTTAAATATTTAGTTTAACTCAGTACACAGCAGTGGAGAAAGTATTTTCTGTTTGGGGCAAGACTATTATTTGATATTCTATACATGCATCTTCATGTCAGTGTTCAAACAACACATTGCATTTACCTGCCAAGTGTGTTATGTCAAAAACTTCCAGTAACCCTAAACCAAAAAAATACCCCAAACCATGGAAACAACACCTCATCCTTGGAAGTTGCAGTGGAATTATGATTAATTAACAAAGTTGTTCTTTTTCCCCTAGGAAGTACTGAAAATATATCCTTTGACTCCAAAGATTAGAGAGTTTTAGTTTAATTAGACATTAGTTTTAACGTGTTTTAAAAGGGTTGAAAAAAGTAATAATCCAAGCCTATGGTGGAGGGTGGGGAAAAATAACCTGCTGCAATTATTGTTCCTTGGATCAGCTCTCAAATACTCTTCTTTTTACTTTTTTGTGTGTCTGTACAGAACCTATGCTGATAAACTGAGCCCAAAGGTGGTCCAGTCTTTGCTGGATTTATTATGCAGCCAGCTGAAGAACTTGTTATCACAAGCTGGTGTGATGCTTATGGCTTCCTTTGGAGAAGGGGGAGGGGAGGAAGATGAAGTGGAATCAAAAAAGGCAGATTCAAATGGGGATAATGATAAGAGAGACTTCAGAGGTAAATATTTTGCATAATTTCTGTTACAGTTCTAAAATACCAGAAAGCATAATAGAAGAAACCACTGAATGCTGAGGTCCTCATCAGCTCTACTGTGTTTTGATTTTTGTTGGATCATTTTTAACTCTGTAAATTAGATTCAAGTCATCAAATAATTTAGTGCTCTGCTCAGATTTATAAAGAATTGATGCATAAAGCGATGTAAGGATACAAGCAGGCTGAGAATAAGAATTACTCCCATCTGGTTTGGAATTAGGAAGAGAGTATAGTTTCCCTTGAACAATGATTTGGTGGTAGTGTTTTTCATATATGTGGTCATAGGAATTTATCTGGATTTCAAACTACAAATAAGTATAGCTTTATTCAGGAAATTGTTGTATTTAAGCAGTTTTGCAGTTTGAGTGAATGGCAAGAGGGTGACACTACTCTGTGATATGAAAAAATCTGCAAGAAAAGATTTCCTGAAATACTAAGATCTTCACAGTGTTTGCAGTCCTTAATGAACACTCTGATTTTCTGTGGAAATTATGGGTTTGAAGAATTATCAATTGTAGCTTGGTTTTAGGTGTACATATGTTTTTATTTGTGCTTATAATGGTCTTCACTTGTTAATTCATCAACCATTGCATTATTTATAAGATAATTAATCACAAAATAGGATATGAGGTCTTTCCAGAGGCATTTTCATGTTAGAACTTCCTTGGAATACCCATCAAGGTGGGAAGAAGTTCAGTGTTTTGCATCAAAACCACTTTGCCCGACTGCCCTACTGGGTGGGGAGGCAGGAGAGTTGGGAGTGATGTTCAGCCTTATGAGAAGGGGTGGTTGCGTGGAAGATGTTTTAATTTTGTCCTCTTCTATTTTTCACTGGCAATAAATTAAATTATTCTTCCCCAAAGTGAGTCTGGTTTGCCCATGAGGGTAAAAAAAGGCGGTCTTGCTCCTTTGCCTTGAGACATGAACTTTTAGTCTTATTTTCTGTCCCTGCCTTGCCGAGGAGCAGAAGTGAGAGCACAGCTTGGTGGGCACCTGTCAGCCAGCCAAGGTTAACAGCCAGCCACCATGGAGTAACTGAGGGTTGCATTTTTACCTACAGAACAGTAGCAGGACTGCCAGTTGAATTGTAATATTAAGATGCAATGAAAATTTTTCATTTCCCTTCCTAGCTGCCCTGCGAAAGCAACACGCAGCAGAACTGCACCTGGGAGACTTCCTTGTTTTCCTGCGTAGAGTTGTGTCTTCAAAAGCAATTCAGTCCAAAATGGCATCTCCAAAGTGGACAGAAGTACTCCTGAACATTGCTTCTCAGAAGTGTTGCTCAGGTATGACCTGGTCAAAACGTGCTCAGTGGTTACTTGCATTTCCGTGGGGCAGTTCCAGAAATGAAACCCTGTTAGAACATGTTACACAGTGAACAATCAGAACTAACTGGAGTAGATGTGCACAGGAGTTACACTTTGGTGCACTGGTGGGGTGTAGCCAGGTGCAGGCCCGATGCAGAGGACTCTTCCAGATCATTGACCTGTTGTTCCATCTTCAGGAGTTCCCTTGGTTGGCAATCTGAGGACCAGACTGCTGGCACTTCACGTGCTGGAAGCTGTGTTACCTGCGTGTGAATCTGGCGTTGAAGATGATCAAATGGCTCAGGTCTCTATATTTTGTTATAAACCTTTACACCTATTTCTTCTAAAAGTCTCATTAAACTTATGAATGTTTCCTAAGTTTGTGCAAAATCCAATCTAGTGAGGCTCAGTGTAGATTTTTGTTAATCCAAGAGCACTAAATATTTTGATGTTCGTACCTACAAAGTAAAGTAAAACAATATAATACTGCTTGTCCTCATCTGGGAGTTAAAATGATCTGAATTCTATTCCAATACACCAGGTTGTTGAGAGATTGTTCTCACTTCTGTCTGACTGCATGTGGGAGACTCCAATAGCTCAGGCCAAACATGCCATCCAAATCAAGGAGAAAGAGCAGGAAATGAAACTGCAGGTAACGATGCTTGTACTTTGTCTCGTGACTGAATGCTCCTGAATCACATTGACCACAAATATTTTGTCCTGTTCGTGGTAGAAGCAAGGAGAGTCTGAAGATGAGGATGAGAATCTTCCCATACAGGAGGTGTCCTTTGATCCTGAGAAGGCTCAGTGCTGCATAGTGGAGAATGGGCAGATTCTGACTCATGGAAGTGGAGGCAAAGGATATGGTTTAGCATCCACTGGAGTCACCTCTGGGTGTTACCAGTGGAAGGTAGGTTGCCCAAAAGTGCATTTCTTAACTTCTCTCACTTGGATTTGGAAATGTGCTATGATTTGTTAACAGCAGGTGTTTTTTCCCTTATGGCAACACCCTTGAGTAAATGGCAGTGTTATGTTTATGGTTGGACTCAATGATCTTAAGGATCTTCTCCAGTCTAAATCATTCTATGGTTTTATGATTTTTCAGTCCAAAGGGAAGAGTTTGTGGCTGCTTTTGAATGCTGCTATTTGGCTATTTCAGTACACAGGTTGGAGAGTGTCAGTGTGTGTTGTGTGTTTGTAGAGGGTGATGGTACTTGTCCCTAAGATCCACAGTCAGCATGAATGTGCCTAGTTTTGCAAAAGTTACCTGCTGAAATATGTATATTTTGAATTTTTTTCTGTACAAAAACACTTCACAAAACATTGTTTTCTTGCAAAAAGGCACATCAGCCTGACTGGCAAGAACAGTGTTTTAATACACCATCTGGAGTGATTTTAACTTTTTTAGGAATATAGATACATACAGAGTTGTGGTCCTTGTTAGTACCACCTTTGAGCATAACACTTCTACTTTTTTTTCCCACTTGAATCTGTGAACATGAGATGAAAAGCTTATTTCTTTCTGTAATATTGTTTTAGCACTTGTAGCCCAACTTGTGTGTGTGTATGTTTTGAGTCCAGAAACGTCCCCCCCAACTTCTTTGTGTATTTGCATATAGTTTTCTTCATTACTAGTACATTAAGCTAAATGACTTGTCAGTGACTGACCTTATACCCAAGATGTCATTTTAGAGCTAGACCATGATTTCACCTTATAAACTTATAATTTTTTATTATTAAAAGCTTCTGAGAGAAACAGAAGTATACATACTGACGAGCAAGGAAAATTTTCGTTGCTTCAATGTGTTCAAGTGCATATTCTTGCATTTTTTCCCTGCTTGCTTTTCCTGCCAGTTCTACATTGTAAAGGAGAATCGAGGCAATGAGGGCACATGTGTGGGGGTTTCCCGCTGGCCGGTCCATGATTTTAACCATCGCACCACCTCGGATATGTGGCTCTACAGAGCCTACAGTGGCAACCTCTACCACAATGGAGAGCAGACTTTGACCCTGTCCAGCTTCACCCAAGGAGATTTCATCACATGTGTGTTGGATATGGAAGCAAGAACCATTTCCTTTGGGAAAAATGGAGAGGTATTTAACGTCAATTGTGGGGGACTTTTTATTTGCAACAGTAGCATGACATGGATAGACATGGTGGTGAAAACTCATGATAGTTTCCGTACTTAAAACCTTTATAATACAGACACAACTTTTTCATGTTTCATATTTTTGCTTGTTAAGGTGTTCTGAGTTTGAGGGGTTTTTGTTTTGGTTTTTTCACTAGGAGCCCAAACTAGCTTTTGAAGATGTGGATGCAGCTGAGTTATACCCTTGTGTTATGTTCTACAGCAGTAATCCAGGAGAGAAGGTAACTTAAATGTTCATCTGTGTGGATGTGCTGGTTTTGGCTGGGATAAGTCAATATTCATCATTGTGTGGTGCTGTTTTGGATTTCTGACCAAAACCATGTTGATAATACAGTGTTTTAACTGTTGTCATCTATTGTAAATTCAAAATTTATTTTATTATTTAGAATTCGTTTCCAGACTTAATGTTCTACATGAAAAATTCAGTTCCCCAGAAACCAGGCAGAATGTACTATTAGGATTTCTAGATAGCGTTTTGTGAGAAACCATCAACGGTTGTAATTTCAGCATCCTTGAGTTTGAAAGGTTGGAGGTTTTGATCAGCGTTCAGGTGGGTTAGGAAAGCAAAAAGAGGCAATGCTAGTAATTATTTCTATTCAGGAGACTCCTGTATTTATAAAAAGAGCTTATTCAGGTATGTTGAGAAGACAACTTTGACACCATTCCCTTCCAACACGTAGGTGAAAATCTGTGACATGCAGATGCGAGGGACACCCAGAGACCTGCTGCCTGGGGACCCCATCTGCAGCCCCATGGCTGCAGTGCTGGCAGAGGCCACCATCCAGCTGATCCGTATCCTGCACCGCACGGACCGCTGGACACACTGCATCAACAAAAAGATGATGGAAAGGCTGAACAAAATCAAAACCTGTCTTAAAGAAGCAGGGCAAAAGCTCAAGAAAAGCCGCTCGGTTCAAAGCCGGGAAGAGAGCGAGGTGAGAGAGGAGAAGGAGAACAAGGAGGAGGAGAAAGGCAAGCACGGGCGGCACGGCCTGGCCGAGCTGTCGGAGCTGCAGCTGAAGATGCTGTGTGTGGAGGTGTGGCCCGTGCTGGCCGTCATCGGAGGGGTGGATGCCGGGCTCAGGGTCGGAGGGCGCTGCGTTCACAAGCAAACCGGCCGGCACGCCACCCTGCTTGGGGTGGTCAAGGAAGGCAGCACTTCTGCCAAGGTGCAGTGGGATGAAGCAGAGATCACCATCAGGTATGTGCATTTCCTGCGCTTTTCAGCCTAGTGGTGCTTGGAAATCTTCAGAAGTAACATACGTCTTGCATTAGAGTCGTGCTGAGCAATTATTGTAAGTTTAGACTTCAGCGGTATTGAAGTTAATGCTGCCTCGAAGTGGGGCTCATTCAGGGTCTGACCTGCCTTAGAGAGCCCAGGGAGTGCCCCTGTGTTAGGTGTGAGCAGTCTGGAGCTGCTGTTCTGCTGAGGATGGTGAGGACCAGGGAGGAGGCTGGAAGGAGATACCCCCTTTTCCACCTATCTTGCCTTCGAAGGGAAGGCACCTGGAAGGAAACTCTAAAAGGAAGCCAGTGACTTCTCTGGGCTTTCTGGTGCTCTCACAGGACTTGCCTGTGTTTTTGTGTGGAAAGATTTGATTCATTTAATTTCTTAAACTACTTCTGCCTGTAACTGAACCACAGCCTTGTGGAGAAATAGAGCACTAATTATTTTATTTTTTTTTTACTGCTGGTAAAAAAAAAATTACATTTTGAAATAGCCAAGGTCAGTTTGCCTCTTAGAGCTCTTGCAGCATCATGTCTGTTTTGTCTTTGCAAAGGCTGTTGTCACTTTAACTAAATATACTGAAGTGCAATTGATTTAGTTCCAGATAAAAAATTCTTTCAAATATGCCCATGTGACAGTATAGCCTTAAAGTAAGTGTGCCCTTAAAATAAGTTGAACCGTTGTTTGAGTGAAGTGGTACAGCACTTGAACTTGGTGTAAAGTATTGAGTTAAGTTGAGAGTGTACCTTCTTCATTAAAACCAGGCTAAAGCTTGCTTTCATTTTTAGGTAGAAGTTTATATTGTAAGATGGGAAAACATTTTGGGATAATAAAAGGAAGATTTAAAAGTCATTTATCTGCTGGATAAATGGAAAATACAAGATGTATGGAAATATGGACTGGTGAATTTTTGTCCTGCTTCAAGTGAAAATTAGTCGAGTGTAACAGTCCTAAATATCACCAGAAGATACCAGTGAATGTAGATGACAGAATAGACCTCTGTGTCTATTGGGTTTTCTGATCTGTGTTTTTAAAATCACTGTCCTCACCAGGTAATCTGTCCTGACATACCAGAGACAGAATTATCATAAGCTATCAGTAGTGTGGTGATGAATACTTGAACAGGAACATGAGGTCCATCGAAACTTTTCCTTCATGTGAAAATTTTTTTCTTTATAAGCTTTTGTATCTATGCACAGATTCAGCTCAGGTATGATGATAAGATTCGGCTTAAGGTAGTTTTTCTTAGTAGAAGCCTGTTACATACCTCTAAATAATCTAGCCAAAGCCTGTGTCAGCACAGAATTGAGAGCTTCTGTGGGACTTCTGGGTTTCAATGCTTGTTGAAAACCTGTGTATGCTTTGTTGCCTTTACTTTGAAACCATATCTCCCTGTTTTCTGGTCATAACCTCATTTTCCCCTGTTTGCATTTGATTTTTAAAATCGGTTTATTTTATCAGATATATTTTACATCTTACTTTGCCTACATTATTTCCTGTACTTTCCTCCTGTCTCTCCCTCACTTGCTTTTTCCTGTGTCATTCTGATCTTTATTAAAGCTTCCCAACTTTTTGGTCGCCTAGTGATACCCCATTGTATAATCTGGAGCCCTGTGAACCACTGCCTTTTGATGTTGCAAGATTCCGTGGGCTGACAGCTACTGTGTTGCTGGACCTTACCTATCTGACTGGCATTCATGAAGACATGGGAAAGCAAAGCACCAAGAGACACGAGAAAAAACACAGACATGAATCTGAGGATAAAGGGGAAGTGGACCAGAAGGCGGAGGGTGATGCTGGATCAGACACACGATTAGGACCAAGCGCTGACGAGAGCAAAGGACACGGTGCTACAAGCTCTAAGTCAGAAAATGAAATTGTTTCCTTTTCTTTAGAACCTTCAACACTAGGTATGGAATCCCAACACCAACCTGGTGAAGGAAGAAAAAAGAATCACGAACATAGTCCAAGAAGTCACGACATAGTGCAGTCAGAAATCAGGGCTGTGCAGCTGTCCTACCTTTACCTGGGGGCCATGAAGTCCCTCAGTGTTCTCCTGAGCTGTAGTAAGTACGCTGAGCTGCTGCTGATACCAAAAGTGCTGGCAGAAAACGGGCACAACTCGGACTGTGCCAGTTCCCCAGTGGTCCATGAAGATGTGGAGATGAGGGCTGCCTTGCAGTTCCTCATGAGGCACATGGTCAAACGGGCAGTCATGCGGTCGCCCATCAAGAGAGCCCTGGGACTGGCAGACCTGGAACGGGCACAAGCCATGATCTACAAGTTAGTGGTTCATGGGCTGCTGGAGGACCAGTTTGGTGGCAGACTGAAACCAGGTACATTTTCAAAATTATGAAAGTACAGGGCTACATTAATTTTGGTTTTTTAATTTATATTATAGTTACTAATAACAACAATAATACAAATAACACAGTCTTGTAATTTTGTGGTGGTTATGCTTTGGAGGAGTCTTAATTGGACAGAGAAATTTTGCAGAGCAGTTGCCTTTTCTCGAATTCCTTTATTGAAATAAATAGTGAATGTATATCAGTCAATCAGAAATATAGGAGTTTCTAATTTGTCTTTAATACTTTTTAAAAATGAGCAGTTCTGTATATACTTGTCAGAAGAATTTGCACTCCTTCTAAACCAACAAAAAACTCCTCTTAAAAATGTTACTCAGACAGCTGAGTTAAAGATAGCTTTATAGTTAATCAGCTCTCTTTCCATGTCTAAGACCTCTTCTCTTTTGCCTATTTTGAGAATGATCCTGGCTGTTACAACCGTAAATCTAAATATCATGAGATCTGGTGGAAGTAAATGTCTTGTTTGCTATTTATCTTGTGTTGGTGTCAAAACAGCAAGAGCTCAATGGCTGATTTTCCATCAGTCCGTGAGTTACTGGCAGCAGAAGTGTGTGTATGGGGTGCATTTCTGCACACCTCCTTCTCTGGGGAGAATTTTGAATAATCATAGTTATTTTTGAAAGTTGGAAGTTTAGCCATGACTGCTGTTTTGCTCTACGCCGTTATATTAATGTTGCTGTAACGTCCTTTTTTTCTGTTGCAGAAGTGGAGCAACAAGTAGAAGAAGGTGACCAGTCTCAGCAAGCCCAGACTCCAGTTACAACCAGCCCTTCTGCTTCCAGCACAACATCTTTCATGAGCAGCTCTCTGGAGGACACAACCACTGCTACTACTCCAGTGACTGATACAGAAACAGTTCCAGCTTCAGAATCACCTGGGGTTATGCCTCTCAGTCTTCTTAGGTACCCTATCAGCATGTATGGTTTTGTGGGTGTAGGGAACCAATTGTGTGGTTTATATACAATATATGTCTTTAGATAAGCCTTTGAAAATGCTAATTTTTGTATTTACTGTCAAGAACTGCCTCTGCAGAGTTTAATTAGTTACTTTGCTTTGCAGGCTTTGTGTTACTAGAAATATAAAGCTGTTAATCTTTTACTCTGCACTGTATATATATTTTGTATCTGAGTTCTTCAAGAAGGAGAAAATACCTTCCTTAACTTGTCCTTCAGTTCTCATGTTTATTTGGTACAGTTTAAATCATAGATCTCTGAAATTCTGTATTGTTAACAAATGTTTGTTGATTCTCAAACCAGGGTAGATTTTAGTTGGTAGGTAACATCCTGTAAGCATTGTTTCATCTTACCTTACTTACTGAAATGGAAGATAAACCTGGTTAATCTGCAGAGGCTATTTGTGATGTAGAACAAAATCTGCTTTACATTGCATAGAGTCCTGTTCTGAGTTTATTAATTCTTAGAGGTTTTGCAGATATAATTTGATAAAAGCCAGAACAATGTCTTTGTATCAGAACAGTGAAAATAAAATATTCACCTGATACTCTGCCTGAGTTCTGAACAAACTGGGGAAATGGGAAAAGTGTTTACTTATCTTTTATCTCCTAGGGCAGCCCTTGGTCTGGGAGGGGATTTATTGTTGCAGGTAAATTGGTAGGAATGAACTGTTCTGACAGGGCTTCTGTGCTTGTCTCCATGTATGTGTTGTGCCTTACTCTTACAAAACACAATTGCTGTAAGGTAGGATTTGCCAAGTGCACTCCAACTTGATGCATTTCTTTTGTCAGACCTTTTTCAGCATGGCTCTTTTTGACATAAATGTGTATTGTTTTATTTTCAAGGCAAATGTTCTCCAGTTACCCGACTACAACTGTGCTTCCAGCACGACGTGCTCAGACTCCTCCAATATCTTCTTTACCAACATCTCCTTCAGATGAGGTTGGAAGGAGACAAAGTCTGACTTCCCCTGATTCCCAGTCTGCCAGGCCTGCCAATCGTACAGGTAAACTTAGTGTAGATGGAAATGTGGACAAGTCAGTAAATTCCCAGGAGCTCAGTGACAGGATTGCAGAGATTGAAAACCAACCCAGTTTCTTTTTAAGGCAACCTAACATTCAAAGCATTGTTGAAAACCTTTTGGTGACTATCTTAGCACAAAAAAATGCAGATTGTCTAGCTGTAGACCTTATCAAGCAAATGAAATGAGTTTTTAAAAGCTGTGGATTGGATTACAAACTGCATCTGTAAAACCAGAATGCAGTATCGTTGGTAATTGCTTCAAAATGTCAGTCTGATTTGGGCTTGCTTCCTTGGTTATGTGCCACTGTTATATGCACTAATTTTCTAGCTTTCGTTAGATCACATACTATGTAGAAAACAAGAATTGGTGTATTTTATGATACATACACCAGTATAGCTCATTGCAATTAATTATAATTAATGACATAGAAAGGGCTGTCCAACCTTCATGGAGTCCTCATGCTCCTGTCTGAATCTTGTGAAAGGAATGGGAGGCTTCAAAGCAGAAACAGAAACATGGAATAAATGGAGACTGAGCAAATTGTTGAGTGAGTGTCTTGAGCTTCTGAATAGCACAAATGAGTGTTGTGGTGCAGAGGAGATAACACTAAAAAGAAAATACATATGTATGTGTTTCATATTAAATGAACAAAAGAGTAAAGTATGTTCTCCAGATTTCATATTCATGCTGAGAAACAAAGTCTGTGCTTTAAAATTCCCAAGTGAGAAACTTTTTATTTCTGCTCTTACATCCAAACTATTAGTTGGGTTTTTTAGCAGTTTCATTTATTGCATAGCAACTGCTCTACTCCATTTCCCATCCCCTTTTTTTCTTTTTTTAATTATGGGATTACTTGCTTCTAGTCATGATACAGTCTTTACAACAGTGTCTGTTAGTACATTGTTGCCTTCACTCATCAGACCTCACTGTTATGGCAAATGATAATGATTAACTGTGGTTTTGGGGCAGTAACTGACCTTCTTAGAGTCCCTCCAAAGACTGTGTGCACAGAAATGTAGCCATCATCTGCAAAGAGATTTTTCAGGTGCATTACCAGCTTAGTTGAGGTCTCTTTCTGCCCCTTGTGAGGAATGTGTATTGGTGTGATCTCATCACATTTGGGAATCCTGATGATTTGGACGAGGATAACTTACATAGGCTAGCTAAATATAGATCAAATAGATAATCTGATACAGTTTTAAATGACAATAATAGAAATGTCTTAAAAGAAATAGTTCTTTGATTATCATCAGTACCCTACTTGAGCAGAGGCACAGATAATCTGTTATCAATAACATTACAGAAACTATCTTAGTTTGGGAAAAATAATAGAGAGAAAAGTTGAGAGGAGTTATTCCCTTATGTGAAGCTGATGTATCAAAGTAAGGTCTAGTAAAGTAACACTAAAGAAAGATTTATGTAACATTTTCTGTCTTTTAAGCTTTGTCTGATCCAAGCAGCCGACTCTCCACATCCCCTCCTCCTCCTGCCATCGCTGTGCCATTGCTGGAAATGGGGTTCTCCCTCAGGCAAATTGCCAAAGCTATGGAGGCTACAGGTAATCTATAGCTGTAGTATCAGTTCAAACTGAAAAACTGGAAACACATGAAACACTTTTTTCCAATAAAATACTTAATTTTTAAGTTCTATAACCATTTACGGGGAAAAAATGATTGATTTTTTTTTTTAAATAACCATCAGTGATAAAATACAGGTCTGAAGTGTGGTTCCCCTGCTTTCAGGTGCCAGAGGAGAAGCAGATGCCCAGAATATCACAGTCCTGGCCATGTGGATGATAGAGCACCCTGGCAATGAAGATGATGAGGAGCCCCAGTCCGAAGGGACTGCGGAATCACGGCATGGGACAATTGTCTCCGGCAGCGGTGGGAAGTCTGGTGATCATTGTTATCTGCAGTCTCCAGGTGATATCCCTTCTGCTGATGCCACTGAAATGGAGGAAGGCTTTAGTGAGAGGTAACATGTCATTTTTCTGCCATTGCTTGTGATGTTCCTGAAACTGGACATCTCACAAGTTCAGTGCTGCTGACAGTGTTACTGTGGTGCTGCTTTGGAATTTTGTTACAACATGAGTAGGAGCAAAGATGCAGTTAAATTAGGTGTACGTGGTGAGTTTCTTTTCCAGTACTGTGTGTGTGCAGAACTGAGCAAGAATGTAACTAAACATGTTTCCTTCAAAAAAAATAAAAAAGAGAGAAAGGAAGAATGAAAAAAATGAGGGCTTATAATTGCTTTTTACCTAAAAGATGGAGTAAGAAAGCAAAATTTCATTGGTGTACTTCTTTCCCTGCAGTTTATACATGAACTGGAATTTTTCTACATTTTTCTTTTTAAATTAGTTCTTGGTTTGTCTGGATCAGATGAAGCTGAATTGAAGCTCACTTTCTCAGTCACTTTCACAAACTTAGAGATAAACTGTCTCTTAAAGAAGAAGGTGGTTCTTTTGGGGGTTTTTGGTGGGTTCTTTCTCATTTCTGTTTTGTTAGGTTTCTTTATATCCTGGAAGTAGTGGTTTCACTTTTAAGTGACCCCTTTCAGGAACCATACCAGCATTTCTGTTAATAGAGAGGATGACTGTTACAAGATACATTTTGAGAACACTTGTTCACATTCCTCTGTCCTACTGAGATACATGTTTTTAAGTTTCCTCTGTTACTTTGTCCCAGATCAACTCAGTTCATGGAGAACTCACAGATTTCAGTTGGGAGAAATAAAAGAAGCAACAGGTGTTACTAAGTAACTTAAATTCATGTTTTGCAGAAGATTTGGGGCAAAAGGGGGATTGACTCAGCGAGCAACAACAGAGATGTTGGGTTTATTTCTTTCAAAAATGAGAAAAAACCTAGTTCAAGCTGTAGTTAACATAGAGATGAGTGCTCTCCCAAAATTTCTGCAGTGCTTAGGCACAATGGAAGGCGTCAGATAGGTATTGCATCTGATTTGTTTGAGGTAAATGTCACAGTCAAACCCACAGTAAATACATGCTCAGTGAGACTGAAAATTCTTGAACTCAAAATTCCTCTTTTTTTTCCTTTCATGAAAGAAAGGAAAAAATGGTCCTAAATATGGCTTTGGTATTTTTCCTTGCTTACTGTATGTGGTTGTTTAAAACTTGGTTTGATTTACCTGTAAATTCCAAATTCTTGTAGCCCTGATAATATGGATCACATGGATAATGCAGCTGCTGCCAGTGGCCCTCCCTCCAGAAGTCGCTCGGCTGTGACACGGAGGCACAAATTTGACCTGGCTGCCCGGACACTGCTGGCACGGGCTGGTAAGTGCCCTCAGACACACATAAGGGCTTGGCTTAACCAGGGAGGTGAACAGGAGGGGGATTGGCACTTAGCATGAAATTTAGAAAACTCCTTCTCACATGTGTATCAGTGTATATTTAAGTGTTTCATGTGGTAATAAGTAGATTATGGTTAGCGGAAGAGTTAAAAAAGGAAGTTGAAAGTACAGCCATCTCTCTCACATGTAAAATAAAAGTTCTCTTTCCTCTTTCTCTCTTTTTTTTCTCCCTTGAGCGGGATTGTACCGCTCCGTGCAGGCCCACAGGAACCAGAGCCGCCGGGAAGGGATATCACTGCAGCAGGATCCAGGGGCGCTTTATGACTTCAACTTGGATGAGGAGCTGGAGATTGACCTTGATGATGAAGCAATGGAGGCGATGTTTGGGCAAGACCTGGCTAGTGATAATGATATTCTGGGAATGTGGATCCCAGAGGTATTGGACTGGCCTACCTGGGTGTGTGTGACTGCAGCGGGGGCTGCTTTAACTTACTGCTTATGCATGCTCATATTTGTGAATTTGAAGTACCACGTGAAAGCTTATATCCTGTTTGAAGATATGTCTAAATGCCAGCAGTGCTTAAAATCTTTTTGTATTCTGTAGCTTCATTTCTAGATTAAGAATAGTGTTTTCTTGTGTTTCTTGCTCGGCACTTCCCCACATGTGTAGTTTTTCTTCTCTCTCCCCCAAAAGATGAGAACACAACTAGCATATGTTGTGATGTATGTATAGTTGTTCTGATGATATCAATTAGAAATCAAGTAGGTGTTTCCAGATGGCTTAACTGTGTGAGATAACACAGTTCTAAATGCCTCTTCTGCTGCTACTACTAATAGTGTCTGATCTGATCAACCCATAAGACTAAGCTTTTGTCTCCTAATTATGATGTTACCTGGCTTCGATATGGAAGCAAGTTTCAGTGTGTATATTAAATTTTTCAAAGCACTCGTTTCACTGAGACACCTCAATGAAATTACTGTCTTAGGACAGAAATGTAGTTATAGCAAAATGAACTTCATATTGAGATAAAACTTTGAAATTTGCTGACACAAATACTAGTTGTCGTTGCTCAGTAAACATAAAATCTGATTGTCTGAAACAAAAAAGGGTTCTCTTTCTTTATTAGATTTAGTTTCAGACAAGTTCTGAGGAGAACCAGATAAAGACAGTGTTGAGTGTGAGCAGGGTTATATGTGAAAAGTTATATGTGACAAGAATTTTGAGTCAATCTGAAATCGAATAGGAAACTGTCTCCTCTGAAACTTCACTTCCAAATATTTTTCCTGTTGTGAGATGATCTTCTCTTCATTATGTCCAGTGAAAGGTAGATAGGAAGATATAGGGACTGGAGTATCTCTCCTGTGAGGAAAGGCTGAGAGAACTGGGACTATTCAGCCTGGGGCAGAGATGACTCAGGGGATTCATCTCACTAATGTGTATAAATACCTGCAGGGAGTGTGTAAAGCCAGGCTCTTTTCAGTGACAGAACCAGAGCCAGTGGCACAAACTGAGGCACAGGAGGTTCCCTCTGAGAATGAGACTTCCTCACTGTGAGAATGTCCAAGAACTGGCCCAGGTTTCCTAGATGGGTTGTGGTGTCTCCATCCCTGGGGATAGGGAAAAGCCACCTGGACAAGCTCCTGGGCTTTAGGTGGCCCTTCTTGAGCAGGAGGGGTTGGATGAGATGATCTCTCTACAATTACCTGACAGGAGGGTGTAGCCAGGTGGGGGTTGGTCTCTTCTCCCAGGCAACTCTCAGCAAGACAAGAGGGCATGGTCTTAAGCTGTACCAGGGGAGGTTTAGGTTAGACATTAGGAAGAAATTCTCTGCAGAAAGGGTAATCAGCCATTGGAATGGGCTGCCCAGGGAAGTGGTGGATTCTCCATCCCTGGAGATGAGACTGGATGTGGCACTTAGTGCCATGGTCTAGTAACCACGGTGGGGTTGGATCAAGGGTTGGACTTGATGATCTCAGAGGTCCCTTCCAACCCAGCTGATTCTATGATTCTGTGATCTCCAGAGGTCCCATCCAATATCAGCCATTCTGTGATGCTGCTTTGCTTTTGTGCAAGTTGAGCATATAAATATCACTGTGGGTGTCACAGAAACGTGCCAGAACACCCACCTAAGATCACCGGCGTGGTTTACATCTAACATGAAGGTATTTATTCCGTGCAAATAATGTGTGCAAATCTTCCCGTGCAGCACGTTTGTGAGTCTGAAGACAGAGAAGAAGTGGTGGTTTGTGAGCTGTGTGAGTCCAGCGTGGTGAGCTTCAACCAGCACATGAAGAGGAACCACCCTGGCTGCGGGCGCAGCGCCAACCGGCAGGGCTATCGCAGCAACGGCTCCTACGTGGACGGCTGGTTCGGGGGCGAGTGTGGCAGTGGGAACCCCTACTACTTGTTGTGTGGCATCTGCAGAGAGAAGTACTTGGCCCTCAAGAGCAAATCCAAAACGTCAACTTCCGAAAGGTACAGAAATGGAGGGCAGTGGAATTCCTAGCGGCATTTCCTGAGCCTTAAAATCTCGTGCTGCGTTCAGCAAATGCGTATTTAGAAAAGAAGGTGAACTTGATATTTCTGGGTTTTAAGTGAAAATCAGGGAATAATTTCTTGGGATTTTGCCTACTTCTTATTGACTTTTGGAAACTTGTTGTCAATTTTGTCTGATAATTCCGGTATTTTTTGTGGGCTTTTCTCACATTAGTACTGCAAAATGCTTCCCTCCTCCACATATACTTTTAGGCTCTTTTATCTATTTCTTTCTTACTACCCATTTCCAGAATCATTCATAAATATATGTAGAGGTAACAGTAAGGTTAGGTTTAATAGAGAACCAAGTTTAAAATTGTTATGCATATTTGCAAAATATTGGAGCCATTCAGCAATTTTCTTTGTTTGTTTTCCTACAGGTACAAAGGCCAGGCTCCTGATTTGATAGGCAAACAGGACAGTGTCTATGAAGGTAAGTTTTTAAGTTGCACAGTGATTTATTTTTTCATAAAAGTACTTCCATGCAAATAAACCTGAAACTGTACACAAAGGTATATTTTTAGATCTCCCAATTAGATATAGTATTTTAGTTTGGGGGGGGGTTTAGTTCAAATCAGAAAAAAACCCAGTAATTTTTTTCTTCCCCCCCCCCCCCTTCATCTAAGCAGCTGAAATGGCAAATACCTGACTTGGGGTGATAAGGTGTTGTGGTAAGGTGTTATGTGTAGAACTGCACATCCAAAACCTTATGTTCAAATACTTTCCTTCAGCTGCCTTTGTGGGAGAAATTAGTGTAAGTTAGTGTCCCAAAGGTCTGCCATTAGGCTTGTTCTTAATTTTTCTACCTTTGTCCTAGGAGAGGCTTTCACTTTAAACAGATTATTTCTAGTGTCTGTAGAAAAGCTTTCCCAGATAGAAATGACCAGAATCAAAGAACTGTAGCTGCATGATGGCAATTGTGTGATTTACCACACTTGTGTATTTGAGACTAAATGAGTGCTCCAGGTCTTAGGGCAAGTCCATCTGCCAGTAGATTAAAGGTGTTCAGATTCTACCATATGTGGAGTGAGACAGAGCAGGGGAGACCAGAAAATATAAGTTAACTTCTTTTGTAAATGGTTAGGAAGTGGATGGAATGCAATGAGTTGCAATTATAATACTTCTTATTTGGGTTTTTTCCCTTTTTTTTCTTTTTTTTTTCCCTGGGGAAGGAAAAGCAAAAGCCTGAGTGTCTAATTATAACCTATGGACTCATGCCTACTTTTTTGATAAATACAAAGACCAGGAATTTTTAATATCTGTATTTATTCCTCGGTCCTTTGACATATGCACTTGTTACCATGATTTAAAGCACAGCTGTATGTCTATGCTTTTCACTATATTCCAGATTTTGGAGTTGTCTTGTGCTACATGTGGAGACCTCCAGTTTCTGTGTTTTCAAACAACAGCTAGTTTGATACTTTAGAGAGTTTTCCATGAAACTTTTGGGCAGTATATATAAAGATCAAGTTGAATAGAGAGGGGCAAGAGCTGGATTTTGTTGTTCTGATGTACTCTGTTGTGTCTATGTCAACATCAGAAGATGAGTTTTTAAGACTTACTGTGTTGCAAATGACAATACACGTTTTGTACCTTGCAATGTTTTTTTAATTAATTGGAATTATTTGATATTCTAGCTTTTGTAACCAAGTCTAATTCTATTTCCCCAATGCTAGAAGACTGGGATATGTTAGATGTAGATGAAGATGAAAAGCTGACAGGAGAAGAAGAGTTTGAATTACTGGCTGGACCTCTTGGGTTAAATGATCGGCGCATTGTCCCCGAACCTGTCCAGTTCCCTGACAGTGACCCCCTGGGGGCTTCGGTTGCAATGGTCACAGCCACCAACAGCATGGAAGAAACATTGATGCAAATAGGTAAATTTAAAATCCATTTCATTCAAAGAATAAATAATCATCATAATACCACCACCACTTCCCCTTTGGTGTGGTTTTTGTAGGGGCAGTGCAGAAACAGTCTGACAGTATTTCCTTCCTGCCACCATGAGGAAGTGGAGACAGGCTCTAAATTGTCCTTTTATTATAGGGGAGTTAGAGAGAGCAATGAGGATTATAAATTGCCAGGAGGCTTGAAGCTTCAATTTGCCAATAAAACTGTGCCCACAGTCCAACAGTGAATGCCAGTAGCATGTTTTGCACTTAAAGAATGGATTTAAGTTGGGACTTCAGGTAGGCCTCTCTGATGAAAAAGGGAAACAGAGAAGTTAAGATTAACTTGAGTATTGTCAAGTAGTTCTCATCTATGAAAATGAGGAATGATTAAATTATGGAGTGTATTTCAGTAGTGTATTTTCCTCTCAGTCGTTATCACTATAGTTCTGTATGAAATAGTGAAAAATGCATGAATAGTTTATGAACTTTGGCCAAATTTGCTTCTGTGCTTATTACTGTATGATAAAGTTTTGGTTTTCTTTAAACACTAATGCAAATCATTGTTATTTCCAAGGCTGCCATGGCTCAATAGAGAAGAGTTCCTCTGGCAGGATAACCTTGGGAGAACAGGCAGCTGCCCTGGTGAATCCACACGACCGTGTCATGGCTCTGAGGAGAGTGACAGCTGCTGCCCAAGTCCTCCTGGCAAGAACCATGGTTATGAGAGCGCTCTCACTTTTGTCTGTCAGGTTGGTGACATCCTTGGCAACACTTTTACCTTTTCTTTCAGAACCAGTTACCAACTTATGTTTGATAAGATGCTATTTGGGGAAGTGATTCTCATTTTACGTACTTACGCAATACTTCTAAGAGAAAGAGTTCTGCTGATTTTGTTCTTTTAACCAAGAGCATTTGTGTCCATTTTCACAGTGGTTCCAGTTGCAGCCTGGCAGCTGGGCTGGAATCCCTGGGACTGACGGACATCCGGACGTTGGTGCGGTTGATGTGCCTGGCAGCGGCGGGGAGGGCAGGGCTCTCCACGAGCCCATCCACGGTGTCCGGCTCAGCAGAGAGATCCAGGGGCATCCACAGCAAAACAAGCAAGCCCATCTCTTGCCTTGCCTACCTGAGCACTGCAGTTGGGTGCTTGGCATCAAACACTCCCAGCGCTGCAAAGCTGCTGGTGCAGTTGTGTACGCAGGTAGGACTGTTCTCTCAGTACTTACAATTCTCTGCAATACGGACTTAAAACTACCTATACATGAGATGAAGCAATCCCTTTTGTACATATGGATCATTCTAGCTCCTGAACTGGGATGAGACTGACCTCAGTCTGAGGATCTCCTTAGAGTTCTTGCACAAGACTGTGTTTTATTGTTGGTAAAAATCAAGTAACTATACATGTTTTTACTGAGTACTCTTTTCAAGTGGGGAAAATGGGTGTGCTCTTTGTTTTCTTGGGGGTTTTCTGTTTAGGTTCTGGGTTGTTTTTTTTCATGAGTCAACTGTATGTAGAGCACAGGAAAAAAAAATTCAAAACCTTTAAAACTCTGCCTGATTTATCCAACTGAAAGTGTTGTCTCAAATTTCTATTTCTGTTTGTTCTGGATAACCAGAACAATAAATAATTATCATCTTCAATTATTTCTTTCTAGAATTTGATTTCTGCAGCAACTGGTGTGAACTTGACAACAGTTGATGATCCAATTCAGCGAAAATTTTTGCCAAGTTTTTTAAGGGGAATTGCAGAAGAAAACAAACTTGTCACATCTCCGAATTTTGTGGTTACTCAAGCACTTGTAGCATTGTTGGCAGACAAAGGGGCCAAACTGAGACCAAACTATGATAAAGCTGAAATTGAAAAGAAAGGTATGATATAGCTTTGTTTTAAAATGTTGATCATTAAATCTTGAGTTCCTCATTTTTACATGTAAGGGAGAGACTTGGTAGAAAAATGTCTAAATAGATATACTCTGAAAAATGTACAAAACTTGTTTTAATCAAAGGCACATTACCGTTTATGACAGACATTTTATTTAGAATTACAATCTTATTACGTAATTGCATCTTAAAAAAAAAGTCTGAATGTGTGTTATTCAAAGTCATAGAGCTGAGACATTGAGCCTTGGTTGTGCCTCCTGGTGAAATTAGGGGGAGTAACAGCTGACTGCTGCCACCCGTGTGTCTGATCAGAAAGTTGTGCTGCCTGTGCTTGGAGAGGTCAGGGAGCCATGGAGCAGCTGCTGTTGCTGTGATAAAGAGAGGGAAGGACACGGCAGTGACAGCAGCGTCAGGGGAGGCGTTTTCTTGTTCGGAAAGCACTTGCTCTCTGAACAACCATTTTAGCTTTGGTGGAAATAAGACACTTTATAATTCTATTCTTAAGAACAGAATATTCTTTTCATTTTGTGAAAATGCAGCTGGGGTTATTTTACTATCAGAGGAGCACTTTTCCTCACGGTTAACGCGATCGCGACATCACCATTTAGTCTCTTTTCTGGGAATGCTGGCTAATGCTGTGCTCGCCGTGTGCAATTCCGTGCGTAACTCATTTGGGCATCATCTCATTGTTTCGTTTAAGCAGGTTTAATTGCCCATTTGTATGCCCATCCTTCCTATGATCCCTCTGCTGTAGGCCCTCTGGAGCTGGCGAACGCGCTGGCCGCGTGCTGCCTGTCCTCGCGCCTCTCCTCGCAGCACCGCCAGTGGGCCGCCCAGCAGCTCGTGCGCACGCTCGCCGCCCACGACAGGGACAACCAGAGCGTCCCCCAGACCCTCGCTGACATGGGGGGGGACCTCAGGAAGTGCTCCTTCATCAAACTGGAGGCTCATCAGAACAGGGTAAGCCTGGTTTGCCTGCCTAAAATGGAAGGAAAAGCTCTCTGAACAGTATTAGTGTAGGCAAGGTAGAGAGCAGTTCTGTAATGAAGGCCTTCAGGTGTACAGGGACGCACACCCACACAGAGAATTCCCACACTTCTATAACTTCAACTAATTACCACATCTAGTGGGTACATCCAACCCAAAAACCACTTTTACCCCTGTTACCACCTGCAGAACTGCCCCGTTGGAGCCTTTCCAAGGGTTCCGGGCCTTCTGTCTTGTTTTGACTACAGTACATCTTATTATTGCAGTCCCAAACAGGATGTGCTTGCTAAAATCTCTTTCCTTGAAAAGACTGTTAAACAGAAATTCAGGAATGTAGCACAAACTGTGAGAAAGGGTTTTAGTAACAGTCTAAAGTGAAAGAAAATTATACAGCCATATTAAAATCTACAAGAAGCTAAAAATCTTCAGGCGTCAGTCTCACACAGCAATTTTAACACTCTTTTGTAGAATACATTAAAAATAAAATAGTATTATCTTACAAATACACTGACTGAAATGATTTCCCACAAGAAGTAATTTTTTGGAGATTAGGTTATTGCCTGAGGTAAGTTATTGCATCTCTGAAGCACAAAAATGCTTAGCTTTTTTGATGCTTCAATTAAAGGCATCATGGGAGTGTTCTTAACGACACATGAAGTCAGCAGAATCACCCTGAATGTTTTCTTAGACTAGATCTATATTTGCATTCATTTTTCTGTCGTAGTTTTCTGTGCAATAGCGGCCTGTAGAGCAGGGGTCTGTATGAAGTGTGGCACCCTTGTAACTCCTGTTTAATTGCAATATATTTATATATTGTACTATATATATTATATATATTATATTATATACATATATAATATAATAGTACTGTAAAAGTAGAAAAATAAATCTTGATTGTTACAGTGTGTTTCAATACTGCTGCTGGTGCTCTGTCTCATTGGTTAATGTTTGCTTAATATTAGTAAGCAAAAATGCCTGAGTTTCCAGTTCCAATTTTGCCATGATTACTTTGGTATTTGTAGGTCATGACGTGTGTTTGGTGCAATAAAAAGGGACTTTTGGCGACCAGTGGGAACGATGGCACCATAAGAGTGTGGAATGTGACAAAGAAGCAGTACTCACTGCAGCAAACCTGTGTGCTCAACAAGCTGTAAGTTGGTTCTTTACAACAGTCAGGTATTTAATTTGAGCTGAAAATTGTGCAAGATAATGAGAAGAGCCAACCCTCCAATATCTCCTGCATGTGTTCTCCAGGACTGTGGCTGTGTTTATGGCCTGCAGAATAAATTAAATAGCTTAAAACTGAAAACGGAACTTAAATATCAACTTGGTAAGAGTCTGTATAAAGAGATCATGTGAAAGCTGTTTAAAACCATTCTTAATTAATTGATATAAAGAAATGGGTAAAATGAAGACTGTGTGGGACTGTCATATAACAAAAAGGTGAATATCCCTTCAGTGGGTTCCAGTTGACAGCTCTAAAGTATAACATGATCATTGCAAGTGTGGTCATTTGGGTTAAGTGTGAAAAAAGAACTTGTGACTTGTGAGATTCAGGAACTGAGTGTAATTCTTCTTCATGAGAGTGTCTGGGAAGTGCTTTTCTATCATTTGTATGTGTTTAAAAAAGAAGAAAGCAGAATGAAAGATTAAAATCTAATTCTTTAGTTGAGCATAAGAGAGTTGAACTCAGGAGAATGAAGAAACAATAGTTAACTAGAAGACTGTTTCCTGACAATTTCTTTGTGATTGTTCTAGTTCTTGTTTGCTTGTGGCCAAGCATCTTGTTAGATGTGGCCTTAAAAGCAGCATATGGAGTGACAACAATATTATAGCCTTCATTTTTCTGTTATTAAAACAGTAAAAAGTGTTGTTTATGATCTTAAGGGCAACTAAAGATATCAGTGGTCCTGTTACAGTTAGCCAAAGCAGACAATGTAACATTATTTTGGGAGGAAGAGTTTAAAATAGAATTGAGAGCAAGATGTTCCTCTTTAATTTCTTGTCCAGAAACTTTTGCACTCACTAAAGATGTTAAATTTGAGAAATAAGTAGGTAATTTAATTATTTTCCAATTGAAACCCAGCTTGAAATTTCTTGGAAATAACTGGTATGTCATTCTGTAATCTGAAGTGGTTTTAGAGAGAATGTAGAAGCATGAGCAGAAAAATGTTACATAAATCTACAGTGATGGCAGGACACCAGGTTTTAGCTGAGATATTTCATGAATTCTGTGTTTTCCTGTCTGCTTAAAGAAAATACCTATTTTAATTGTTTTTTTTTTTCTATTACAGAGAAGGTGATTCTGAAGAAAGTCTGGGGTCACCCAGTGACCTTAGTTTATCTCTTGTGTGTTGGAGCATCAGTGGCAAATATCTGGCTGGAGCTACAGAAAAGATGGTGAACATATGGCAAGTCAATGGTATGCCCTTAACTACCTCTGAACTCGTTATGATGCACATATTTGTAGGGAAAGTTACTGCATGTTTGTTTACCCGAGTATTTAACTGTCTGCTCTCCAGTTTATGTGCCTGCAGTCTCCCATAATGTCTTGTGAACCTGTTCCTTTAGAGGAGGGCACTAAGTGGATGTGTGACTTACATCTTTGAGAGGAAGACTTTTAGTCGCTGTCATCTGTAATCTTGGAAACTTCCTTCTGCTGCTTTGCACTTAGGAAAATCCCCAGTTACACTGCCTGTGTTAATAGACAGTACCCAGGAAAGGAATAAATTTACTGAGTTCTGAAGAATTTAGTTGCATCCTTAACAAAACTATGTAACTTGACTGATAATTCAGCTTTGTTAGCTCGATTTTGTGCCTGTGTAGATTAGTGGACCGTTGTTTTGTATTCTTGTAACTTGGGTGAATTTCAAGTGTGTCCTAGCTCTAAATAAGATCTGTTGATATTTTCTCACAGAAAGTATTTTTGTAGCTTTCTTTATGAAAATGAAGTCGTTTTAAAAGACTTTTTGGTCTCCTAGGAGGAAAAGGATTATTAGATCTCCAACCTCACTGGGTGTCTGCTCTAGCCTGGCCAGAAGAAGGGCCAGCTGCAGCATGGACAGGGGATGCTCCAGAATTGCTGTTAATTGGTCGTATGGATGGATCTCTGGCTCTTATTGAAGTTGTGGATATCTCAGCCATGCACAGGCTAGAACTGGAACACTGCTACAGAAAGGATGGTAAGGGACTGCATCAGCATTGGCAATTACAATTGGGAAAACTTCCCCCCCTCCCTTTTTACTAAGCAAGTATAAAATCTCTGGTTTTTTCTTGTTATCATTTGTGGGGTGTGAATTCTGGTACCTCATCTGCAAGTGTCATTCATGGGAGGAGAAAAGTCTGTGGGATCTCCATCTGCACCCTCACTCCCCCACAGTAGAGTCAAACTGTTTGTAGCAACCAAGTCAAACCCTGATGTTCCTTGTTGTTGTGGAAAATCCCCAGAGATCCCCTGCAGTGTCTGCTCTGTCTGCAGATAGCGTGGAGTCAGTGTCATTGAGTTCCTGAGAGATTGCCACTTTTCCTTCATAGTTCCACTCCCAGGGGACATCAAGTAGCACATCTTTGGCAGTATTGTGTGATTTTGCATGTTGCTTCTTCAGGAAGTTTGCAGATTTATTTTTTTTTCAGAATCAATTGAGGGAATATCTACTTGCTAAGAAAGGCAAGTTGTTTTCCAGAGCTTTTCTTAGTAGCATCCCTATTTCAGATACATAGGATTCAGTCTACTTTTTTTTCCCCCAGTATAATTATTTTCACCATGCCAGAAATTTAAACTCAATTATTTTAATAAAAAGAAGAATGAGAAAACTAATACAAAGTAATCTCAACAGCTGTCATTACAGTGAAACTCATTTTTTACCATACAAATTTGAGAAAATTCTCAAAGCAAAGTATGTTAAGTGACCTTAATGGTGGAGAAGTTTGTTAAACACTTCATAGTTCAGACAAATGCACTGCAAACCCTCTTTGGCAGGAATGTAGTTAATTGAGCTTAATTAATGTTTGTGTTGTCTGTTCATGTAGTGTCTGTCACATGCCTTGCCTGGTTCAGTGAGGACAGACCATTTGCTGTTGGCTATTCTGATGGAAAATTGCTCATAGGAACGAAGGAACCAATGGAGAAAGGAGGAGTCATTCTAATCGATGCCCATAAGGTAATCTCTGTAAAACTAGTGCATAATTTCTCTAGGTAAAGATCTGTTGAAGCTATTTATAAAATCAAGTGCAGGTTATTTTGAAAACACATACCTATTTATGATACATATATTAAACATAATATATTTTAAAGGAACAGTCTACCAAATGTAAAAAAAAAAAAGAAAAGGCAAAAAAGTGAACATAGATTTGATAGCCTGTTTTTTTATCAGGGATGTACATACAGTGACAGGAGTGTTAAGCACACAGCAATGCATGACTGGATTTAAAAGCCTGGGTCTTTTAGTTGGTACAAGTGCTCCTAATAAATACTGGTTTTGCTCATGTCACATATTTTTGTTCAACTTCTTGTGCAAAGCAAAAGGTGTTTTTCTAAATGTGCAGTCGCAAAGGTTGGGAACCTTCTCTTGGCCAGGATGTAATAACAAGACATTAACAGTCCATAAATTATTTGTTAGGCTAAGAGGAGAATTCCTCAAATGTAGGTGTAGTAGGAGCCTCTTGAGTGCTTCCATGAGGTGGTCTTTGTGTCTGGAGCAGGGTAATCCCAGAAAGGAGGGTGCTGTGGTGATAAGTCTGTCCTTGCCTTCTTCCTGTGGGCTGATCTCCTTCCTTACCTCAGTTAGACTCAAAGCTGCATCTGGCCCATTCCTTAATATGTTTCCAAACCACGTCCCAGTAATTTGTACCACAGTTTCATAGTATAAAAAAAAAGAAGGAAACGTTGTGTACTTTATCAGGGAAAAAAATCAAGAAAGGTTTGCAGTGAAAAGAAAACATCTTTGCTTTCCTTTTAGTTTCTTTCAGCAAACTTCTTTAGTCTTTTTAATATGATAGTTCTGAAAAATATTATGATTTCATAATTACAACTCAGTATCTAACAATTTTTTTGAGAATAAGGTATTTTTGGTATTAATAATTAAAAATTACATTAGCTCCAAGAGTGAAATTTTCTTTTCTTACCAACTTTTGGGTTTTTTTCAATCCAATAGGATATGGTTGTTAGCATGAAATGGGATCCAACTGGAAAGATTCTCCTGACATGTGCCAAAGAAGAAACAGTGAAGCTCTGGGGGTACATGGGGGGCTGTTGGAGGCGCCTGCACTCCCTGTCCCACCCCACTCTGGTGAACGGCATTGCCTGGTGTGCCCTGCCAGGGAAGGGGCCCAAGCCCCAGCTCCTGTTAGCCACGTATGTCACAGTTTTATTGTTTCTCTAGTTCTTCTGCAGGTCTGTTCTACCAGTCTGGAGTGTCCAGAGCAAAGAAAAGGGTTTTTTTAAATCACATTCCTTCAATAAACCAGTTGCTGTGAGGTTCACGAGGCTTCAGAATTCAAATGTAAAGGGTGGCCCTGGTCGTGTTACCAACTGTTTTCTCCATGTCATGAGACCTGTGTGTGCTGGTCCTACTTGCATTTTTTTGCTTCATCGAAATATTTTTTCTAATAATATGTTGTTAGTAAAAATGGAAAAGCTACAGGGTGTGAGGAATAGGAAAAAATGCATTTATCCATTGGGAATGTGCCTTTCTACTTTCGATTAATTCATACAATACAACTTTATAGGAAGGTGGTAAGACTGCTGATATTGTAAGTTAATACCAGACCACTGATACTTGGTTAATTAATACCTTTATTTTGTTTTACTATTTCATCTGACTTGCTTTAGGGGATGCCACAATGGCTTGGTGTGTGTCTGGACTGTTCCCCAGGACATAGTGATCACACTGCAGTCCAGCTCAACTTGCTCAGAAGAATGGTGGGAGCAAGAAACAAGTGTCAAGGTAAGAGGAGTTATCTTGGTGTTTAAGGAATTCCCTCTGCTCATTGTGAAATTGAGGGAGAAGAATGTAAGCAAGTTCCTCGAATCTCAGTATTTCCTGGGAGAAGGCACTTGCTAAAAAAGGAATGTCATTTGTCTGTGTCTAGGCATTTTTAGGACAGGAAATGAAAAATCACAGGTTTAAATTTTATTTGGCTAAAGTTTATATTTTGATCTGTTTTCATCCTTCTAAAAGTTGATAAATTTATACTAAAATTTAGTAAGAGTTTCAAGTTTTCTGTAGATAAAAAGAGTTAAGATAAATTTCACCTACATAAGTTGTAATGTGGCCTTTAATTTGTAAAGGGAGGAAAGATGATAATGTGACAAGATATGCATAAAATATTGTCATAGTAATGGGTTTTTTTAAAATTATTTATTGGAGCTTATCCCTGCCTGTGGATGATCAGTGTTTATTGCAGAAGACAGGCACTGTCATGCTGTTCCATTTTCTGTGAGCAGCTCAGTGTTCCATAACTGTGTGATTATTTGCAGGATGGATACAGGAAGGCAGTGGAAGTCAAGTGTGTGTTTCAGCTGAGGGGACACATCACTCCTGTCAGGACTGTTGCATTCAGCCCTGATGGACTGGCCTTGGTGTCTGGGGGCCTCGGGGGCCTCATGAACATTTGGTCTTTACGGGTAAGATCATCTTTGATGTGGCTTGATTCTGGTTTTTAGCATGAATATCTGGAATGGTCAAAGCTTCCCCCTCCCCAGACGTGAGTTAGAAATGTTAGAGAAAGCATGGTATAAAATAATGTTATAAAATTGTAAATAATAAAACATAAATTGAAATTGTATTAGCATTGAAGTAACTTATATTTATGATTCTGTTATTGGTTAATTCTGTAGGTTTGGTCATGTTAGTTAGGCTTTGCAGAATCAGCCACTCTTTATGGTTGAAAACAATATTCTCTTATTTCAAGACTTTTTCAAGGGTAAGATAATGTGGATTATTAAGCACTTCTAACTCCTTAATATGATAAAAATTCTAGATTTTTTTACTTGTAGGGTAAGTATTTAACTCTTTGCATAGTTGTTGAACAACTTGGGAGAATATCATCCCTTAGAGGTGTGATTGCATGCACTGAAACAGAAATCATCTGTGTGCTCACACTGACTGCAGCCCCCTCTCTCCTCAGGATGGCTCAGTGTTGCAGAGTGTTGTGATAGGCTCTGGAGCAATCCAGACTGCAGTGTGGATACCTGAGGTTGGAGTAGCTGCCTGTTCTAACAGATCAAAGGTGACACTGTGCTTAAAGTAACATTCTTTCACACTTCTTACTAAAAATGCTATTTGTCTGGGTTTACTTTCTTTTCTCACCCCCCCCTTGTTTTTCTCTAGAAATATCTATCTAACACTCTCATATTTTCCAGACGTTGTTTTGCTTTCAACTTTCACCTCACCCTGAAAAGATTGGGCTTTTTTGTTTGTATCCTGTGTTTAATGTGGTGGGGCAGGGTGGAATCCTTCTGAACTCGTAGTTACAAAGATGCTGCACATGGGTTATATCAGCCCCTCTGTTTAATGGAAGCAGATGTAAATGAACAATGCAAATAGACAGCAGACAGATTTATTTCTTTTATTCCTTTATGCAGCATGAAGAAATGTTTCATTTCCCCAGCAAATAAGATAATTTGGTGATCTAAATTAATCTAAAGCAACCTCAGAAGTTTTTAAGAAACAGCAGAATTTACTTCACTGTTTGCTGTGTCAGGAACTTGTGGCATCTGAACAGAAGTTTTAAAACAGCTGATTATTCCAAAAGATGGTATTTTTGTGAATAAATATGGCACAAGTTATGACTCCTGTTAGCAGAGTCATGCTGTGTGTGGTTCTAAGTGTTTTGTGGTTCTTTGAAAGTCTCTTCTGAACTCAATAAAGGTCACATTACAGGGCCAATCCTAAACTAAGGTTGCCTCTAAACTGAATCTTAAGGATACAGCATTCACTGAAATGAACTCTGCTTGTCACCGTGTTTGTATTGTTCCTTGGAGTGATAATGGCAGTGTTGCCATGGCAATGTGAGGAAGTGGCAGATGGAGATGGCTACTCCATAGCAGATTATTCCCCAACAGAGACAGGAATGTTTGAACATTTGTGTTTTCTGGCCCCTATGGAAATTAAGATGGTTGGTGATAAATCAGTGGAGCTGCTTTGGGATTTTTTTTAATTTCTGGTGTGTCCCGTGCCTGCTGTTACACAGGATGTGTTGGTGGTGAACTGTACCTCCGAGTGGATATCTGCCAACCACGTCCTGGCCACGTGCAGGACTGCTCTGAAGCAGCAGGGAGTGCTGGGGCTGAACATGGCTCCCTGCATGAGAGCCTTCCTGGAGCGGCTGCCCATCATGCTGCAGGAGCAGTATGCCTATGAGAAGGTGAGAGGAGCTAATGCCAGCATTTCAGATGCATGTCTGGCACGAGGTCACTGTTTGAATCTCAGCTGATTCCAGTCTTTCACCACAGAGAGCCCACCAGACTTTCCTACACCCTATTTGCAAATATCCTTCAGTCTCCTCAAAGCTAGCGGTCACCTAATTTGAAAAATATTTAAAATATTAGGAAAACTCTGATTTAAGCAGGGAGGAAAGTATTTTCTACAGGCCTAACTTTGAAGGACTCCTATTTCTGAGCTGAATCATAGAATCACAGAATCAGTTGGGTTGGAAGGGACCTCTGAGATCATCAAGTCCAACCCTTGATCCAACCCCGCCGTGGTTCCCAGCCCATGGCACTGATGCCACATCCAGTCTCTTCTTAAAAACCTCCAGGGACGGAGAATCCACCACTTCCCTGGGCAGCCCATTCCAATGGCTGAGCACCCTCTCTGTAAAGAAATTCTTTCTAATGTCTAACCTAAACCTCCCCTGGCACAGCTGAAGACCGAGCTCTCTTGTCTTGCTGAGAGTTGCCTGGGAAAAGAGACCAACCCCCCCCTGGCTCCCCCCTCCTGTCAGGGAGTTGTAGAGAGTGAGGAGGTCTCCCCTGAGCCTCCTCTTCTCCAGGCTGAACAGCCCCAGCTCCCTCAGCCTCTCCTCATAGGACTTGTGCTCCAGTCCCTTCCCCAGCCTTGTTGCTCTTCTCTGGACCTGCTCCAGGACCTCCATGTCCTTCCTGAGCTGAGGGCCCAGAGCTGGACACAGCATTCCAGGGGTGGCCTCACCAGCACTGAGTACAGGGCAAGAATCACTGCCCTGGACCTGTTGGCCACACTGTTCCTGAGCCAGGCCAGGATCCATTGGCCTTCTTGGTCACCTGGGCACACTCTGGCTCATGTTCAGCTAACGTGTTTCCTCCCTCTGCCCTGCCTGTAGCCCCACGTTGTGTGTGGAGACCAGCTGGTGCACAGCCCCTACATGCAGTGCTTGGCCTCGCTGGCCGTGGGCCTTCACCTGGACCAGCTCCTGTGCAACCCGCCGGTGCCTCCCCACCACCAGAGCTGCCTCCCTGACCCCTCAGCCTGGAACCCCACCGAGTGGGCCTGGCTCGAGTGTTTCTCTACCACCATCAAAGCTGCAGAAGCCCTGGCCAAGGGAGCACAGTTCCCAGAATCCTTCACTGTCCCAGACTTGGAGCCTGTTCCAGAGGATGAGCTCACTCTCCTGATGGTAAAATTTGATGTTTTCTCTCAGCAGCAAAGCGTGTAATACAATCCACATCTCTGTACTGTAAAAATTTACATTTATTAATATAAGCACCAGCAATAACTGTAAGTTTATTTTTTAATTCACTGGTTACAATATACTGTTAAGATTGCTCTGTGTGTGTGTGTAATGAGCACAAGTCAGGAGCATATTAAAAAAACAAATTAAAACAACCCAATACTGTGACAGTAGTTTTCATAGGTGGTAGAAGCAAGAAATGTAGAGTTTTGCAATGCTATTTTAAGGGTAACTTTGGCACATTCCTACACCAAATTATTTTGCTAGTGTCAGTTTGCTTTTTGACTTCTTATGACACGTAAACCAGAATGGAAGTTTTTGATTAAGAGTTTTTTATCAGCAAGGTGTTTGCAATTGAATCGTTTTAAGCCAGTGTTTCCAACTGAAACTTGTAAAATCCTTAAGCATCAGTAAACAGAAAGAGATTACTTCATAGAGAATTTTGTTTGGTTTGCTTTTTTTCATTTGGATTGCAGGACACAGATAAGTGTCGTTGCTGCTGTGTACACATCCATTCTTATTGCTATATCATTTAGAATAATTTGAATATTGTTCTTAGAAAGGAAAATGTGTCCATAACAATAAAATAATGTGCATCTCTTGAGCTGAATGTGGTAACTGTGGCTTTTGCTGTGTAGGATAACAGTAAATGGATCAATGGCATGGATGAGCAGATCATGTCTTGGGCAACATCAAGGCCAGAGGTTAGTGAAACTTGGTTTGGGGTGTTCTGGAGGATTTTTCACTCTTTGGAAACATTGTAGGCTGTTGCAAGTACTCTTGTTCTGAAGCCTTCTCTCCTGCTCTTCCCTAGGATTGGCACTTGGGAGGGAAGTGTGACGTGTACCTGTGGGGAGCAGGCAGGCATGGACAGCTGGCAGAGGCTGGGAGGAATGTCATGATACCAGTGGCAGCACCTTCCTTCTCTCAGGCTCAGCAGGTGATCCCTCAAAACCAGTCATGATCTAAGGCTTTACCATCTGTTATTTGTACAGCTTGTCAAAGTCTCTCTCTGAATATCTTCTCAATTTGTTCTTTGAATTTACTCTAAGTACCCTAAAACATGTATTTTTACTGAAGAGGAACTCTTTAATTATTTGACAAATTCATACCAAGAAGCTAATGAAATATGACAACACAGAATTACTTTATATGAGCATGATTTGAATTATTTTATATGATTTGAAAATACTTGCCCAGCTTTAAAATAAAACATGTGGCAGTTTTGCTTTCTGAAATAGCATCAACTTGATATAATATTATCTTGACATAATTACAAAGAACACCAATTAAAAGGAGATGGTGCATTGTAATGCAGGTATTACAGCTTTGCTGCATTTGACATATATTAAAATTCCTTCCTGTCTTTCTAAACCAGGTGGTTTGTGGTCAGAATTGTACCTTTGTCATTCAAGCTAATGGCACCGTTTTAGCTTGTGGTGAAGGGAGTTATGGGCGACTGGGGCAAGGAAATTCTGATGATCTTCACGTCTTAACAGTCATTTCAGCACTGCAAGGTAACACTGCTGGGTTTGAAAGGAATCATTGAGAGAGCTCAAATGAGCATTTTGGTAGTTAGTATAATTGTGTTGATGCTCTTTTTGCAGATTTAGACATTAAATATTGTAGTCTTTAATTAAAAAACACTGAAAAAATAAACTAACTAATAAAGTTTCCTTGATGTTTAAGTAGTCATATGTTTAAATTCCTTAATTTTAAGAAGTCTTCAGGGAAAAGTCTTTGCTCAAGTTAGGAACATTTAATTTCAAAGCTATTGGCAGGACAGGGGTATAAATTGTACATGAGAAAATGAAGGTTTTGTTCAAAAGAAAAGTAAATTAATTGCTATAACAAGGAAACTGTTACTGTGGTTTGTTCTTTTCCCAGACTTAATTGGCTGCCATTAGGCACACTTGTATGTGAAGAGTTTATTACAAGTTATTTGATCTTTTGATTTCTCATTTTTCTCTAACAGGCTTTGTTGTAACACAGCTGGTGACCTCTTGTGGGTCTGATGGGCATTCCATGGCTCTGACAGAAAGTGGGGAAGTCTTCAGCTGGGGAGACGGAGACTACGGCAAACTGGGCCACGGGAACAGCGACCGGCAGCGCAGGCCTCGGCAGATCGAGGCCCTGCAAGGAGAAGAAGTGGTGCAGGTCCCAAAATATTCTGTGTCTCCTTCAAACTGCAGGGCTGGTAACCCGGTGCTGTGTCCTCTGAATGAAATCAGGCAACTTCTGCCTTCTTTGGGCTTTCTGGACCAAGCTGGTGATGTCCAGTTGAAGGATGTTCATACCACAGAGCCTGTTGTTGGTGTGGGATGTTGATGGGCAGTTGGTACTGGAGAAAGCTAAAAATCTAAATATTGTCAAAATACAGACAAACTTCCCTTCATCTTTGTCAGGTGACTTTGACCTACAAATCTGGTCACCAAGGCCTAACAGTGCCATATTTGGCTTTGACTGGAGGATTCTTTATAAAAATACAAGATAATCACACAGCAAATTCTTCATGCAAATATCCTCTAGTCCTCCTCCATAACATTACCATTGAAAAGAATAAGAGATGGGTTGCTGGAGAAATCATTAATACTAAAATGTTTGTATTTTAAGTCTTTAAAAGTGAATATAGCTTAGAGGAGGAAAAGGTATTACATATATACATGTAATAGCCAATATAATCTTCTGCCCAAATTTAAAATGTGTGTAAAAATGATGTTTATTTTGCTTCCAGATGTCATGTGGCTTCAAACACTCAGCTGTGGTGACAGCAGATGGCAAACTCTTTACATTTGGAAATGGCGATTATGGTCGATTAGGACTTGGCAACACTTCCAATAAGAAACTTCCAGAACGAGTGACGGCGCTGGAAGGTTACCAGATTGGACAGGCATGGTTTACCTAAAACTAGCCATGGATCTGTGTTTAAAGCTGATGTTTGTAATGTATTTAAGTGTTGAGTTGTGGCTTTTTAACCTTGGCTTTTATTTTGGTTATGATGGCAGTATTTGACTATGTGTAATTTTTTTTAATAATTACTTTCCTGACTCTCTTGATCCTCTTTTTGCAAAACTGCCCTTGTTTTTTAACATCTTAACATTTCAAGATTGAGGCAGTTTTAAGCATGAATCAATGAGCTTCTTTATATTTTTAAACAGGGAATATGTGTAGCATAATACTATCCTTTGGCTCTATGTGCTGAGAGGAACAAAAGAAAATACTACTGTGTTCTAAGTGTCTTTAAAACACTCTAATAAGCAGTGGAATTTTTAATGGTTTTACATAGATACTTAATTTTTAAACACTGTTTTTCTTCTAAAAGGTAGCTGGAGTGTTTAAGTTAGTAGTAAGTTACCAAAAATGGTGGTAACAACATATTTCTCTCCCTCAGGTGGCCTGTGGCCTCAATCACACTGTAGCTGTGTCAACAGATGGCTCAATGGTCTGGGCTTTTGGAGATGGAGATTATGGGAAACTTGGTCTGGGAAATTCCACTGCAAAGTCCTCACCACAGGTTAGAATCCATGGGGAAATTATTCTTGGCATAAATTTTCAGTATTGTTCAACGTGTTGTACAGTGTTCAGAGGTAATTTTCAGAAGGTAAATTATTAATTCCACGCTGTTGTAACACAATCTGGCACAAGTAATTCTAGTGACACATTATGCTGAACCTGGTGCTCTAAAGAATTTCACATAAATTATAGTGACCTTATCTTAGTAGCAATACAAATAGCAAATATCAGAGGTTTCTCAGATTTCTTGTTTTGGAAATAGGGGGGAAGGTTGTTTACAACTCATCTACTTCATCCAATGTCACTCCCAGTAAAAAAAGAGATACTCTGAATCATTGTACATGATTCAAAGATGTTAATTCTGTTAAAGAAAAACTCTGTTTCTGTTTTCTGTATTAATTTCCAAGTGTTAAGTAATATAATCCAACAATGTATGCAGTGCACAGGGGGAATTAAAAAAAAAATTTCCTTTTTTTGGAACCAGGAGTTTTAGATTAAATTCATGTTTGCTTTCTGTTTATATATACTCTTGTAATTCTATACCTTGTTTTCCTTTCACTTTACCCCCTTAGAAAGTGGATATTCTTTGTGGAATTGGAATAAAAAAAGTTGCCTGTGGAACTCAGTTCTCTGTTGCACTGACAAAAGATGGTCATGTATATACTTTTGGGCAAGGTAAGAGAATCTGTTCTTTGGACATTTCCATCTACAACCTTGTGTGTATTGCAAGTGAAAAGGAAGACTATTAAGACACATTTCTAAGACTGACCTAATGATGTTTTTTAGAAATGTGCTGACCTAATCTGAATTTTGGAACTTCAACAACGTAATTTTAATGTACACCTAAAATCCAGATTTGTAGCTCTGTGTCATTTCATTTCAGGACAGCCTTTCAGGTTTGGGGGTTTTTTTCAGTAATTCCCTTTTTGAAGAGGATTTTCCTAAAATTTCATTGAATTCCACACATCCAAGGACATTGGGTTACTTCAAAGTTTACACAGTCTAATAAAACATGTTTAAACAGCTGGAGAGGAGAATTTCCATGAGCACAGAATTAAACAATAAATTCAAGCAAATAACAGTAAACTTCTCAAGTCAGATAATTCTTCTGTATTTTAAAACTATACATTTACATCTAGAAGTCTTGGTTTAGTAGAATTTGATCTTGTTTGAGCCTTCAGCAATATTCTGAGCTCTGTGGGAAAAGCACTGGTTTGTAGGAAGCATCCCCCGTCTTTCTCCCTGATTGCAGTGGTGTCCCAGTTCCAGGGCTGCATGGAACTGCTTTCTGTCCCTCCCTGACTCCTCCCTTTCCGTGTCCCTGACTCCAGAGGTGTGTTCCCATTCCAGATCGCCTCATCGGTTTGCCCGAGGGCCGTGCCCGCAACCACAACCGGCCCCAGCAGGTGCCGGTGCTGTCAGGGATCTTCATCGAGGACATCGCGGTGGGGGCAGAGCACACCCTGGCCCTGTCCTCCACGGGGGATGTCTATGCCTGGGGCAGCAATTCCGAGGGGCAGGTATGTGCTTTTTTATTCTCCTGGCCCTTATAAGGCTGTCATTGTGCTTCACAGATGTATTTGGAATATTGATTGTAATGACTCTTCCGGCAATTTCCATTATTTTCCTATTTATTCCCTGTAGCAGTCTGGGAAAGCACTCAAAACATTCTAGGCAAATTATCCTCATCCAAGGTTTTTTAAAAATTTATAAATTTTTACCTAATTCTTGAGCTGTCTCCAGTTTTTTTTTCAGCATAATAAAATTTCTGGTTGGTGTCAATCAGATTTGTGAACTCTTTAGGTGCTTTTTGTAATGAAAATATAAATTAACCTTTTTAAAGGAGTGATTTTTTTTTAAAGTCAGAAAAAAATGATAAATTCTCCCTCAACACATTTAATTCAAATTTTTTGAAAGGACTTTAGCTTTTTGACACTTCTGCGTGCTACAAGTATCAGAACGAGCCTCTTCATATAGCAGGTGATGGTGTTTCAGGAAGTTTGGGCAAATTTCATCCTCTAGTGTTTTAGGACTGAGTTTTTGAGGAGGCTTGTTGAGCAAGTTTTTTAGAATAATTTCTCTTTGACTTGTTTTTGGTTTCTTTTTTAATTGTTTTTGGTTTGTTGGTTTTTTGGTTTTTTTAATGTGGTACTTCGTGTTTTTGTAAGGGAAGAAATTGTTAGGGTAAAAAATGTAAATAAATTGATTCTGAAAGCTGGTTTATATGATTTTCAGTTCAAAATAATAGTTTTATATGAAGTGGTAAAAAAATATACTCTTGCAATCTGAAATTTTTAACCTTTAGAATATGATATGAAACTTGGTAAAAAATCAGAACAGCTTCAGTAAATTCTCTCTTTACACAAATTGTGTTTTCATAAGCCATTGTAGCAATTTACATGCTGGAACAGAAATGGTATTTGAATGGCACAGAGGAGATGTAGAAGATGAGTTGTCTGCGCATGAGAGCCTGTGCAGTACAGACAACTTAGCAGCATAGGGTAGTTCCTCAGTCTGGAAAAGATCTTGCAAGAAGTCTCCAACTGTTTTTGGGGTTCTTTGACACATAGATCTGCTACTCCAATTGGGTACAGATGCAATATTTTATCAAAACTAAAAGATAGATACATATGTGTAGTAAATTTTTTTAATCCCAGTATATGCTGTAGATAAATATAATTTTTTACCATTTGCTCTGAATTTTTGCTTAGAGCGTTTTAGAAGTATCACCGCAGCCGTTGATTGTTCTTTGTCCCTTTTCCATCTGTTCCAAATGGTCAGCTTGGCCTGGGCCACACCAACCACGTGCGGGAGCCCACCCTGGTCACGGTCCTGCAGGGGAAGAACGTCCGGCAGATCTCGGCCGGGCGCTGCCACAGCGCGGCCTGGACGGCTCCCCCTGTGCCCCCACGAGCTCCGGGTGAGCAACTGTCAGTGGGACAAGAGGGCACGGCCTTAAGCTCTGCCAGGGGAGGTTTACGTTGGATGTTGGGAAGAAATTCTTTACGGAGAGAGGGATCAGGCATTGGAATGGGCTGCCCAGGGAGGGGGTGGAGTCACCATCCCTGGAGGTGTTTAAGGTGAGACTGGATGTGGCATCAGTGCTGTGGTCTGGGAACCATGGTGGGGTTGGATCAAGGGTTGGACTCGATCTCAGAGGTCTTTTCCAACCCGACTGATTCTCTGATTCTAACTAAGGTTTTATAGCCGTTTGGTTTAGTCCTGCCTGGTGTTCCTGGGCTATGAGTGCAACAAGAATTCTGAACATTTGGGACAAAATTTGTTCAGTTTTATATCCATGCAGGGTTTCCTGTTATCTTAGTCTTAATTTGGCTGCTGTTGTGGTTTAACCCCAGTAGGCAGCTAAGCTGCTGTGGGGAAAAATCAACTCCATCCCAGCCAAAAGTAAACCAGCTCCCCTTTATCAAACACTGCTTTGTTTCTCTTCCTGTGGCAGGTGTTTCAGTGCCTTTGCAGCTTGGTTTACCTGATGCCATCCCACCACAGTACGGGGCACTGAAGGAAGTGAGCATTCATACAGTGAGGGCAAGGCTGAGACTGCTGTACCATTTTTCTGACCTCATGTACTCTTCGTGGAGATTACTTAACCTCAGTCCCAATAACCAGGTAAAATTCCTTTGGAAAAAACTGGCTTGGCTGTGTTGTGTTATGCCATGTTGCCAGAGAGTTTCTGACCAGGTCAAGATGGATCTTTGTAAAAAAAAATTTAAAAAAATATAATTCTGGATTAAACCAAACTTTGTCAAGGTATTGTTCTATATTTTCACTTACACATGTCAGTGTTTCAGTTTCCAAAAGCTTTTTAGCTTTAAAACTAAAACCAAAAAACACTAACCTGTTTCCTGAAGCACTGGATAGCCAGTGATTGCTCTGAAGGGTTTTATTGTGGGAAGAATGGAATTAATATCCTTTATTGACATGTTTATTCTGGTGCTGCTTTATTTCAGAACAGTACATCTCATTACAATGCTGGAACGTGGGGAATAGTGCAGGGCCAGCTGAGGCCCTTGCTGGCCCCCCGGGTGTACACCCTGCCCATGGTGCGCTCCATAGGGAAAACCATGGTACAGGGCAAGAACTACGGGCCCCAGATCACTGTGAAGAGGATCTCAACCAGGTCAGTGCTGCTTCCACAGGCCCTGTGTCATGCTGGTGTTCACCCATTTCCTGATCTTTGGGCGTTCTGAGCTCTCTGTCCAGCTTTGTTAGGGCAGTGATTCCGTAGCCCTTACATTTGAGTTACATTGTCTGGCTGTGTTTCTCCCCACAGAGGTCGGAAGTGCAAACCCATCTTTGTCCAGATAGCAAGGCAGGTGGTGAAGCTGAATGCCTCAGACCTTCGCCTGCCCTCCCGGGCCTGGAAGGTGAAACTGGTTGGAGAAGGAGCTGATGATGCAGGTGGAGTGTTTGATGACACTATTACAGAAATGTGTCAGGTATGTCTGGGAACTCAAAATGCCTGGGGAGAGGTTTTGTTCTCTCTTACGGTATTTTTCAAATTTTCCTTTTTGCAGCATAGCAAGTACTTGTTCTTCAGTGCTGAGCCACAGCACTAGGGCTGCCTGCTTAGGGGTGTCTCTTGAGGATAAAGAAATCTTCCTAGATTGTGTCAGGGAGATGGTATAAGGCCACACTATAATTAGTGTTACATTAGGCTCCTTGGAATTCTGAGATGGCCCCTACACATTACAGGAGCATTTTGCGGCCTCCCGTTCTGTCCAGCCAGGACCTTCTTCGAGAAGCTGTGCTGTATTCCATGCCTACAGCACATTCCATGCCTGCAGTGCAGAAACACCTCAGGCAGGTGCTTCTCACGTACCTGAAGACATTTTCACCTCTCACATTCAGTGCTGGAAAGACCATCAGTAGCAGGAAGTGCCTGGTTTTGCCTGTCTGTGACCAGGATGTTGTGGCCATTGTTAACAGCTGTCCTTTCAGATTCTCCAGACTGCAGGATTAAGACAAACCTGGTCCATGCTCATGTATTCTGCCTGTAGTTTTAAGGATGTGTCTCAGCCCTGTGACACAGCTGTGTTTGTAGCCAGGAGAAGGATTCAGGGCAATGCTGACTGCAGAAGTTTGGTTGTTCCTTAATCCTCCAAAGCCTCAAAATACAAAGAATGAGGATTTGGGAGGTTAATGAGTCTATCTGCTTAGTCTGGGACAGGACAAGAGCTATGGGTAGTGCTGGAGCTGGCACTGGAGTTGGAGTTAGGATACAGGATGGAGAAACTGAAGAACTCCATTTATTAGTGGATTTTCTGAAGCCTGTAAGACTAGAGTAGGGTTGATTCAGGTAAAGGCTTGAGGCATAATTTTTGGGTTCTTTTCTAGACAGTTTACATTCAGCCTGAGGTGTGATGAGGGTTCAGAACAAAACTGAAAATTTTTTTGGATCTTGGAAAAGCTGCACCAGTAGGAAAAAGAAGTTATGGCTTCTGATTATTTTGGAAACAGGAATGTATCACAGAGCAGCCAGAGGAAAATAACAATTATAAGCTGACATAAGGACATGTCTTGGGGGAAAAAATAAGCTTTTATTACTTACAGTCATCCTACCACGTTTACTTTCTCTTCAGTGTTTTGTATTAATTTGTAAAAAGTGATCATCACTCTAGTGGAATATTCTGTCATGTAATGCTGTGATGCCTTAATAGGTTGTTATCCCTGTGTCTAAGAAGGCTTTTTTGTTGTTGATTTTTAAGGAACTGGAAACTGGAATCGTAGACCTGCTCATTCCTTCCCCAAATGCTACAGCTGAAGTAGGCTACAACAGGGATAGGTGAGTTGTGTAGGACTTAATTTATTGCGGATGATAGGGATTGAAAATCCAAATCTAGTAACTGTTTTATACCAAATGATGAGGCTTCATGACTGTCTCTAGTATATTTTTTCCTTGAGGTTGTAATGTTACTTTATTAGGAGGAGAGGGCATGACTTTAACATGAACTTGCCAGATTGCTGATGGCAGAGTTCAGAGTAACATCAGGAATGGCAGCCCTTGTGTCAGGAGTGCTGCCTTCCTCAGCCCCAGTGTCTTAGCAGCTAAAGAGAACAATAATGGTCTTGTTTGGCCATTCCTTGGTGACAAGTGTGTGGGCAGTTTGCTCTTTTACTTCTAATGAAGTAGCACAGAAATAATACAGAGTGTTTTCACTGATTCTTTGTTGTTCCAGGTTTCTCTTTAACCCTTCAGCATGTTTAGATGAACACCTGATGCAGTTCAAGTTCCTGGGCATTCTCATGGGTGTGGCTATTCGTACAAAAAAGCCATTAGATCTTCATTTGGCTCCAATGGTCTGGAAGCAACTTTGTTGTATCCCACTCATCTTGGAGGATTTGGAGGAGGTAGATCTGCTCTATGTGCAGACCCTCAACAGCATTCTTCACATTGAAGACAGTGGGATTACTGAAGAAAATTTCCATGAGGTAAGATGGGAAAGTTGAAGCTTTCAGGTTTATTCTGGAAGTGGTTGCTTTGTCAGATTGACCTTCACTTCAGTATTTATATTGTTTCAGTCTCCATTCTTGGAATAACAAGCACATTGTGTGCATTTAGAATAGTTTGTGATCTTAGTGTATATAGTTCTGGGTGACTTAGAGTAAAAAGTTAAACTTGTATCACCGGAGTGACTTACACTCAACATGCTTTTCCTGTTTTGCATCACAGATGATTCCTTTAGATTCATTTGTTGGCCAAAGTGCTGATGGTAAAATGGTTCCCATAATCCCTGGAGGGAACAGTATCCCACTTACCTTTTCAAACAGGAAAGAGTATGTGGAGAGGGCAATTGAGTACAGACTCCATGAAATGGACCGTCAGGTAAGACTCCTTGGGACCCATCCCTGTTGGGAGTGGGAAAAGGGGGGTGATTTATCCCAGTTTCCATTACAGTTTGTGGTAAGAAAAGCTTGGCTTTCTGCATCTTGACTGTGTCCCTGTGGCTTTTCTTCCCCCACAAATTGTTTTGGGGTTTTCTTTTAAATTAGTCCTGTTTTTCTCAGTAATTGCTCAGTTGGCAGAAGAGCATTAGAAATCAGAGCTTGTCTACGCTAGAGTAGCCCCACTGCAACCACTTGAGAAAAGAACCTGCAATTTTGCATTCTGAGCACTGTAACTGGACATATTAACAATACAGAGGCTTTCTGAAGTAAATATTATTGGCAAACATTTGTTTAATTTGAAACTGTTTCTCTTTGCTATAACACAAAACCTGCAAATATTCCATGATATGTTTTGGAAAGTGTTCATTACCTGTTTGCCATTTGATCAGTGAACCTTGTGAAAGCAGGATACTAATTACAAGGTAGAGATGCATGTGTGGTATTATCTGTGTTGGAGAAGCAGCTTTCTCATCAGAGGTACCAAATCCTAAGTCTTGTAGAACGAGAACATTCTCACCATGCACCTTAGGTGGAAACAAAGTGTTATTTGTATTTACACAGTTCCTTGGGTTAGCCATCATCATTTGTGCTGCCAACTTGTACTTTGTGCAGTTCTGTTTAGTATCAAAACATGTTTTTAAATGTGCAATTACAATTTAAAATATCTGTGATGTTCTCCTGGATTTTGAGAAGCAATCCAGCCCTTGCAGAGGGTGCATGTGTGGGAGGCAGATGTTCTGTAGTTCTGTCTCTCTATCCTATTTCTCAGCTGAGAAGTTATTTCTGGTTTTGGATGGTACAGAAGCGGTGAAGGTGAGACAATTGCACTTCAAATGTCTCCTCTGTTTTTGGCCAACAGGTGGCTGCTGTCAGGGAGGGAATGTCCTGGATTGTTCCCGTTCCTTTGCTGTCCCTTCTGACTGCCAAGCAGTTGGAGCAAATGGTCTGTGGAATGCCAGAAATCTCAGTTGAAGTTCTGAAGAAAGTTGTGCGATACAGGGAGGTGGATGAGCAGCATCAGCTGGTGCAGTGGTTCTGGCACACCCTGGAGGAGTTTTCCAATGAGGAGAGAGTCCTTTTCATGAGGTTTGTGTCAGGAAGATCTCGACTGCCAGCCAACACAGCTGATATCTCTCAGCGATTCCAAATAATGAAGGTTGATAGGGTAAGTTGCTGGGTTTATTTGGCTTTTTTTTAATTATATTATTTTTTTATTCATCTCTATTATGGTCTGTCCTTTGCCAGCAGGAGACAGTTTCCGTTGTTCTAAAGTTACAGAAAAAGTATGGGATGGGACGTGCTCTGAGTTAGGCCCAGACATTTTTATTGTGCAGAAGGACATAGGCTGCATGAATTGCATCTTAATTAATGTGGTGCAATCGGTGATTAAAGGTCAAGACAAGTTCTTGCACTAGAGACAAACCTTGTTCTATTGTAACTTGCCCACAGCGATTTTCTGTTCCAATCTCTTTTTTCATTTGGTAATTTTCATTGTGTTTTTAAGTGTTAATTTTGTCTAAGTGGCAACATATGACCAGTAGTGAACTATAACGTTTTTAAACCACTGCAGTGAGTTTACAGTGTGTTATTTCACATAAAGGATGCATTCATTTGGCATTGTTTTGGGGCTTTGTGCAGTGAAAGCACGTTGTCTGTGAACAACATGAATCAAAAATGTGACAAAATCAAAGATGACTGGCTTATCTGTCATCTTGGGTCAGGTGTCTTTATATTGAGACACACTCTGGTTTGGAACTGAATGTTGCTTGGTACAGAGGGCTGAGGAGTGGGATCAGCTCTTTAAATAGCTGAGTTTCATCAGTGGGTTGAGTTATTTACAGAGTAGGTGATACAGCAGTAGTTTTGCACATACTTAAGGATGAAGCAAATTATGTAAATGAGAGGCCAGTCCGCTTCCTAAAAGGAACTTGGGGCTAGAATAATATCTTTATTGATGATCTGCATGAGGGGATTGTGTGTACCATTAGCAAATTTGCAGATGACACCAAGCGGGGGGGTGTGTTGATCTGCTGGAAGGCAGGAGGGCTCTGCAGAGGGACCTGGACAGGCTGGAGAGTTGGGCTGATTCCAAGAGGATGAGGTTCAACCAGACCAAGTGCCAGGTCCTGCACTTTGGCCACAACAACTCCAGGCAGCCCCTCGGCCTGGGGACAGAGTGGCTGGAGAGCAGCCAGGCAGGAAGGGAGCTGGGAGTGTGGATGGACAGGAAGCTGAACATGAGCCAGTGTGCCCAGGTGGCCAAGAAGGCCAATGGATCCTGGCCTGGATCAGGAACAGTGTGGCAGCAGGACCAGGACAGTGATTCTGCCCCTGGACTTAGCGCTGGTGAGGCCACCCCTGGAGTGCTGTGTCCAGCTCTGGGCCCTCAGCTCAGGAAGGACATGGAGGGGCTGGAGCAGGTCCAGAGAAGAGCAACGAGGCTGGGGAAGGGACTGGAGCACAAGTGCTGTGAGGAGAGGCTGAGGGAGCTGGGGCTGTTCAGCCTGGAGAAGAGGAGGCTCAGGGGAGACCTCCTCACTCTCTGCAACTCCCTGACAGGAGGGGGGAGCTGGGAGGGGTCGGGCTCTGCTCCCAGGAACCAGCAGTAGGACAAGAGGGCTCGGTCTCAAGCTCTGCCAGGGGAGGTTTAGGTTGGGTATTGGGAAGAAAGGTTTTACAGAGAGAGTGATCAGCCGTTGGAATGGGCTGCCCAGGGAGGGGGTGGATTCTCTGTCCCTGGAGGTGTTTAAGGTGAGACTGGATGTGGCATCAGTGCCATGGTCTGGGAACCACTGTGGGGTTGGATCAAGGGTTGGACTCGATGATCTCAGAAGTCTTTTCCAAGCCAAGATTCTGTGATTCTGTGCATGGAGAACGCTGACCGGCAGAGGCAGGGAAGGAGCAGTGAAACGGGTGCATTGGATGTTTTCCTTGATTCCCAGCTCACCAGTTTCCCCCCTTCTCTCCGCTCCCGCAGCCTTACGACAGCTTGCCTACCTCACAGACTTGTTTCTTTCAACTGCGGCTGCCCCCGTACTCCAGCCAGCTGGTGATGGCCGAGCGCCTGCGCTATGCAATCAACAACTGCCGCTCCATAGACATGGACAATTACATGCTCTCCCGGAACGTGGACAATGCCGAGGGCTCCGACACGGATTATTAACACTCTGTGAACAAAATCACCTTCCTTTTCCTACAAATAGTGCCCTAAGTCCAATTCATCGTTGACATAATTTTACGGTAACCATAGATGTTTTAGGAGCATAAAAAAAAAAAAACAAACCAGATGTTAATAGATGGTGGCCACATTTTAGTTACTCTAAATGTAACAAAAAAAAATAAAATTAGATGTTTTTATTTTTTTGTGATTGTACAAAAGAAAAAAGGAAAAACAAAACAAAAAAGTCTGATGGGTAAGTTTTTTCTCCTTTTTTGGTCACTTTTGATAAGTTTGCATGGAGACATTTTGGTGCATTTTTGTTGGGAATAGTACATTTGTAAGCCCTCCCAGTGAACATGAAGAGTTGTACATTGTGTATAATTGTTCATTAGCCAGGACTGTTTTACATGAATATTCACATATTTATTTTGTTTTAATTTGAATTGCCTGTGCAGGGTTCCTTATGCAGAGAAAAATAAAGCAAATTCAAGGATTGGTGGCTTGTTATGCATTTGTGAACTGGGGTTGGTTGTCTCAGTCTTCATATTTTTTATATTTTGTCTCAGGAAGTCATGGTGTTACAGTGTTCAGGCAGGGTTTGACATGTGAAGCACCTTAAAATGTTTCTCTTCACTGACTGTGATGTGTAGCACTGCTTTGCTTTCCCAGTGTCCGAGGGGCTGCTCTGTTTGGGTGTTGATCCTCCTACTGCAACACAAGTCCATCTTGTGCTTGGTTCCTTCTTGCTTCTCCTTTAAACATTTTGCTCCTCCAGAGGAGTTGTTGGCAGTAGCAACGTGCTGCATTCAGAAACCTTTGAATCTTTTGGCAAAAAAATAATGTTTTTAATGTACAGATGGACAGAGTTGGTTCCTGATTGGAGTACAGAAAACTGACAGTGGAGGTGACAGGACAGTAGTTGAGGCTGTGGGTTTATGCACATTCTTGGCTCTGCCTTTGCTCTCCTTTTGTTGCAGCTGTACCTGTTATGATCAGCATGGCTTGGGTTACACTGGAGTTCCATCCTTTGTGCTGCACAAAGGAACCTCTACTCCATGTCTTAGGGGAGTGCTGGGCAATGGATAATTTCCAGTGTAGGAAGGACCTCATTTGTGTCAAACCAGAAATGCTGCTTGGTGTTGAGGAGCAGGATGGACCTGGAGAGTGTCCCCAGGTGAGTCAGGGCTGCTCTGCCCCCGTTCCCCCCATCCTCATCCTCTCTGAGCTCCTGAGGAAGGTGCTGTGGGGCCTGAGGGCTGGTGAGAGTGTTTATCAGTGTCACCTCACCTGGGTCAGGACTGGTCCATCTGAGCCTGGAGTACAGGCAGAAATTCCTGTTGTTTTTCCTCACGTGTTCACTGTGTGTTCACAAGGATGAATTGGGAAATTCCTGGCTGTCCAAGACTGAACTGGTTGTTGCTGCCAGCTCAGAGTGCTCAAAGCTTGACAAGCCATGGGACTGTGCAGGTCTGGGTTTTACTGGTGACATTCTCCAAGTCAGGACTAGTTGTTGACTCCTGGAGAAGGCACAGGGTTTGTAGCTGTGACCCCCACACTGCAGGGGGGTCAGCAGTCTGGGGGGAAGGGGGGGCTCAGGGCCCTGAAATCAAGCAGACCTTGTTTCCTGCCCCCTTGTGTGTTCTGGTTCCAAACTGGACCGAGTTTTTGGTGTTGTGGGGGAGTATATTCACATTGTGGTCTAGATTTATGGGTGTAATACATAAAAACTACGGTATTACCAATAAAAGGGGAAACCACTGTATTAAGTCCTGTATTGCCTGCTAGACTTCACTGATGTGTTTTAGTGCTACTGAGTTGTCAGCCTGTTTTAATCAGGCAAAGGAAATAATAGAGCTGTGCCTAAAAATTGCAGTTTTATATGGACTGTGCAATTGGCTTCTTGGATAATGAGGGTATTTTTGGAGGCAGTTTACACTGAAATGAAAGAGAATGTTGATATTGGTAAATATTGATGTTGATTAGAGGATTGTGTTTGATGGAACTTTAATGGCTTGGAGCTAAAGAAAACCATAGGCCTATTTTCATCCTTCCATCATACCCTGAATAAAATGTGATCACTTTATATACTCAATTTTCAAATTGAATTGCTAAGTGAGAAAATTTATTATTGGTGCTGAAAAAATGTATCAACACAATTGTGTTCAAATTTTACCATGTCATGAACAAATATCCCCGTTCACGTTTGGGAAGAGCAAAGTAAAATGACTTTGAGCATTTGTATGTAAATAGGCAAAGAAACCAAGTGAGTGTTTTAAGATCCTTTTTAGCTCTATAAAGTAAAAATAAAGCTACAGCACCCCCACCCCCCAGACAGTCCTGAGAGAAAGGTGGCAGAAATGTTTAAGTAATAAACAGACAGATGCAAACCCTCTTTCATATCTTGTAGCTACTTGAAAATCTGTTCCTGTTCCCCCTCCAGAGCCGTCTCTCAGCCCAGGGGTTGGAGAGCTGGCAGCAGGAGAAGCTCTTTGGTTCCTGGTGTGACTGTGTAAATTCCTGCCTTGTTTTGGCTTGTCAGCACTCTGTGACACTGGTGTTGTGTGTCCAAGGCAGGAGTGGTGCCAACATCCCAGTTTCCACCTCACAGTCGGTCTGTTCAGCTCCGTCTCCTTTCCGGGCTGTGAGTGCTGGGTTGGGATTTGCTGTTTGTCCTTCCTGTCCACACTTCCGGTTCTGTTCCTTCGTGGTCCACAAGGGTCCCACTGAAATCTGAGGAATGAGTGAATGAAATGCCAGTTTTACAGTGTCATGCCATTAAATAAGTCTGAGTTATGAAGATGCAATAATCCAGTTATCTTCCTTGTTTGTTTTCTGGGTGTTTCTCACAGATACTCACACTGATCAAGTGTTTCTCTAGAATTCCAGCTCTGTGTGACTGAGTTGCTGTAATGCTGTGCTTTATTTCTTAGCTCAGCCAAATTAGAGTGCACCAAGGATATCTGTGGATCAGTTAACCAGGATGGAAAGGAGCAGTGAGTATATTCCCTTATGCTGAGAGCTGTAAAGTTCTCTTTCCATTTTTGCTGCAGCACACGAGGAGTGTTTTCAGGAGGTCATAACTGGCTCAGCAGTTTTTGCAGAGGAAAGAAGCCACCCTAGGCAGGTAATCTAATAAAACAGTTCTGCTGAAATGATTTGAAACTTACCTTCCTAAGGAAACTGGAAATACAATTTTACCATTCTAGTCTTGCAGTAAAAATTGGCTTCAGGTGGAATTTTGATAACGTTTCCATTCTTTCTATTCAAACATGAACAAAAGACAATGTACCAGCTGAAATAAATCTTTCTTTCTTTCAAGACCACCTGAGGCACCAGAGCCAGGCTGGTCATTAGGACACCCCAGGCATTTTCTGCACATTAATTAAAGGAGCAACAGTGTTGTTAAAAGGATACAGCAAGGAATTGGAAAATCAAACCAGTTCTTCCTGAGGAACTGAGGCCCAACTTCAGGACTTGGTTTTTTATAGTTTAGATGCCAAAGAGCAAGGGAAAAAGCCTGCTCTGCTTCAGCAGCAGTTTTTCACATGTTCTTTGTGTTTTAGAGAGGTACTGCAGTCACACCATTGTCTAAATTTAAAGAAAAGCATGTATCATGTTGGATATTTGTGACACCCTTGAATAATTTCTGAAGAAGTCAGAAAGAAGTCACAAATTTCCTTGGGGGACAAGTTGGCTCTTACAGTCTTCCAGTTACTTCAAAAATTAAAATGCAGACCAGTAGTAAGGCTGCAAAACTAAACCTGCAAATAACTGTTAAAATGCAGCAGGTTATTTTAAACCTTGATAGCCTTGAGATAGTTGAATTCCAATGATGGCAGTTCCAGTTCATGTGTTTTTAACTCTGATTTCCTCAGTGTTCTGTTACCTGCAGTAGGATTAATTATCAAGCATGTAAATGAGAGCCAGGCCTGCTGTGGTGCAGGCACAGGAACTGCTGTGCTGCCCTGATAAAATACTGAATAACTGGTCTGTAATGGAACAGAGATGTTGAGACTCTTAGTGGGACAGAACAGTATTTCTAGAAATTAGTATTTCTAAATTTGCTTTAAGGACACACACACACACACACAGAGATGTTCCTACTCTGTGTAGGGTTTTAATTTAAACCAAAATCTTAACTGCTGTACAGCTTCACTGTGATCCAGGCTGGAACTGTTCAGGATCCGGGGTTTGTGAAGCTGGTCCATGTGCAGCCTAGTCCTGTTTGATGTGGAAGCTGCACTGGCATTGGTTCCCCCCCATTTAGTGATCTGCCTTTCTTTGGAAGCAGAAGGTTCTTCAGTGGGTTATACTGGATGGGACAGGCATTTAAGGTAAACATAAGTTCAGCTGCAGAGTCAGCAGGAATGGGCAGGATTTTGTGGTGCTTTCCAGGAGTCTGAATTATGAATTTACACCAGAATTGCTGAACAAAATGGGAAATAATGGAAAGCAGAATTTGGGGATGTGCTCACAGAGAGCAAGGCACAGGGCTTGAGAAATGCTGTAATTCAGACAAACCCCTGCAGAACTCACACCTGATGGCAAGGATTTTTCTGGATTGTTAGACTGAGACTGACCCACAAGTCAAACCTGGGCCGGGTGACTGCAGGACACAGGAAAGGGGCACTCACGTTTAACTTTCCTCAGGAAAAGTCTGGAAGGGCAGAAAGAGTCTTGGAATGCAGTGTGACAGCCCTGAGTCCCAATACCACACCAAACCCAGGGTACCACAGCCGGTTTTCCACAGCAGAATAAAACTGTGCCAGCCTTTGGTGTCTGGTTCTGTAGATGATGGCACAGCATCACCTGCACAGTTGCAGTGAAGTTCCACTTCCATGAAGCAGAGCAGCAGGAAAGGGACAGCTTTGTGGTCTGTGATGAAAATAGCTCCTTGGTTTGTACTTTGCAGTGAGAAATGGGTGTTTATATCCAGCTGGGCTGTAGTGTGTTCCTAATTTAGCATTCAAGCTGTAAGTTACTGTCCTTTCCTGTAGATTAGTTCTCTGAACCAGCATTTGTTCATACTGTGTTTCCTTTAATGTCACCTTGGAAAGATTCCTTGGTGTATCTTACATTATGTAAGTACATCATGCAAAGGGTCCGCCTGTGTTTTGTGTGCGTTGACTCCCTGCTTCCCTCATTTAATCAAGGAGCCTGGTAAAGGTCTTCCACTGTCAATCACTAAGGAAGTGCTGCTTGTCAGGTACTCTGCTTTTGCTGGGAAGACCTTACAGGGAGTGGTTATCCCCCTTAGCAGATGGAATGATTGTATGGATATACCCTTCAACAGAAATTAGGTAATCACTCTGCCTTGAAATTTGTGGAAATCACACAGTGACTCAGTGTGTGCTGTGCCTTTGTGCCCTTGCCCATTATTAAGGAGTTTAGAGCGTGGGGTCCACTCTGAACCTTGTGATGGAACCTCAGTGGGAGGCCCTTCCTTCATCTCTGTGTTCTGGGGCCTCTTTGTAGATCACTCTATCTCAATTCCAACTGTTTGTATGTCCTTGTCTTTGTTTTTTCCATGTAGTAATTAGTCAGGTGAACTGTGCCATCAAACTCACTGCACCTTCTCAGACTAATGTGAAATTTTGTTAAATTCCATCAAATTTATTGAACTCTATCAAGTTATAATGTGGCCTCAATCAAAGATCCTGCTGCTCCCTCCTGAGTGAGGTGCATTGCACTCACCCACACCAGGAGGGACCTGAATTGCAGTTTGGGGCAGGTCTGGCACTGTGTGACAGCAGGGCAGGGTTTCCAGTTTCAAGGAACAACAGAGAGCAAACGTTTTTTCCTGGTGGAGATGCCTTTTGCCGGTGCACCCTTTATGAAACAAACCAGCCATTTGTTTGGACTTAACTGGAAGGCAGGGAAGTGCCACAGGTCATTGCTCCTGAGTTCAGGTGAGGTGAGATACCCACCCTGATCATACCCATCCCACAATTTGCTGCACCTAAAGCTGAACCAGCTTTCTTGATGCTCTTTCAAGCCTCAGCTTTTTGTCTGGCTGGCTGTCTGGGATCATGTTGGCACTTCTCTCTGCTCTCAGCATCACTGAAGGACACTGTTCTCTGACCCTCTGCAGCCCAGCCTGGGTGATGTTCCTGCAGAAATCCACGTGCAGGGTGTGCAGGGCCCCCCCGTGCAGGGTCACGGCCTGCAGGCTCTGGTCTGTGATCCGCACACAGTTCTCCAGCTTGAGTGTCCTCAGCTTGGGGCAGCTCTTGAGGAGCAGCAGGATGGAGTCATCTGTGACATGGCCACATCCAGACAGGGTCAGGGACAGCAGGTTTGGACACCTGGAAACATGATGGCAACAGGTGAGATGATGGGAGAAATAAATCCCAGAGCTTGGATGAGCTGATACTGTCAGGAGTAAATATGAACTCTGGAAAAACACCTCTTCAGCGAGAGGGGTAAAAAGGCACGAGTGGGGGGGACACATGTACATATCAGTCTTTACAAAGCTTAACCTCCTTTGCTTTTTGTGTTGGTAGGAACACCTCCAGCTCAGCTGGCAGTGGAGAAGGGGCTGTGGAGGCCTTTTTGAGCTGCAGCTCCATTGTTTTTTCTTAGGGAGTTGCCAGGTGCTGTGAGGCACAGGAGTGAAGACCCAGGAGAGATAAGATTCATTTCAGGAGGAAGGTGAGGACAGCTGAGGGAAGAGACTGCTGTATGTGGGCAAGTGGGACACTCCCACTCTGGATTTTCAGAAATTACAGGTCTGTTTGAGCTCCTTGGAATTACTGAATGGGTGCCAGCTGCTACCTAAGAGTGTTGATGTTTGAACCCCACACAGGTCTTAAATTCTCCTTTGAGTCACTGAAACTGGTAAGAACTCCACTGTCAAACAGGGATGCAGCAAATGAAAAAAGCTTAATTTTGTGCTGCTTGGGGAGCCCTGGGCAAGCACAGGAAAGGCTGTTGCTGACTTCCATTGGCTGTCCTTGAGCTAGACCTGGAGCAGCTCTTTATGCTGACCAGGCAGGGACCCCTGTGCCCACCCTGCAATGTCTGGTTCCTGCTCACACCTCTCCAGGCAGCAGCAGTTCAGCAGCATCTATTTAGCTAAACACAGCCTCCTGTTCCTCCATGAGCACAGTCATGGACAGAACAGGAGCCTCCTCCATCCTGTCAGAACTGTGTTGTGCCCAAGCACTTCCATGGACAGATCTGTGCTTACAGCACATGCTTTTAGGGGTACAGCAGCAGAGGGCAAACATGGGGTCCTGCCATCGCTGCAGCCTCGTCATTTGTCCTTTAAAACTGGTGCTCAGCACGTTCCTCTGCCTCCACACCCCACCCCCCATCCCTGCTGCTGCTTGACTTCATCTTTGGAGCTGAGAGAATGAGATCGTGTCAGCTGCATAGGCTTGTTTTGTTACTCTTCCTTTACAGTTAGGAACAGTTGGAGAAAAAAGCTGGCAGGGTCAAGAAAGGCTCTGACTTCCCATCCCTTGTGCCTTCAACAAAATAAACTTACTTTGTACTTCGCACTCAGGGAGAAAAGCTGGATGTTTAATTTGCATTTGAATGCTGGGAGTTTTGTTGGAATGCTTCCAATGATTGCTTGTATTATCCTTTGTAGGAGCAGGTGTGCTGATCCTTTGCTTTTTAATCCAGATTTTTATCAGTTCTGGAACAGTTATGTCTGAAATTTGGTACTTGGAATTAACACCCTGCTTTGACCCCCATTCCCATCCTTGTTTTGAGCTCTGGTGCTGCCTCTCTCCAGACACCGGGTCCTGTCGGTATCCTGGGATTTGTTGGCTTTTTTCAGCGTTGCTCCTGGAGCTGAGGGCTGGCTGTGGCACTCAGGTGCACCCTGACAGGGCAGGCACTGCCACTTCATGGAATGGATCTTTTATTAGAGCTGCTTTGTAACAACAAAGCCGTTGTAAGAAATGCTCTGCACCCAGGGCTGCTTTTCCTCTTTCTCTTCCCTTAGTGTAGTTTATAAGAAAATGAGTTAAATTTCAGTATAAAAGCAATACTTATTTCTTAGAATGAAATCAATCTCATGTTTAGTTACATGATTAATGAACTTGGCTGTTATGATGTGTGTATTTGCTGTTTGCAATCATGACTTTCCCCTGGGCCCCCACCCCCAGACACTGCCAGAGTGGTGTGGGTCAGTTAAGCAGCAATGTAGGAGGCAGTATTGCACCTTCCCATAGTAATTATTCACTCTTCAAAAAAAAATAGAAGAAAAAAATAGACTTAAAGAAAGTCGATATGAAGTATTCATTATTTCCACCATAACATGAATGTAACATTGTATTAAAATTGTAAAGTCAAAGCACTCACTTCATGCTCCATTTCAGGCATGTTGGATGGAGTATTTTAAAAATAAGGTAATCAGAAGCTCTCACTTCTCTCATTTCACTCATTTCAAGGCAGGGAACCTGCACAGTCACACTTAAAGAACGTACCTGTTGCAAACCTGTAGTAAAAAATCCCTGACAGTGTTCTCATGCCTGTTACAGAAGTCTCTCTGGAAACTGTTTTTCATCCAGTCCTCAATGTTACACACCTTGACTCTCTCTGAATACCAGCAGATGGACAAGTATTTTAAAGCAGGTCCCAGGAGAAAATTATCCTTCTTTAGTTCCACTGGAGAATGGAAGTTCAACAAAGGCCACAGTAAAGGATCCTCAAACACTTCTAGCAACTTGTGACATGTTTTTGCTAAATTTTTCCTACTGTTTTTGTCCAGAAAAGAGAAGAGGTGCAGGAGGCATTCCCGGTTCAGCTGGGTGATGTGCATGGCAGGGCTGGAACAGTCCCAGTCTCCTGGGCTGTGGAGCAGATGGTGCTGCAGGGGCTCAGCCTCCCCAGGGCTGTTGCACATATATGGTTGTGGAATGGGGTTTATTTTTGGCCCACAAGTGGTGCAGCAGCTCAGAACAGGAGAAGGCAAAGAAACGTGCACACAGCTCGTGTTCCCTTCTACGAGGGGCTGGAATGGGATGTGGAACAGCAGGGCCTGACTGCCATGAGATGCTTCCTTAAAAGGGATTCTTTCCCCTAGACACTCCTGGAGTTTAGCACAGTTCCTGGAGTGGGGATGGGGTGCAACCACAGCTGCAAGGAGTGTCTTTGCCAGCCTTTCCCAGTGGCAGGACTTAGCTTTCTGAGCAGCAGTTTGTGTTTACAACAGTTGTGGCCTTTATTTGTTCATTGATTTTTGTGAGGTTGCACTTTTGCTTCACGTTCAAGGACTGTTACAGTGGATAATGAGCTTTCAAAACATCATCTAAAAATTCCCTGGGTACTTTGAAGCACATCCACACCCTCTGCAGCTTCAATTTGCAGCCTCAGAGCTGTGGACAGTTTCCTGCACAGTTATTTGGGGCTGGGCTCTGATCCCATAAACAAAGCTGGCTGTGTCCCACCTCCTGCAGGAGGGAAGGAATGGCACAGACTCATGGGAACAGAGGTCTATGTTTAGCTCCTTGTGGGCTTGTGCTTTAAATAGATGTCTTCTATTAGGCTTGAGGTTTACAAGTTGGGTTGGTTTGGTTTTGTAGGTTTAGTTCTGTTACCACAAATACCTTTTTTCCACCTTTTGGTGGAAAAAGGAGATATGGAAATGGTTTTACAAGTATTTGTTTTCCAGTAGTCAGAGAAACCGGAGCAGAAAGTTGCTCCTGGAAGAAAAATAAAGTGACAGCAAATGGTGGGTTGGAATTAAAAGCAATAACAGCCCTTGAACTTTAATGTTTGTGAAACAAAAATGTTTGAGATTAAGGTATTTTATATGAATCTTCTGCCTGGTGTAAGTGCAAGAGAAAACATTTAACAAATGGGTTGATAGAAAGAGCAGAACAGCACTGTGGGGGGTTTACAAGTGGCTTGCACTTCTGTAACAGCTGGGAGACTGGATGTACCTGTGTTTTCATATGTGATAGGGCTGAGGGGGACCCAAGTTCACTTTTTCCTTCTTACCCTGAGGATGCAGTTTGAAATTCAGCTCTGAGAAACACAACCTGAAACGTGTTTGCAGCTGCAGCAGTTCTACCTCCCTGTCCTGAGGAGGTGCTGGAGTACTGTGTGTCTGCACTTGGGTTTCACCCTTTAGCCATTTTCTATGTACAGTAAGCTGGGCTTAACAACTGCCACTCTTCCTGGTTTCATATCCTCTGCCATTTAATCTCCTCCTTGAAATGAGAAGGACATTCCTGCTCAGAGCCAGGCTCTGGACAGTGCCAGGAGTACTTCAAGAAGCCAAGGAAGGGACAAGGTTTCACATACCAGGTAAGGCAGTCCCTGGAAAACAGCAGCTTAAATGGTGTCCCAGCAGGTGTTGTTCTTCATTCTCATATTGGCATTTTCAACCCTCACTTTTAAGAACTTACCTTCATTTGTGAGCAGGTTTGAACAGCTGAGACTGCTCAGATGTTACACGTACAGGAATATTATTTTTAAAAATATGATTTAAAAAACCCCAACCAACCCCAAAAGACAACAAAGCACCAAGCCAGCAGAGCTGGATGACAAGGGAAGCAGTGCTGGGATGGATTCCTGCCAGAGTGGGTGCACCACAATCTGACATAAAAATTAACAGCACTTGGGTGACAAGATCCTGTAAAACTGAATGGCAGGTGCTCTCTGGGTTTAGATGCAAGGTTTGGTAGAGGTATTACATGGTCAGGAACACTTCAATTGCTTTATTTTGTTTTCCCCAGCACAAGGTGCAATACCCTGCCAGCTGTGTTCAAAGACTGACACTAAAGTTGTTCTGCAAGCCTGGAGAAGGACAAGAGGAGCTTCATGTTCTAAGGAAAGGAGACACTTTAATGGCACATTTTCCATAAACACACTGTGTGATGAGATATAATTCACATTCATCCTGGAAATGCTCCAGAAACACACAAGATGAGCACAGTCAGTAAATCCTCACTGAAAATTACACACAAGAGTTTAATGGTAAACAATTACAACTATGGCACTACAGTACTTGAGGAGATCCTAAAGCACGTTGGAATCAGCTGTCAAGGTGCCAATGACCTCATCAGTAAGACACAGACACAGCAGTAATGAAACATTGTTGGGGAAACTTTGGAACACCACGTGTTACACTTTCCATTGCTGGACTAAAATCCTTACAAACGGCCTCCTGCTTTTGATCCAAGTCCACTGTCCCTGCCTGTCTCAGTTTTACACTCTCTTGCTGACAGCTGAGAACTGGACATTTTGCATTTTGTTTGACATAAACCTTGTCTCCAGTTGTAGACGTGGCTAAACAATAACTAACAAAAGGACAACCTTTCACGGGACAAGTTTTGGTGAAAAATATGCAAGTCTCTGAACTGTAGAGAGCAGTTGCTGCTTGCAGAGCAGTCACAAGCAAGAAAAAAAATTCTTGCCAGCCTAGTGTGTATTATGATCAGCAGTAAGTAGAAAAGAAACATTTGGCTTAAATGAAAGAGATATCCCCCCCATGAGCTAGTAGATAAATATAGGATATACAAGTAAGGTTAAAAATGTAATACTAGGCCAGGTGCAGTACATGTTACTGGTTCAGTGCTCAGTTACTTTTTTTTTTTGACACCACACTGAATAGAATACAGTGGATAAGCAAAGTTCTCCACCAGGAAGAGAAATACTTGTGTTGCCACAACAAACTGTTCATACTGTCCATCTGGGTTTGCAGTGGGAGAAAGTTAAATTAAGAAAGGATTTACACTGTCCTTGTTCCAGCAGAGCAGATGGCTGAGCCCTCGGCAGCTCCGAGGACACGCCTGCTGTGATTGCATCGTGTGCCCGGGCCAGGAGACAGCCCTGCCCAGGCTGGGTGCTACACACACCAAAGGGGCTGCAAGGAAATGCTCAAGTGAGAACGTAACTCTGACCCAAAAAGAAGTAGAAGCTGATTAAAATAAGTGAATGCTGCTGAAGATTACAAATTTAAATTTCTAAGAATACAGAAAGGCACATTTACATCACTGTTCTGCAAGAACACTGCACACACCTGACTACTGCAAGGTATATTGCTGCTGGCTCATAGCTCCTGTACTTTAAGCTTGGCATTGTCAGAGGAAGGTAAAATGCTAAAGGACTCCAGTCCAAGCAGCTTGCAGACAAAATGCAGGTATGGATGGGATCTACACACCTTCCCAACTATTGTGAGCAGGGAGGGTGATAATGTGCTGTGATGCTTCTTTACCTGCCCCACACCCTGCCTGCAGGAAAGGGAGAAATGGAAGGTGACAAACTATCTACAATTTAAAGCAATGAATAGGTCTATGTATTGTTCAGCCTCATTAAAAGCCAACATCCCTACATATGAGACTGTGTATCAAATAACAACTCCATAGATTTAACCTGTGTGCAGTTCCATATCCATACACCACCAGCGGTGCTGAATGTTTTCTGCAGTTTTGTATGAAGCCAGTTTCTCCCTTTCCTGGTCTAAGATGCTGTGAAAAAGCTCTCCAGAATGCCACTGTCCCAAATATCTGGCTGTGATTTGTCTTTTCCCTGGCCCTGGCAAGGCAAGGGCTGGGGCACAACCCCTTCACCCTGCCAGGGCTTTCAGAAGCAGTCGCTAAAATGGGGAATCCCATTTTGAGTTCTTGTGTGTTTTCAGACTACTGTATTTTATTGCTAACAAACAAACACTGCTAACAGGGGCTGTTTGATGGTGTGACTCTACATTAAGTATATTCCAGTCTCACTCCCAGCCCTGTGAGATTTCAGGAGTGCCCAGCTCCTTGCTTGGCACAAGGGTCCAGCTAGAAAGGGTGGGCTGGGGGAAGAGACCTGAAATGCAGCATTTGGCAAATGTCAGATTTGGTGTCAGACTCCTGGTTTGTACAGGAGTGGTTCTGCTCTCCACCTTTTTTTCCATCTTGCTGACTTCCACTGTTCAGAACAGCAGGACAGCTAAAATTCAGGTTGTTTTTTTAGCACAAGTCTTTCTCCATTACATGGCCAAGTTTTACAAACTGTATCACATCACATTCACCCAGAGCCTAAGCCAAGGTGCCACTGCTACAGCTCCCTGAGTGCTCTCCAGGCCACTGCAGGCTTGGCTCACCCCCTCCCTCACACGGGCTCTGCTGGCAGGAACAGCACCTTCTCTGAGTTGGCGTTGGAACTGATTAAACAATTCCATGCAAAGCACCTGGAACACCACCTGCCTCCTTCGGGGTGAACTGCAGGCTCTGCTTAGCCCCCAGACTCCCAATTCCCACCAGGAAAGAAGGCTGAGGGTCCTACTGCCAGGAAGTTTCCCAAGTTTTCAAGCAAATCGGTGTTAAAGGTCAAATTTCAGGATGACAGCCTAAAACAAGGGATGTCTAGTGCAAATCAGGTTCAGCTCAAAAACCATGAATCTCAACACAATTTGGACAGGTAATTTTAAGATAGGGTTTTTTTAAATTTGAAGTGGGTGGGGGGTAGAGCATATGTGAGGAATACTTGAATTAAATTGCAGTATTAATACAATTGAACCAACTGTTTATTTACAATGATTCCTGAAAGTCAGCAGCCTGAATACACACCAATATAGCAGCAATTACCTGGTCTACTTAATGATGCCACATCTCCTCTCTTCTGCAGACAAAGAAAGATTGGTCAGAGGTCACTGTTTAAGTTTCCTGCACGAGGGAAAATAGGACGTACAAACAATCCTTTGAGTGAAAGAGATTAAATCATATCTACGTGACAGCACTGAGAACAGCATGAAGTTGTATTGCTCTTCAGAAGCACATTTATCTTGCTTGTAAGGAGGACAGAAAGCTTCTTGGATGTAAATGTGCCTTTAGAAAGTGAGAACTGAAAACATTAATATAAAAAAGTCAAATAACTATTTCATGAAACTATATATATAAAAATTGAGTTATCACAACTAAAGCAGCA